CCCTAAGTCCCTAGGGTTCCAGGCAACCCAAAAATAAAACCCAACCCAGGGGGTCTTGTAACCCTAACCCTAACCCTAACCCTAACCCTAACCCTAACCCTGTCGGCAATCGACCGTCGCGCGCGGCGTCTCCCAGCACGTCCATCGCGTCCTCTTCGGCAACATCTGCCGCATCCAAGACGGAACCGGCTCGCTTGAGAATAGCCGAACGAGAGCAATGCGTGTCTAGTGACGGTCAAACCGAGGAGGATTTGCTGTTGCGGGTGCGGGCTCTGGGGTTTGAGCTTCGCGATTACGACGCACCGAACAGCCTTGTTGGCGAAGCGGGCTGGGCGCATTTGGTTCGCAACCAGCTGTTCGTCCGGATCCACTACGGTAAACTGTCGCCAGGGGCACAAACACTTCTTGGGCCGCTTGTTCTGCCGGAGGCCCATCCCGGCGGTACCCTGGTGGATGCCTCCTCCTTCACTCCGCAGGAGAAGACGACGGTGGGAAAGGCACTCGAGCGGATGGGATTACCATGGCCAAAGAAGCAGAGGACCGAACCGCTCTTCCAGTTCGTGTTTTTGAACATACTGGAGCATTTCTTTGGGGACGATATTGGCGTGACGGAGGAAAACAAGGTGCCGTACGCGTGCATGCCAGGGCACAGGCTGTGCATCCCCGACATCGCCGTCAATTGCCGCGGTGCTGCCCTGGACAGCGGCATAACCTTGGACGGCGAGGAGAAATACGTCCCTGCTACTGCGATCAGGGAGTGTAAGGGGGATATCGACCCTGCGGACGCCGAGCCTCAGTTGGCCATGTACCTGGGAGGTCATGCAGTAGTGCTGATGACTGCCGGTGTGCCCGCCAATCAGGTCCGTGTTGTTGGGTTTGCTTTGGCCAGTTGGCAAGTCGTTTTCGCAGCTGTGACGCTGCGGCCAAACCCCAACAATCCCGCCGCCACACAACTCGTTTACACCCGAGTATTGGACTTCGGCAGATTAGATCTCGAAAGTCCGTGGCAAGCGAACGCCGTTGCGCGTCTGCTGGTGGGCCTGGCTCGTTCGGGAAAAGAGCTAGACGATAAACTCAAGAAGCATGGTGCATTCTTGTTCCGTGCCGCGACAAATCATTTCGACAACGATGATGATGGACCGGACGACGGCGAGCACACCTCACCGTTGGCAGAGCCACGGCGTCACCACATTGGCAGTGACGCGACTCTGGACGCGACTATCTCTTCGTCGCCCTCTCAGGAGCAGCGGTCGAAGCATGCCGAGGTGTTGGAGTGGGTGGGCAACGTTGGAGTGGCGCTACCCGTGCCAAGGTCTCGTATCATACTCGCCCGCAGTCGCACCGATGGCGCTCCGGCGGCACTCTCTGGAGAGAGTGCCGGACAGTCCAACGCACACGACAGTCCAATGCACTTTTCCAGAAGTCGCCGGCCTGCCCGCACACCTGAAGAAGTACGGAAATTGATGGCAGGTCGTTGACTTTTCCGGATATCTGGCCACCGTACACTGTAGCTTTGTTGTTCTTAGAAATTAAAAAAGGTGCGTTGGACTGTCCGGCACTCTCTCCAGAGAGTGCCCGGCTTCACGCAGCGCGGGAAGTACCGGGTTGAGTATGATACGAGACCTTTGGCACGGGTAGACTAACTCCAGCAATTCCCATAATTCGTGTATGTACACCCCCAATCACGTTCGTTGCAAGAGATTCGATATTCGCACTCACCGATCAAGCTTCTATTCGCACTCATACTCTAATTGTAAGTGCCCCAGTTAGGGTTAGGGTTAGGATTAGGGTTAGTAACACCCAGCCCTACCGGCCTTCGGTTTGGGGTTTGAGGGGATGTTGAAGCGATACATCCCACATCTATATGCAACATGTTATCATACACATGTAACATATAATCTCTTCACAAAAAAGTGTCCTACGCCAGCGTGTTCTATATCTTCATTGTCCATCTATGTAAAAGGAAACTGAACGTTCATCAGAGTCTACGTCCTCAATCTAAGGGCCGGTGTGCAACCCATTTGCAGCCCGCTTGGTACCCTCCAAAAACCAACATGGTCATTTCATCACACCTTCCCCGCCAATGCATGATCCGTATCCGGCAGAAACACGCTAACGACCGCACAAACGATGAGGAACCCGCAGGACGTCCAGAGACAGACCCAGATCCCGCCTTGGTATTGGAAGAGCCAGCCGGAGAGAAGGGTGCCGACGAGGCGGCCCATCGCGTTTGCGCAGTCTATGAAATGGAGGGATTGGTGAGCTGAGGTTACGCAAAACATCAGAAGCTGAGGGAGATACCCGTAACTTACAATAAAACCCAACATTAATAGCAACCTTATCCTTCCCCGCATACGCGACAATCAAATACGAATGCATCGATGAGTTCACCGCAAAAAAGAAGGCAAACACGATCAAGAAGGCCGCTAATCCTATCAGCATGCCAGTGGAGCCTTCGCCGTAGGGTGTGTCGCGGAAGGCGGTGAGGAAGGACGCGAGGCCGATGGTTATGGTCAGCAGGGCAGCTGTCCAGGGGACTAGGAGTTTGCCTCTGATGTGAGGAAAACAAGTGTAAGAATGTCGGTTCCAGGGGCCTTCACCAAAGGAAATTCACGAACCTGCGTAATGGATAACACTTTAAAGGTTTCAGGATATATTCCGGCGTCGCCGTCTGGACCGCTCCATAAATCACGATCCAGACCGCCAAAAAGGCACCGGACGCCGTGAAGCTCCAATTGAACATGGCCCGAAGGTAGATAGGTAACACCACCTCGAACCATAAGTCCCTACTCCCGAAAAGGAACATGCGGGCTAAGGAAAGCATGTTGACTGCGTACCCCTTGTCGAAGATTTTACGCAATGTTAGGCGTCCGGCTGTTTTCGAGCGGCCCAGGTCGTGATCGAGGCGGAGGCAGCCCGGGATGACCAGGAGGCAGAAGATGGCCAGAACCAGTAAGGACGGCCATACACCTGCGTAGTTGAGTAGCGCAGCGCCTGCGAAGAATCCAAGACCCTTAATGGAGTTCTTAGCCCCTGTGAGCCAAGCGACGAGGCGGAACAAGGGCGAATGGGCAGCTGCTGCTCTTGTGTTTTCATCTTCGCTCTTCGTGACGAGTTTCGTGACGGATTTGCCAGCCAATTTGACCAAATCCTTAGCTACGCCCGCAAAGCATTGGGCGAATATGACGTAGCCTATAACTGCCCCGCGCGACCAGCCGTCTTCGTCGGCTCGGAGTAACGCGAAGAGAAGGCTGATTCCGACCAGTTGACAGGCCAAACCGCCCAGAATGCATAGTCTCAGTCCCCAGCGCGAGCCCATAATGCCGCCAAAGAGATTGGTGACTACGCCTAGTGCCTCATAAGAGGTAAACATCAGGGCTATTTCGAAGGGCTGCAATGGTTCTGATGTCAGGAAACGGTCCATATTTGCGCCCGGGCAAGCGACCATAGTCAAACCAACCTGATAACGCCTCTGGTATAGCCCGAACAGTACAATCATCCGCAACGCAGCGTCCGTAAAGGTGAATATCAGGTATCCGCTTGCACTGCGGGTGTGCATTCCGTCAGCCTTTTAGCCCAAACCCCGCTCTATCCTCCACGAAGCATCCCTTCCTATGTCTCACCCAATTCTCACATAATATAGAAGTTCCGCATAGGTGCCGGCATGGAAGCTGGTGGGGCTCCGCTTGCCCGCTCGTGCGGCTCCAGCTCCACCGCCACAATGCCCGCCTCGGTTTCATTTCCAGATATTGTTCCGTGGCTGCCGTTAAGCTCTACGTGCAGGTGAGAGGCAGTGAGAAAAAGTGAAACAAAGACAAAACAAAAGAACACGCAGTGAACTGCCCATTGGAGTAACCAACCTTGCGAAGACGAGGCCGCTGCGCCTACGTGCAGAGTGTCGTGCGTGACAGCCATGGGGCTGTTGAAGCTGTCCTATCTATGTCCGACTGCGAATTGTCGAACGTCGGGGAAGGTAAGTACTGGAAGTTCCATGGGCAGGGAAGGGGCAGCGAAGGAACGAAGGAGGGGAGCGCTGATGAAATCATCAAGTTCATCCAAGCGTGTTCTCCAGTGGTGACTTGCCCATTTCGACAGCGCGTAACTAGCAGCATGGCCGTGAACAATCTGCCTGGTTCCCTCTCCATAGGAATGCCCTGAGGAATGCCCTGAAAACGGCTCAGGCACAGGACCATGATTATATAGCCCCCAGTCCTGATGGAAGTCCATGTCGACCTGATGGAAGTCCTTGCAGGTAGTCTCCCAGTAAACACGTCGCTTTCCGAGCGCTTTATGAGCTTTTGGATCGTACTGCATTGTTCCACTCCTCAACGTTTCCACGGCTAACAGGGTGATGAAGCCCTAACCATGGCACAAGGTTACGCATCAAGCGTTGATGCGAAATTGACAGCGCTGGGCGACCGGCCCCAGACTCGCCGGCCCCCCGTCAACCACATGCGTATGACTTGCGTACAGCTTCTGTGAGGCGGTGGTGGCCGGTGACTTCTGCTCTCTTGGAAGCCGTCAGGAAAGATTTCATAGCGCGTTGAACCTAAGTTTTGTCTGCTACCTTACCTCGCCTGTACCTTACTGCCCTAGCCGTAAGACAAACTGTGGGAGACATGAATGGTAGGCTGGTAGCCTGCATTATTCGCTTAGAAAAGGATGTTCATACGGAGGAAGAAGTTTCTGGAAGTCCCCGAAATCCCGAAGAAGTTTCTGAAAATCCCCCCCCCCCCCCCCACCATCGCACGAAACTCGGTTGTGGGAACATCGGTTGCAGAGATATCTCGATCGATCAACCCAGAACTTGATTGTACGAGGAGTCGAATGGCTCCCTTGCTGAGGGAATGTGGATACCACGTGTTTATTGAGCTTCAGCGGTCAACCTGGGCTTGGTCGTGGAAGTTTGGAATAGCAGTAGAAGCATCGGACCATATGCGGATAGGGAATACCTACCCGTGTCGTTAGAGCGTTGAAGCCGGTGATGGGTTCGAGATCAGTATAAAAAGCGGACAGAGGCCGATCGGATCTCCGCCTTCACTAGCTCCCCGAAAACTCAATCCTCCAACCATGTCCTCCACCACCAACTCCACTCACCAGCTCCGCCTCGTTCTTGAACAGAATGGTCTGATCAACCTATTCGCCGTATCTTTTGCGTTCCTGCTATTCATCCGCAACCGCCGTGGCTTCCATGAGCGGCTCCTGCTCGCAACGTCCCTTGCCTCTTTTGTTGCTGACTGCTTGCTCGTTTTCACGAGCGTGCCGTATGAGGAGGTTATGGAGAGGTTGCCAAGTATCCGGGTAAGGACTTTCACCTTCATTTGGTTTGAATATCCTTATGTCCGTATATTCAAAGCCATATTCACTCCACCCCGTGCAGGTGATGACATTCATAGAAGTCATCGGTTGGTCCATCCGCGAGCTCGGCCTGACCCTCTACACCAACAAAATCGTCTCCGTTCTCGACGTCCGCAACGCGCAAACCCTCTACCACCGCGTCTTCCGTGGCCTCCTCGGCTTGCTGATCACCTGGCGTCTGATTGACATGTGCCTTCGAACAGCCGACCCGACGGCGATGAATACTCCAGGCAAGGTGGTCAAGACGGTCGACCCGATATATCTGGGGATGCTGTCGGTATTAGAATTGTGGTCGGCGGCATTCTTGATGCGGTTGACGATTGCTCATATGAGGGAGACGGATGCGAGTACGAATGTGAATGTGTTTTCGAAGCGAATTTTGTCGACGGGGGTGTTTAGAGTTGTGGCTACCAATCTGTGAGTGGCATATTTCGATGCTAAGATCATCCTATGATGCGTGAACTACGTTTTTCCTACCAGGTTCCCCGCCATCCGCCTGATAATGAACCAAACCATCAGCTCCTCCTTTAACTACGGCGCGGACGCCAGCTCGATAATCTACTACCTGCAAGTGTCGATGAACCTGATGTACCTGATTGATCTCGTGATGGTCAAAATGGACTCGGAGTCCATTTTCCGGCCACCGCGAACGCAGGTGTCGAGTGGGAATCAGATGCGTACGGCTGCGGGATCGGTCAAGAAGGGGGATCGGTCGGATGTGAAGAATGTGGGGAAGACGGAAATTGGGAGTGGGGAGAAGGGGGTGAGAGTGGCGGTTGTTACTGCTAGGTTGGGTGCGTCGGAGATTGTATGAACCCAACGCTGTGCTTCAACTCCATTCCCTTTGGTCAATGCTCTACGAATGTTCCATGCGAACTGACAGTATCCGACAGCGCGCCGAAAGAGCCGCCTGTCAGTGGACTTTTGTGGAGATGAACTGATTTTGTGCGTGCTCTCCAATATACGACTATACGACTATCCGACCCCCAGCTGTTGTGGAGACGCATTGCTCTTTTGGCAAGGGATGTGAAGTTTGCTCCAGAACCAGTAATCTTTCTTCGCGAAATAGCAACCACCTAAAGCCGCAAGCAGACGAATCTCTCACACCAAAATGCCATCCAAAGAGCCTATTCCGCCGCACCAAACCGGCGTCGAGTGTCCCTCCTCCTCCGCTGAGGTCCCACAAGAAACCCGCGGCTCACCCTCCTTCCCCGACGCAGACATCGAGATCCAAATCGGCAGCACCGTCTTCGCCGTGCACAAAATCTACCTCTCTCACAACTCAAAGTACTTCCAAAGCATGCTCAACGGGCCGTGGAAGAGCGTGCAGGTTGCTGAGAGCGGTTTGCCGCGACTAACACTTGAGGAACCTGTCACCCTGGAATGCTTTGCGTGGTTCCTCAACGCTATATACTATCCGTATAAGCACGGGATTGGCTGTACGGAGGATCTTCGGTGGTTATTCAAGCTTTTTGAGCTTTGCGATTATTTGCTTGCGGAGGATCTGTCCAAAGAGGTGGTTCGACGCATCAAAGCCAGACGCATGGCAGTTCATATTACCTTCGAGAATGTCCGTGTCCTGCTGAAAAAGGCTGATGACATAAGATACAAGGACGCGGATTTGAGGGAGAAGTGTCGGGAGTTTCTGTTGATGAACCTTCGAGGAAGTAGGTGCAAGCTCCTGTTCACACCCAACAAGCTGGAACCTTATAAAATCATGCATTTCAAACAGCGGCGCGGATTCCCGGAATCCATCCTTACCCATCAACCCATCAAAGGTGCTGCAGGACAACATGGCTGAGGCCGCGTACCTAGCCGAGCAACACGGCTTCCAAGACCTTCTGACGACGGAGATGCTCGGATCTTTGCAGAGGCCTCTTGGTCAATTCCTGAGGGAGTTCGCATTGCAGGCGCTTCAAGTTAATCCTTATTACCAGCGGTTGTCAACAGACTCGCAGATGCTGCTCGTTGCAAAGTGGGGCCCGAAAAGTCGGGATCGTCGGTTTACGTGCGATACGGTTGAGTAGGGGTTATTGTGGGTGGAATCGACGTACTAGCATAGTGAGATCCTTTTGCAGATGTAGGAAATGAGAACACGGTGTAAAGTAGGAATCAAGGGAGCAGAGGGGTGTCGCTCGTTTATGTGGAGGATGAACCGGTTGATTTTGGAGAAGTTTTCGAGCCGTGGAATCTTCAGCGAAGAAAGGGCTTACAATGGAGTCTGTATTTCCCAGATGAAACAACTTGGTGGTGCTATCTTGATCAATGTTCTATACGAATGTCAATGAACATCCTACGAGAATATGTGCTGCTGCCACCGGCTCCACCCCGCAAGAGAAGTTGGTCTGTCATCTGTCAGGTCATCACCAGATACAGTCAATTCAGACAATGTTCCTCCTCCTCTTCTCATCCCCGTTCCTCGATTTGCCAGCCTCCGGAGCATCCGAGCGCGAAGGCGAGTCGTCAATCGGCACGCTCACCAAATCATCAGGACCTGCAACCTGCTGTCCCTTAACCACAGCCTGCTCCGCGTCGGCCGTCGCCGCCGTAGTCTCATCGTGCTCAACGGCCGCTCTGACCGGAGCTGCCGGGACAGCCGCAACGAGCGCCGGCATGGAAAGGGTACTAGCAGCCGCCCTGCCCTTTCTTGCGGCCGCACCGCGTTTGTAGAACATGGCGCCGCCGACAATGACGGCCCCGAGCGCAACACCTCCAACGGCAATACCCGCTGTGGCCGGGACTGCCAGCTTAGTGGTTTCAACGGTTGTGGTAGTTCCGCCGCCGCTGCCGAGGCCGGATAACACGTTTCCGGCTCCGGGGATGTCACCCGCTGCGATGGTAGTTGTGCCGGCACCCGTGACCGTAGTCGTCGCTAAGGCAATTGTGCTCGTAATGGTCTGTGTGAGTGAGACTGTAGAGGGCGAAAGCGTGCTAGTGACCGTGACAGTCGAGGGCGGTACGGTGCTAATAATGGTCTTTGTAATTGTGGACGGCGGAACGGTGCTAGTGCTCACCTCTGTCTTTGTAATTGTGGACGGCGGAACGGTGCTAGTGCTCACCTCCGTGACTGTGGTAACGGTCAATTCCGTGACAGTTACCGGCGGGATGGTGGTCGTAGTTGAATCCGTAACCGAGACCGTCGAGGGCGGTGCTGTGGTCGTGGTGGTGTCCGTAACCGAGACCGTCGAGGGCGGAGCTGTGGTCGTGGTGGTGTCTGTAACAGAGACCGTCGAGGGCGGAGCTGTGGTCGTGGTGGTGTCCGTGACCCAAATACTAGATGGCGGAAGGGTGCTCGTGGTGGTCTGCGTAACCGAAACCGTAGACGGCGGAATAGTGCTCGTAGTGGTCTGCGTAACCGACCGGGTAGTTGTGGTTGTGCTGACCACCGTAACCGAGATCGTGGACGGGTACGCCGTGCTCGAAACGGTGGAAGTGTACGGAGTGGTCCCGTTGGCCGCGTCAAAGAACTTCCAAATTCTCGTGTCGAGGCCGAAAAGAGCAGGGCCCGACGATTGCGACACGGGCGATCTGTTATCACGCAGATGGCCGCTGATGTAGACGATCGGGCCGATGGCGGCGCATGACCATTGGTCCAGTCGCGGGAAGAAGGCCTGGTCCGATACCGAGGGTGTCAGGTTTGTCCATGAGGAGCCTGACGGCGTGTCCAGCATATACAGGTCGTCGTAAAAAATCGATGATCCATATCTGCCGCCGAAGTAAATCAAGCTGCTCCCAACTGATATGGCGCTCGTCAAGATACAGGCTAGACGGTACAATTTTCAAAGGAACAATCTTCTTACCACTGGTCAAGCAGCCACCTTCGCGAGCAGATGGAGCCCCAGGCAGGTTTCTGGACTGCCAACTCGCTCCCTCCGGTGACGCGGTCCATCTTTGCAAGCTGTTGGTGAAGGTGTCGAGAAAACCCCCGAAGTGATACTAAGAGAGCACCCCGTTAAGATACAGGCCAGACGGTACCTTCATCAGAAGTATACCCATCTCACCATATCATTGCCAACCAGTGCTCCCGGCGAGCGATTGACTTCATACAGGAACGACGGCAGCCGAGTCCACGCTCCGCTTGACGGAGTGTACTTCCAAAAGTCGCTGAGTTTCCTGTTGTTACCTAGGTAGTTGTAACCGCCACCATAGTATAGCGTTGAACTGGTGCCGACCATGGTCGGGTAGAGCACTGCCGTCGGCGCTCCGCTCATAGACGTCCAGGTGCCGCTGACGAGATCATACCTCCACCTGAAATGCAATCAGTTTCGGCCTATATTCGCAGCATCGAAGCGGACAATTACTGTACCATCCACGAGTATTCAGCGCGGCAACGACATAAAGTGCGTCGCCTGCCACGACCGCTGTGGCCGCGTCATGATTCTCACCCGTGAATGGCGCATTACCGTTGGGACTCAGGACGTTCCAGCTGCGGGCAGCGGGATCGAAGAGCCAAACCGAATTGGTATTGGCGCCATTATCCACGACGCCCTTTGCGCCGTACAGAACGACCTTGCCGTTCCATACGCTAATTTCGACCGAACCGAATTGGAGAGGCTCCGTTGTGGCCATCTTCCGATAAACTGCGGGATTGCCGAGGAGGAGGAAGACGCTGAAATCTCTCTCCACGGAAGCTATAAGGAGAGATACAACTTGCAGCGGCGAAATGAACTACTCGTTTTATTTATACAACGCAAACATAGGAGGCGCTCAGCCAAGGACATTTGGAGTAGGGATCAATGGCTTTGAACGATGAAGTTGAAAGATGATGTTGCTGGGAATGCATTAATATTAACCATAAGGGTTTTAGGTCGATATGAAGGGGTTTAGGTCGAGTTTATCGCGGCCTTTGTTGTGTCTGTCAATGCACAAGCCAATGCCGTCAGACGCGCTGTCGATTTTCTTCGATGACTCATGGCTTTTCGAATCATGGAACAGGCTGTCGATTTTTTGACCTTTCCCCACACTTTTGCGGCAGTCGGGTTGCCTTCTCCTCTGCCCGCTGAAGCTAGTCCTAGGTGCAGGTATCCAGCTTACAAACACCCAGGTTGCCCGTATTCCCGACATATTTCAGCGAGCCCAGAACATGAGCATGGTCGGTAGCTCTCGCCGGAGTGGAACACGCGAAAAACACCCCCCAACCATGCTGGTGTCAACACCAGCAGACACCGCTGAAGCGCCGGAACAGCAGCATCCCGAGGGTCTCAAGATCGGCAAGCACCAGTTCTCGGACGCTTCGGTCGAGCTAGAGATCGAAGATACCCTGTTTGCCGTTCACAAGAGCGTACTTGCGTACAACAGTACGTTTTTCGCCGATATGTTCAGCGGAAAGTGGAAGGAGGGAGGTACCGCTCAGCAGCCCGTCGACAAACCTCCCCGAGTCAAGCTGGGGGGTATCAAAGCCCATGCTTTTGCGATGTTTCTCGATGTCATTTATGATCCATACCGACACGACGAGGTTTGGCTCGACCTCAACAACCTGCTGGCCTTGTCGGACGTTTGTGACTACCTCCACTGCGACTTAATTAACGAGCAGATAAAGCTTCATATCGAGGACGAGTTTGAAATCACTTGGAACAACGTCGAAGACATTCTGTCGAGATGCAACCCGCTCATCGAGAACCAAGGAGTGTTGCGGACAGAATGCGAGCACTGGCTCTGTGGGGTTGACGAAACGAAGACCATGCAAGCACTCTTCTTGGCAGAGAAGCACAACCTCAGCATTGTCCTGGATCTGAGCGCTGATCCCCTGGGTGCACGGGTGCCGCAGTTTCCTTATAAATCTGAACATTTCAAGCTGCTTTCGGCAGAGCTTCGCGAACGTGTTCTGTTGACCGTGCTCAAGAAATATGACCCTGACGAGATGATCAGTGAGGCTCAACCACCTACGCACTTTGATTATCAATACGAATGGTAGGTCGAGGAAGGAGGACATTTTCTCCGTCAAAATTGTGGCCACTAACCTTTTGAAAGGGAAGAGCAGCGCCGTCGCGAGCAAGGCGCGAGACACCCAGCCACTGAGAACTTCCGCGGGTTTGCCTGCCGAATCGCCCACAGGCTTCGCAACCGGCAACCTGCTGTCCAGCCCCGCCCGCCATCAAGGGAGTCGTCATACACAAACAGCGAGCCAGCCGCGCTGAGCGAACTGAGCGATCAAGAGGTTTAGCGACGGCGCGCTCGGTCCTATCATCGTTTTTGTAGATTTCCGCAATTGATGTTGTAAGAAGCCAGATTAGTAGCACTCCCCTGCTCATACGCTCTGCGGCAAAAAGTTATGCTATGTGTACTATTCCAAATAGCGCTGGTAAAAAATGTACTTAGGCATTGCGAGTTGCGAAAGCCAGTCAAAATGTGAAAATCCGAGAATCCGAATTTTCGAGCTGGTTTGCGAAGACTATATTGCGCTTAACCTTGTTTGGCACGAGCGAATCATGACATGACCATTTTCCACCGACCTTCTGGATCTAGCGCATGGGCAGAACCGCCACCGGGTCACCAGCCGCCGTCCACGTAATAAAAAACTAGACGCAAGCTTCTTCGCGGAGATTATTCGCTGGGGCCCTTTCCTGAACCCGGTATTTTCGGGGGCTGCTTACTTCTGGTTTGCGGTGCGAGCGCTGCTTTTGACTTGAGGGGGCGTTTTCGTGCACGAGCTTCTGTAGGCGTGTACGTTTACAGTCAGAGCATACCAGTTTTCCCACATTTGCTTCTTGCGAGCTACTTGGACGCTCGATTCCTTGTTTTTCCTGAGTTCCCGAACGAAAGGACGAACATTTACTTCACGACACCTCAACAATACAGAAATTGTCGTTTGCTTGGCATCACGCGTAAGAATACGCACATCACGTACCCACCGCATCTACAAAAACACCCGCCGCAATGCCAAAAGCCAAAGCAGCGCCACCGCCGCCTCCTCCCCCGCCAACGACCGAACATGTCGCGTCGGCTACGGCCTCGTCGTCATCCCTACTCTACCGACCACGCAGCACGCCGGACCTTCAAACCGAACGCGCGCTGGTCGATGTAGATCCCATTGCGGTCATCCGTGCCTTGCGATCCAAGATCCGCGAGAGCACCAGCACACATAATCTAGAGATGGACGAGCTGGATGCGAATCTGGCAGCTGAGAGGGAGAGGAATAAGGCGGAGAGGGATAAGACGCGGGATAGGATATTGAAGGCGAGCGCGTCGACGATTGGGAGGGCTGCGGCGAGAAGGAGGCCTACGATTTCGTTGCAGGAGCCACCACCGGAGTTGGCGAGGAAAAACTCGTTTTTTGCGGTCGGCGGGCAGCCGATTAATGCTGGGGGTTCAGTTGCTGGGTCGGGTGCGGGTGCGGATGGAAAGAGCCGGGATGTATTGCGGGCTTTTGCGAACGTGGAGAAGATCTCAACGACGAACACCAATGCTATCGATGGGTCGTCGGCGGCGCCGCCACCCTCGCCATTACCAAAGGGAAGCGTTGTCATCGATGAATCCGATGACCTACTCCTGCCAGTGGTCGGCGCGCAAATGGAGAAATTGAGGAGATGGCAGCACGACAGTCAGCAACGGTTGAAGCAGCGCGAAAGGGAGAGGGAGAGCAATCGACAATTGTTGGCGAATGAGCGAAAGCGGGATCGACGGCTAGCGCAGTTTGCTGGACAAGGGTCGTCGACGGTCGCATCCCGGACGGGGACTATGAGGAAACGCATGGTAAGTGGACGAGTTTGGCGTGAACATGTAGCGTAGACTGGGAGGATGGAGCGGGGACGGAGCAGGAGGGCCGATGTCTGGCGGATGGGAGGGAATGTGGAGACTTTCGACGGCCAGACAACAAGCGAAAGAACGAAGGACGATGCAGATGCAAGTCCGTCCGTATTGACGGTTCACCACGTTGTTGTCGATTCGGAGCGGAAAAGGGGACGTTCACGCTGTCGAGTTCCTTGCGATTCGAAATCGAGGGCCAACTTGCGATTCAAACGGCCCCACCGCCCACCGACGACGAAATGTCTCACAGCAAAACCGGTCATATCCGCATTCTTCCATCCCGCTTTCCCCACGCCGACGCCATCACCGTACTACTCTCTCCACAAGGAGCGAACTGTGAGCGCTCCTTCGACCTCCTCCGCCGCAAGTCACTCTTACGAACAACTCAGACACAAGCCTCACATTATCCGCGAGCACTCCCCGAACTTCGGACGTCACAAACAACGGCTTTCTTCACAAAGCCAACATCGTTGTTCGCATACAGCTAACCCAAGCTCTTTGGGATATAATACCGCCGAGACCTCCTGAACTCGAAAACGTCACTGGGCATTTCCCGCCTGCCGACCGCTCTCAGAGGGACAGACCACTCACAAACATCCACTCCGCCTGAGCCAATCCGCAAGCGTCGTTTCGACAACGATAGCAGAGCCTGCCATTCCCAATTCAAGAAAGCTCTACGTACTCAGCTTCCGGTTCCAAGTCGTCAACAGCAAAGATCCCTCATTCACGGCGCGCAGGATTTTGACCGTCTTCCACCGTTGTCTACCTGGGGATTCTAGCCCCTCCCTGAGGGTGACAATTGGCTCTCCCTGCACCTCGTAAAGCCTCCGCTCCAAAGCAGGTGGAACCGCAAACTCACTTATTGGTGTGCGCCTGCGGGAGGGACTCACGAATGCCTCCGAGAGAATCCTCGGCAGTTGAGACACTCCGCACCTCGAGCCTCAATTCTGGCGATCACCATTCCGAATGGCGCCTGTTGACGCTTGCCTCCTATATGGAGGGCCAACCGGCTGGGGGAAAACAACGTGGGGGGAGGCCCGTGAGCCACCGGTGATACCAAGAGAAACCGAACGTCTTTTGGAAGCTGCGGACGACGACGAGAGCTCTGGCTGGGACGAGATCGACATGGCGCCTGGGGACGTTAGCGACTTGCAGGAGGGAGGGGTCGAGGGGGAAGGAATAGGCGTTGACAGCTGCATGCCGTCACTAGGGCTGAGAAACCCTCTTTCGCTCTCCATAGACTGGTTCAAACTAATGGTTCCATCTTCTGTTTCCACGTTCTTCACTCCCTCGCGTTTCCCGTTTATGTTCTCGTCTCGTTCTCGACGTGCGCAATCAACTCCCATCGTCCCCCGTCATTCTTTCGCCGTGTTGCAGACGAAGAAGCGAGACGCAAAATTCGTCCTTCAGACCGCCGAATTCTATGGAGCCGACTTCTCGGCCCCCGTTGAAAACGCAGCAGTAGTCGAGATTCATCAGCATAGCAAACCTCTGGACGATGCCCAGCTTTTCGAGCAGGAACAAACTCGCGCCGTGCAGGGAGATGTGTTCATCAACGCCCTGAGCAACGTTGCGCACAGCAGGATACATCCGGAAGATACCCAAACCCAGTTTCCCACGGCCTTAGCAGAGCCATCGATCCCGATACCCCCACCATTCCCACTCTCCCAAATCACGGAGGCAGATAAGCAATTCACAAAATCCGTTATCCGCGAGACGATACCTTCGATCGATTACTCCGATGTCTTTCCCGATGATATTGCAACGAGGCCTGGCATCACCGTATTTCGCATCGAATCGCTCAAACCTGTCATTATCGGCAAATCGAAGGTTGGCAAATTCTGCGTCGGAGACTGCTACATCATTTTGCAGAACACGCCAAGGACCGGAGGTGTGAATGCGAGCCTAGAAGGCGAGGGCATGGACCACAAATTGTGGGTTTGGATTGGCATGGAAGCAGAGGTGGATAAGCGCTTTTGTGTAGCACTTTACGGAGCTGGCCTGCGGAATTGGGTTCACGCGAGCGGGTCGGTGGATCGGGAGACGTCGGGAGATGAGTCGCCAGAGTTCATGGCGCTCTTTGGAGGGCGGTTTTCCGTCGACGATGACGTGGCGGATGCTGCGGAGAGCGGGCTGTTTGTGGCGGAGAAGAAGAGATACCCACTTCGCCTGTACATGCTTTGCGGGAATAAGGAGATTAAACTTCGCCTGGTAAGTGAACCGGAGAGACGCTCATGTTGACTTGAGTTCACTATTTAACTTCTTTCGCAGATGGACCCAGCATTCTGGTCGCTCAAAACAACCGCAGTCTTTTTACTCGACTGGGGTCTCGAGATCTATCAATGGAACGGCGGCGCAGCCAGTCTCAACCAAAAAGCGAAATGCCGCATGCTCACCGAACGCATCAACCGCTCCGAACGCCAGGGCAGGGCAGAAGTCTACGAGATCAACGAATGGGACGAGCCAGCGCGATTTTGGGAGTTGCTGGGAGGGCAGCGAACTGTCCAGGACGCTATCGAAGACCATGAGAATGACCCGAGTTCTGATGAGGCGTTGTTCATGAGTATCGCTATGGCTCCCGCGACATTATACCGCGCCTTTGTCGAATTGGCAGATGATGTGCAGGGGCATGTTGTGTCGGTGGGGGCGTTGTCGAGGGCGATGTTGAGCTCCGATGGGGCGTATGTTTTGGACGTGGGAGTGGAGTTGTTTGTGTGGATTGGAAAGGCGGCTTCCATGGACTTGCGACCAATGGCGACCGAGCTACTTGCGGTATGTATTTTTTTCTTCCACGCGTTGTTTCACTGGCGCCCGTACTGACTTGCCGTTTGCAGAGAATCGTCCCACTGAAAAAGAGACCATCATGGATCGGCTTACATAAACTAATGGAAGATCATGAGGCGGAGGTTTTCAAGCTGCGATTCTCAGACTGGGACGCCCCAGCGAACGAAGTCAACTGGGAAGAGATCAAAGACCCATTCGCAGGCCGCGGCAAATCACCTATGAAAGTCGCTAGCGGAATCAGGGTGGATGTCAGGGCTCTGTACGCTCCACCTCCAGCGCCTGATGGACCCCATGTTTCTTCGGTCGAAGACACTCTCGCTCATGCGAACGGACTTCTGAAGACGTTTTCAGCGTTTCTCTACCAAAAGGGCCGCTTTGTTCAATTACCAGAACAGGAGCATGGTCACTTTTACACGGACGACGCCTACGTATTCCTTTGTGTGTATCGGCTGGAAGAAGAGAAAGAGATGCAGCGGCGCGAGGAGTGGGAGAAGCGGAGAATCGAGCGGACGAAACAGGGTATCCGCGTGGGATCTTCCGTCCGCGCGAAAGAGATCGAACGCCAGTTCAGAGATCCCGCGACTGGCGCGAGGTCTCCAGCCACATCCGAGTCGAGTCCCCGTCGGACATCAACACCCATTTCGAAACAACCTGGGCCTCTACTCCCGCCGGCACAGCGCAACGGTCTTTCCGAATCCGGACAGCGCTTACGAGCCCCCACTCCGTCAGAGGATGACGATGAAGGGTACGACGGCCGCCATGATCGTGAAGATGACGAGACGCGTTCGCGAGTCAGTAGTGTCCAGGAAGACGACACGGACAGCGAGGCTCCCGCGCCGTCCCTGGAATGTGTCGTCTATTTCTGGCAAGGCCGGTTAGCGAGCCCGCTGGCATACTCGACCTTCAAGTTCAGAACGCAGCAGGAACTGGAGGATCTTGTCTTGGATATGTACGGGTGTCCCGTCAAAGTGGCGTATCTGGAGCAGGGCAAGGAGCCGATCGCGCTTTTGGCTCATTTTGGAAACAATATTGTTCTGCATCGGGGTAGTCGCGCTGCGGCTTTGGCTGCGAAAAGGCCTGGTAATGGAGCCCGGGGCAAGTCCCGGCCGGCGAATGGCGGCGAGAAAGCGGATAGCCCACGGTCCACCATGTACCACATTCGCGTAGATGCACGGTATAAGACGACGAGAGCTGTGGAAGTCCTACCTCGCAAAGCAAGCATGGTCAGTCGAGACTGCTACTACCTGCATTCCACGTCGCCAGATGTGCCGAGTTATCTGTGGCGCGGAAAAGGGTGTAGCAAAGACGAGTGGCGGAGAGCGGAAGCCATCGTGCCGAAGATCCTAGCGGTGATCGACGGGAAACCGGACGCTCTCCCGACAGATCAGAACCCGGCCGATATCCCCGCCCTCACGATAACTTCCCCTCCCGTCCCCGTTGGTCAAAGCATCGAACCACCGCAGTTTTTCGACCTCCTGATACCCCCGCACGCCGCCAACTACCAAACCGGCACCGAATACTACTACGTGCCCGCTCCACGCTTCCTACGCTGCTCATGCGCGCAGGGTTTCTTTAGCGTCGAAGAAATCTCTCACTGGCAGCAAATCGATCTCCATTCTGACGCGTGCGTGATTCTGGATCCAGGTGCACCTCGGAAACTGTGGGTGTGGGTCGGCAACGGCGCGTCGGATGTTGTGCGGAAGCTCTGTCGGAAGAGTGTGGAGGTGTGGCTGGATCGGTTGGACGATGGACGGGTGTGTGGGCGCGTGCCAGGGATATTCGGCCCAGCGCTCAATCCGCGTTTACAACAACTTCAGCAGTCGCAAGTAACGCCGCATCAGAGACATTTGTATCGTGGCCCGACGACAAGGGCGCGTGGACCTGAAGCCGGCGCGCTGAGGAGGAGTAGTGGGAATCTGACGTCCGCGAGTTCAGGAAGCCGGGAACTTCAAAAGCCAGGGCCTACAACGGCCCTGAGTGGCCCGCATGAGGCGGATGACTGGAGGGAGGTGACGGAGCCGAATTCGTTGGGTTCGTCCTTTACGTCGCTCACCGATCTTGCATCTGTTGCATCCGCTGCCATGCGGAAACAGCGCGCCGAAAAGGCCGCGCGTCGCGCCATCACCGCCGCTTTCAAATCAAGGGCGAAAGGGCAAGATGGAGCTGACGAGTCGTCAGACGCCTATGCCGAAGGCCTATCTCCCTTGGCCATTCATTCGACGACTGGAGTACCCGCAGACGATTTCCTTCCCTCCTCACTAGCATCGCCTATCAGTCGGCGCACTAGCAGCAGCAGCGCTTTCAGTATCGCAGCTGGAGACTGTGATTGCTGCGAATGTGTCGGGTGCGCTGAAGCCATCCAGGAAGACAACCACGACGATACAAGTAATAGCAATAGCAGCAGACCTCATCAATCACTACGACCACCTACGTCGTCAACATCACCCAACGCATCTCACGCGCACATACCCACAACCAACAAACACAATACAACACTCACGCATTCCATATCATCGACATCATCACATTACGCACAGCATCAACACCATCATCACCACCACCATCACCCACCACATCCAACTCACCACCACCCGGGCGGCGCCTCATCAGCAGAAACGGCCGCGGCAGCAGCAGCGGCGGCCGGAGACGTCAATTGGGTCCTCGAAGGGCACGAACCGCCGGAATTCACCGCGTATTTCTGCGGATGGGACGAACGGCCCGTACGAGGCACGGGCGAGATTGGGAACGCGTTCGTTGACGCGGAACGGAAACGGAAGGAGGGCGTGAAGGCGGCGAGGGATGCTGTTGCAGCTGCTGGTGTAGGGGTGAAGGTCCGATGATGTTGATCGATTTTGGTACTTAGATATTTCTAGTAGTTCAGGATTGCCTGTTTTTTTGTGATCATGGATTGTTTCAATAGGAACCAGACGACTTTCTGCCGCTCGGAGGTCATATTCTTCTTCATACTCAGATGGTCCAGTGGGTCCTGTGTGGAGGTTGCGGTCTTTGCAAATGGGTATTTTATGCGTATTCCTCAAACGAATGATATGACGGCCTAGGATGAGCAAGGAGTGATCTATGCCGTTGCGGGAAGCCGACTAGTCCTCGTAAGAACAACCTCACATCTAATCAATCAATGGGTTGTTAGACTTCCGCATACATATGGCTTGCGCTTTAGATGGTATTCAACATCAATTTGATGCAGCAATCCCAAACTACATGACTCTTTGCAAAACGTATCACATAGGAGCGAACAGTGGATCATAAACGGGATTCTAATGCAGGGGCACCTGAGGGCACCTGTGAAAAACATATGGTCACAACGATGATTGGCGGAGGCATACACGAAAAAGCAAGAAAGGAAAAAAGAAACTTTGGAGTGACGGAGGATTGAACTCCGGGCTTCCTCGATGCGAACGAGACACTCTACCACTGAGTTACCACCCCATGTTCTTTTTGATATCTAATAACGCTACCAATCGCACTATTTGGTAGTTTGCTGGTCCTGGACACTTATTGGTAGTACATCTGACGCCTCCAACGTGACTCAGGGTGGATGACATCATCCCCTCGAGTGACCACAACCGTGCATGATGTCACGTCTCCCACCCGTGCATAACACCTGGGGCTCAACTCCTTTTGACAGTGTGAGTCCGAGCCATCCGAGCCGTCAGACCTGAGCAGACCAATGCATCAGGAACCTGCTGCGTGCAATGCATGCACGTTAAGCCTCTCTTCAGCAGCGTGTGGCACGGTCTCTAGTATTATAACTCGTCGTCATGACTTTAACACGGATGGCTGGCCTTAAGGGTCTGATTCAGGTCCACAGGGCTCTGTGCGGACACATCAGGGCCGCCAATGCGCTTATTCATTCAGAAGGAAAACTACATCATTCTGTCGTGCTGCCCAGATCGTAGGCTGTTGGAAAAGACTGCAGAGTCCATATGCAGGGGAGGCTGACAATGGTAAACATCGCAACATGGCGCATGCACGCATTCGTAATGGTCGTCCGCCACAAAATACGGGGCGTTTTTTTCAAATGGAAAGAATTCTTTCATCGAAAACTCCTTGAATTCGGTAAATACATGTTTTGTGATTGCCTGCGTATAGCCTCAAACAAAAGGGTCCACGTTTTGATCCGAAAACATGGCATTTTTGGAAATGCTTCCTTTAACAGCCATCCCTTTCGATCAATTTTGAATCAGGCTGGAAAGAACAAAGGGCGATGAACTGCGCATAGTGAGGTTTTCGATCGGAGGGTCGCTTGTGACCGCTGCGTATAGCTGCTGAAAGTCTGTTTGCCTGAGTCAGCCACGCGTCTCGCGCCCCATGTGCTTGTGTATCCCTCCGATATTGAGTGATGTTTGACGGGATATCCCAGGAATATCTGAAGGATGTGCGGATGTGAGGATACGAGGGTACCGAAATCCCCTATGGCAGAGAGGTATGTGGTTCTGGAGCGTTCCAGAGCAGGACGATTATGTGCCGGCCGCAAGCAACACTGGGGGACCGTTGCGATCCGAAGGAGATGACGTGTGAAGTCCCCCATTCCCGACGCTGTCAATCCACCCTTCGCGATGCCCCGCCCTTCTTGCAAGCACGCTGACGCACTCATGTGGCAAGACCGACATACCTACCCCACACAGCACACACAGAGATATCCAAGCCTCATCTGTCTCCCATTCCTCCGGATCTGCAACAGACTTTCCACAAACTTCCTACCCTCGGGCCTCGGCGGAGGAGATCGCCTCCCGAGAGCAGACGTCACGTAAGGAAGATCGCCGAAAGCGCACATCCTCTCTGCTTGGCACGGATCCCATGGGGAGCAGCCGCCCCGGAGGCCAGGGTCTAGACTCTTTGCAGTGTATGTCTCGCTTGAGCCCTCCGTGGCGAGTTGAAGAACAGTCGGGAGCGGGGGTGGTGGTTTACTCTCTTTTTCTTGTAGATACGTCCGTTAGCCTTCCTTGCGGCTGTGTCCTGTCGTTGTGCCGGCCAGCACTATAAAAACGAAATTGCGCTGTGAGCGACCCCCCCTTTTCCTCTTTTGGATTTTTCAGACCCCATATCCGAAGCATCTAAGCCCTCCCGTCCCATCCTGGGGGCTCCATTTTTGGTTTTTCGGATATCACCGCACAATACCCCTTCAACGGAATTATACAAATCGCGTAATTAATACCCAGCTATCGGATCCTTCCGCGTATTGCCGGTACATATATAGGAACTCTTCAGATGTCGAAAATCATTTCATTTTTCTAAATCGCCGTTAGGATTTACAGATAGTATCCAAAAAGACCGGCGGCCAACAAGTATCGGCATCGCTCCTCTCACAACCCACCTTTCTAATCGCGACTCTCACAACCCACCTTTCTAATCGCGAAGGAGACCACATCGCACGGACAGAGACAATAATTCCCTCTGCGCCAGTTGACCTCCCGTGCTTCCATCTCACTCCCGGTGCAATCGCAATTCGGGCGAATGAAGCATCAGCACCGCGACCAATACGACGACGAACCACATGACGCCGGTGACACTCGCACTCACACCTACGACGACGACGTACACGACGACGAGCGCCTGAAATCAGAAGCCGATGAGGATCACGACGATGGAGCTCCCGAATCCTCATCTTCACCCCGCCTCCGGCGACATGTCGCGAGATCTGCTTACCAAGATCAGATCAACGCCATTACACCCACCAACATCACGTACGACGGCACGACTAGATCGGCCAACAACCCAGCGCTGCATTTTCATCAATCCAACCATCGCGATGCGCGGCCGCCTGAAGAGCGTCACTGTCGCGGCGACCTCGTGTCCCCGCCGCTTCGCAATCCGGACGAGAGGCCGATGCGGGACGAGGCGGTCGGCGGCGACCGACGTGGTCATTCACGGCAGATATCTACTGCGTCTGCTCCGGCCGCCATGACCCGACAATCGCAGCGCACAGATGACCAGTTACGCTACGGCGAGATGCATGTGGGAAGTTCGTCGCGAGAGCGTGCATCTGAGGACCAAGGCTCGCAGGCCTCCTTCCCGTACATGGCAACGATAACGTCCAACTCGGCCTGGCCTCTACTCGCAGCCAACAGCACCCTGCCCCTAGCCCCGATTAGCGCCACACTACAGCCCCGAATGCCCTTCGCAGCGGGCAGCGGGCCGATGCCCATCGACCTGAGTGACCCTGACCTCGCCACAAACAGCAGCACACGCCGCCACAACGCCGCCATCCTCGCCCGTGAAGACCTCTACAACGCTCGCCTAATGCGAGCCTACCAGCGTCCCACCATCGAAGTCCTTCTTCGATCCCCGCGTCTCGACCACCACAACACCCGCGCGTACGATTCCGACTCCCACGATGACGATGACGACGGCGATCCCGCGCGCATCCCGAGCCTAGATGGTGTCGACGAGAGCAATGTCGCGAGCAGCAGTAGCGGCAGCGGCGGGAGTCCTCGGTACCTTAACAAGCCGCGGACGCACCATATGATGCAACGGTCGAAACGGACGCATCATCGGCCGCGACGCACGAGGGATTGGTTTGAGTCACAGTATGTGTGCAATAGTAGTGTGAGTCCGAGTGAGGAGACGACCACTACTACGCCGAGTGCGAAGGAGGAGGAGGAGGGTGGTGCAACGGGCCGGGTGAGCGGTATTGTTGATGGAGAGGTGGAGAGCATTGATGGGGATGAAGGTGATGACGAGGAGGAGAGTGGCGAAGAGGAGGCGCACGCAGCGTCTCTGTGTAGGATTGGATAGAACGCATCCGTCATTTCGTCTCGATACCTAATCTATACACATGTGTCTTGCCCTTTCGTTGGCGCTAGCTTGCATTTCGCCATCCTGCTTTTTCTAGATATTAGACCCGCCGTTACATCGGAATGTACTTTTGGGGCGCATTTTGGATCAACAGAGCTTTTTCTTTTGCGAATTATTCTCCCCTTGAGGATCTTGTGACGTCTCCTTAATGAAGCACCCATGATAGGATGATGAAACGATCGGCATTCGCCGCAGGTAGAGTTGTCCAGACCTGGTCGTTGTGTCGAGGGAGGGTGGTGTCGAGTGACAGCCCAGTGTCGTGGTTATTTGGGGAAGAAATCGGGCACAGCGCCAAGTGAGCGGAGTTGTTGAAGATCGATGAGAAACACCAAGAGGCCCCATCCGTTTTTCTCACAAGGTGGCGGGACTGATGAAGAATCTTTACTGTTTCGCACCCCTAGTCGCCTCCTTATGAACCTGCAAATCCTCCGCTATTGTATATATATGGCAGCACGAGATGAGTTCTCGGAAAGGCACAAATAAACATCCGAGTTTGCATATCATTATCACCCTGGCCTTTTCCAGCTGCGTCGCGGGGATACAACTATGCTCGAGCATCGTGGCCATGCACCTCTTTCTGTGGAAGAAACGTGGGATAGCTTGCATGCTGACCTCTTGCATTCCCATGGCACCCGCGGGCTGCTCAAATGTCATGATGCCGACGCGGAAACGAGGCTTGTCCGAACGAAGCAGACTTGGCGACATTCGTCCCATTTGGTCGCTGGCACAAGAAGCTGCTGTGCCCAACTTTACAGCACATACAGAGCTCACACACAGGATAGAGACATACTGTCGCCTGGTTGCAGTAGAGCAGAGAACGTGTCAGCGTCGGTGAGACCGAAACTTCTCCCAGCCAACAACATTTCGAGATGCTGGCAGGACATGCGGCCGATGCCCCGGCACCGTCTCGCCGGCGGCGACAGTCTTTGTACATGAGACTTCAAGCGGACGAGAAGGAAGGCGAGGAGGTTTCTGTGAGGTCCTTGTTGGATACGCTGAAGGTATGACGCTGATGCGGCATTTTCTGATTTGCACTTTACTTCGTGTCTTCCCCATGCGCTGGTCAGTCTAACCATCTTGCGCAACTTAGAGCCAAGTCCTGCTCGTGCTGACGAGGTAGGCCACTGAAAATGGGCACCGACCGACGGATCGCAGTGCCTTTTAGCTAAGGATCATGATTGTCTTCAGCTTCTACAAAGACTTCACGACTTCATATCAACATCGCATCGATTTGCGCGATGATATAGCATCTGTACGCGACCAGCTGGAGGAGATGGGGCCGCCTGAGAAGGTGAGCAGAAGCTGGCTCCAAAACTTGATGTTGTTGATAACTCATGTCTGTGAGCAGACTAACCTGCATGCAAAACGAGAAAACGAGCTGATGGGAGATACAATCACATTCTTGGAGGCTCTGACGAAAGTGAGGACGCACTTGGTGGCCCAGTGTAAATCGTTGATGCCGATGTCCTAAACGGCCACTGTAGATACATGCAGAGATTCAAGGCATGGATCAGCTTGTCGATACGGGCGAGTTTGTCAGCGCGGCCGACTCGATAGTAGAGATGGTAAGTTGTCCTGATGGTTGTTGGGTTTGGATGACACTAATCCACAATTGCAAAGACCAGATTGCTGGAGACCGTTGATCGGTTCGCAAAAAGATGCGGTTGTCCGCCTGATATCGTGAAAGCAGTGAAGGTATGCCTGATGGACGTCCTTGTGTACTTTGACGTGGTAAACACAGGCTGAGCTGGCATACAGATGCAAGTCATCTCAAAAAGCTCACATCTTCAACAAAAGTTGCAAGAGCTGTTCGTAGCCGCCTTTGTCTTGACTAGTGGGGCCGATGGTTGCGAGTTGCGAGCTGCCACTCGCTTGCTCGGTAAGATGTTTTTCCATTCAAATGTCCGTGTATGCTTGACTTATGCTCTTGTTAATTGACAGCTACAATTGGACAGAACTACTTCGACAGTCCAATAAAGTCATACGATGTCCTCGTGGCTATGGAGCGGATGGGCACTTTGGACTCTGCAATACGGCGGTTGTCGAAGCGGCTCATCTCAACGATTGTTACCCACATCATCAATCATCCATCCGAAGACATCAATGTGACGCGGACAAGGATAGCGTTGAGCATTCGGGTGGGATTCACGCCGAAATCTTTACATGAGGTAGACACTAAACATGATCGAAAAAGTATGTGACTGGTTGGCGCCCCGGGTGGACGACAGGTTTCGCATCTGCAGTATCTAACTCTCTTCCATGCTTCTAGCCGTATCCAGAATACTAGCCAGCGTGCTGAAACTGGCCCAAGCACTGAAAGAGGACGTGTTGAGCGCTCCGCTTTCATCCGAGCACTCATATGATGCCTTTCGGGTGTTTGCCAAGATATGGGGGCATGATTTATGCGACGAGCTGGTCCGTTCCTGCCTTACCAGGTCAATACCTGATAACCAGGCCGCATTTGATGAATATGCTACTTTGGTGGAGGATGTTCAGGGTTTTGATCAGGGAATGAGGAATCTAGGTGAGGAACCGATAATATCGCCAAGCTTTAACAGAGCGCAATTGGATCCAAGTTGATGGAGGAAATCATGGATATCAATCAGGCTACTTTGAGGACGATAAGAACCCGCTCGTACAGTTTGTTGCTAAAATCCAGCGACACTATGCACATAAACAACGGTCCGAGCTTTTGGTTCTGGTACGAGACGTGCTAGAGAGTGATGATCGGAATACGGTCCAGGTTCCCGGCCCATTGGAGAAAGGTGCGTTAACAATATCGACATTGAGCGCGACTCCAAGGGTCGATACAAAATGATTCGACACCATATAGGAGATATCTTTGCGACAACGTCCGAGACGAAGGCAGCCAAAGAACAAACAAGCGGTAGCAATCCGAACGGCAAAGGAGGCCAGAAAGATGGACTTGAGATTCCTGATATGGATTTCAAGTTCCCTACCTGCCACGTGAGCGTTCAAGCGCAGACAATCGTCGAGCTCGCAATCCAGACTCTCGAGGAGGTCACTGATGCGCCGGATGCTGCGTATGTGCTCAGAGGATACTTTTTGAAAGAGCTGAAAGTGCTTTTCGCTGATTTCTACACTGCCTCAATTACAGCAAACTGAACGCCTTCTACTGCGCCCGAGATATCTTCGACGCTTATCGTGCCATTTTGCCCGTGCATCACGCCGACTCGCTCGAAAACGATCCGGGGAGGACCATGCTGTTCCACAACGACTGCGAGTACATATCCTTCCATCTGTTGATCCTGGGATACAGGTACCATAAGAACCTGCCGTACCCGTTGACGGAGATGGGGACCTTTGTGGATCTTGTGCCGAGCTTTAGGAAGATGGGCGAGGGGTATTTCAGGAACCAGATGGTATGTACAACATCGGATAGTGACCGTCGCGGCTGAAGGACTAACCTGTGTTACTTTACTCCTCCACAAAACCAGCGAAAACAACGAGACATACTGCTTGCCAAAGTGGCCGACGCGCAAGGATTCCACAACCTCGGCGACGACGAACGTTGTGAAACCGTTGAAGAAGCCATCAAGGCCACTCTGTACCATCTGCAAACGCTATCCAAAGCCTGGAAGGTGAGATGTCCTGCTTCCGTTCCCCCTGGCCCATTGCGACGGGCGAATCCGACACATATTCCGTCGCTAAAACAATGTCTGTTTCCAGCCAATCATGGCCAGTCGTCTCTACTTCCAATCCATCGGCCTGCTCCTCAACGTCCTCCTGCACGGTCTCCTCAAAGAACTAGCCAAACTCTCATATCCCCAGTCTTCAACTTCACCATCATCAGCGGATACGAAAGCAAACGACGATGCTCCGGAGGTTGCGTGGACAAGACAGGAAGCCCATCAGCTGCGATACCTGCTATCGCTAATTGACAAGACCGAACAGTATTTTGAGACTGTTTCAGGGGCGGGGAAGGCGAAGACGGTTGAGAAGGTATGTGTTTGTCTGTCGGTAGACGAGGGAGCATTGGGATCAAGACGATGGTCGTTACATCCGGGCTTTTGCACTCAATCGGTTCTCTGAATTTCAGGCGCCTATCCCGAAATACGTCCCGCTCTGGGAACCCACCCGCGAGATTGTGCAGCTCTTGGACACGCAACCCGCGGCGACCGTGCTGCAACGCGTGACAGCAGCACTGCAGGCCGCGGGAGCGACGTTGGAAATGAGTTGAAGTGCATGTAACTGACATGTAGCAGACGTAGTATTAGGACTCCATGACAACCACACCCTTTGAGGTGTCGGGATTTCCGCCACTTCGCCCCTCCGAATCTGGGGACGTATCATAGTAAATCAGTACGGCGTAGAGTTGCAGCGGATTCTCCTTGTCCCCACCAGCACGACAGGCCCATTCTCTTTTTCGTTCCATGTCTTTCATAATCTTCCATGCCCATATGCCCGCCCCCCTGCGCGTACACGTCCTATCATCTCGTCCCCGTAAGAGATGTTTCATCCAGTCCATGCTTTTCCACCTTCCACTCAGTCACATCCGGGCGGGCGCTCTTTTCTGTTTCTCGCACACTTTTTCCCTACTTTGTGCTTCCCCCGGGGTTCTCTCACGATACGGAGTTCTCTCCGTCCTGTGTACATGTACAGCACGCCGCTGGGCGTATCTGCAAAATGCTAGGCCGCAGGATGAGCTGCTTCATCACTGCCGCCAGCAGATCGGGGGGTACAGGTAGGCGAGCCCTCCCGCTCGTGACAACCCACCCCGTATCCGGCGACTCGCCCTTTGCAGTGATGTGCGGGAAGCAATATCCGGCTTTGCTTCTTAGTCGCAGATCATCCGCGAGTTCCCCGCCTCCCTGTCTGGACTTCATGTTCGAAATCTCCCCCGTCAAGGAGCGGTAAGATCCATAAACCATTGCCCGTCATGACTGCCGACACCACCGTCACATCGGCAAGACCTGAAAATGCTCGCCCCACATTCGCGGTCATCATAGCCGGGTCTCTTCAGAAGCCGAATGCGCACGATCTCATTGCGCGATCGCGAGACCCGGCCTCTCACCGTTTCCCGGCGAGCTCAATGCGGCCGGGGGGATCAACTGCCCAAAACGGGCAAAAGGGGGCGCATCGATGGGTGCACGGACGCATCCTTTTCCTGCGATCCGCGCCAGGCGAGGCGGGCCTTTGAACCCTCATGTCGATGGCGATGGACAGACTGCTCGGCCCCGATGGGAGCGGGGGTGGCTACAGTACATCGCGGTGCGGATCTACCTGAATTCGGACGTGACGCGGGTGGAGAAACGCATCGTCATGCCTCAGGGATCGACGGAGACGGTTGGCGTGGACTGCAGGCAGCGATCTGTCCAGATCTGTCCTTCAAACGAGCAGTTCGGTGGTGGTGAGTTTCTCAGAGTTGTTGGGATGTGCGCCGCTTCCACGTGGGCTCACGTGGGCAAGGCGACTGGAGAACATGCTTGCAACGCGCCACATCCAGCCACGACTGCGCCCCCGTTGACTGAGCCGCAAGCAAAATGCGTTTCTTGGCGCATCCAACGAAAAGAAAATGAACAGACAACAACAACACGGCAAATATCGCCAAGATAGAAGCAGCAAAATGCGGCGGCCAGCAACAAAGTATTAAAAACTTGAACAGGAAAATCATCTATTCCGTTATATGCTTTTCTGATGAGGTTGGGCGGGGGGCTATAAGGAGGAAGGGATTACAAAATTGCGGGATGTATAGTATGACAAGAATGTCGGGACCTCTATTCCCCCCTCCCCCAGAGGCATTTTCGCGGATTCTCAAAGTGTCTGCGTCGCTGAACTACCCTAATACTAAAACGAGCCAAATGCGCGATGGATGTATGCTGGTGATGGGTGGTGGGTTGCGTAGGGTGGGGAATAAAGCGAGTGGTGAATACGCAGGCGAATGTGTGTGTGCGTGTGTGTGTGTGTGTGAAGGCGCTAATTGAAGTGAGGGGGGGTTTCGCTTAAATAGCTCCGATGAACGCAGCGAGGGCTCCAGCGATGATGGTGCCAATGCCGTAGAGGGCCTTGCCAGCGGAGGACTTGGCGTCGGCGGGGGTTGTGCCGGATGCGCCAGGGGCAGCAACACCTCCGGTTGTTCCGGTTGTGCCGGTGCCGGGGGTGACAGTCGCCTTCTTGGTGGGGCCGGTGGTGCCGACGGTGACGTTCTTGCCGTAAGGACCGTTGTCCTTGCAGGCGCGGATTAACCTCAGGTTGGTCATTTCCCAGACGGAGCCCTGGGGTGAGAAGCCGTTCAAAGTCCAGTCCTTCAAGTGGACAAAGTCGAAGGCTTTGCCGACGACGTTGGTCTTAAAGTCTACGAAGGGAATGATGACGGGACGGGTCGTGCCGTCGACGACGGTATAGTCGGTGATGGGGATGTAGGTGGAGTCGTCGGGTAATCGGGTCTGACAGTCGGCGCTCTTCTGGGTCAAGGTGAGGGTGAAGGTTCCGCCAGGGGGTCCCTTGAGGTCGAACGCGACGGCGAAGAAGTTGGTCAGGTCAAAGCATGCTCCCCAGTCGAACTTGGCAAAGAAGAAGTTGGTCTCGCCCTTCGCGTTCTTGAGTTCCGTCGATGTGATGTGGTTGATGCCGGTAGCGGTGTCGATGGTGAAGTTCAGGGACTTGGTCGGGTCTGGTCCTTGACCGTAGTCGCCCCCCAACAAGTTCAAGTAGCGGAGAGGGGCCGTCTCTCCAGGAAGGGTGGTGTAGTTGGACTTCTTGAAGTCGTCGACGAGAACATCGGCACCGCACTCGACATGGGGGATAACGGTGTGGGGTACGACGATTGGGGCAGCTGGGGCAGCTGGGGCAGCCGGGGCAGCCGAGGAGGCGGCGGGAGCAGCAGCGGAGCTTGTTGCGGCGGGAGCAGCAGCCGAGCTGCTTGGGTCCTGAGCAAAGACGGACGAAGCCGCGACGACGAGGAGGGAGGTAGCGAATGCGATACGCATGGTGATGGGATTTCTGTCTGTGTTATGAGGGAGTGGGCAAGAAATCTGCTGTTCTAGAGTAGGACGACGACGACGAAAGGTGGGCCACCTGGAGTTTATATACGAAAGCGTCGAAAGGAGGGGCAGACGAGGGGGGCGCACGCACGGCGGGAGGCTTTCTTTATACACGCGTTGCTAGTCCTATTATAGCAGCCGCTGCCCCGAAATAGCAGGCGCTGGGAGGGCGGGCTTTTTTTCACACTCCTACAGCTCTATTACCATTCTCGCCCTCCGAGCGTGAGGCTTCCCCTTCGATACCACCCGGATCCCAAACTGTGGTTGACCCTCGCCTGGGCGTCGGAGAATATTCGCCCCACGGCTCGGATCCGCCATCCCAGAAAAAAAGCACTCTGAATCCAGCCCCCTACAAGAACAACCCTCAGAGCGAATTTGAAGAGCACAATCCGGTCACACCCCCATTACTACTTCCCTTTGAAGATTCCCGGTTGAGATATGGATCTCAAGACACGCGGACGGCCGCTCCCCATGTAGTGCCGATCAGCAAGTGACGGGCTGGGGGGTGCGGATGATCACCTCTGGGCAGCGAGCGCAACACGGAGGTAAGTTTCTTCCTCCATTTTATTGGATGTTGTTCGCCGTGGAGACCCATCAACGCAAATTTTGGCCTGCCAGCGGGTTGGCCCAATGGGAACGTGGGAGTGCGGAGGCTGGTTGGGGCTGTCGGAGTTATGCACACAATAATGCAAGATTCCCAGGATCGTGAGTTGGGCGTGCGTTGGGGTTGGAACTTGGACCCGTTGGCGCCGGAAGCCAAGCCACACTTATTTCTCACGGCCACGAGAACGGCAAGGACCTCTTGAAACGCATTATCATGGACTGATTCAACTTGTCCAAGGATAAATTGAAAGAGGCGGGCACGGAGAGCGGGGGGGCCCGAACGCGAAAATTCTTGAAACAGAGGGGGTGTGGACATAGAGCGGTCGATCGGCAGAACTGTCAGCATCAATAATAAATGTGGCAGGGCCGGCCGCCGGAGTGGGAGTACCGATATTCGAAGTTCGATCCCATCCCAACTGGCAATGCATGGCAACCGAACCAGTACCATTCTTATTGTTGTGAGAGGCGCGCTGCGAGGTTGTTTAGCGATCACACAGTATGCGCCGTCGGAGGCTCCCTGGAGCTTCAAGTTTAATGAAGTGCAAGACCGAGCATCCAGCAAAATTCCATCCCGGCGATATCGATTGGGCAGATCGATGAGTTTGCGCGAGCAACATCCATCTTCCATCGTGACGCCCGCCGAAATCTGCTGAGTCGTAGCGATACACTATGTCGCGAATGCCTCTGTAGTATTCTATCCAAACAATGGTATCTTCCGTCTGTACATGGAAGGGGTTGCCGGGCGATACATCCGAGCTATACATACGTATACGGTGTATTCGGCGGTGTAACCTTTTTATCCCCCTGTGAACATCGCAGTAGCCCTACAGCTGTGCGACTATTCCGGCGCTCCTCAACGACGAATGTCCGTCAACTCGCCCGTTTTCCCACGCCTCTGCTCTGCACCACCACCCCTCAGCTTACTTCTTCAAATCCTTGGGCTCGGTCGGCACCCACCCGCCCTCAACCCCCCTCCACTCCGTCAACTCAAACGCGACCAACCACGGCTTCACAATCTCATCCTGCTCCTTGAAAAACGGGTTGGCGATATGCACTCCCTTCGCGGCCTCATCCGCAAACATCTCGACGATCATGAAGGATGTGGGGTCGGACGCGCTCTGGTGGACCGTCCACGAGAGCGTGCCCGCGTCGCGCATGTAGGTTTGCGAGGCGAGGGCGAGGCGGTAGCTGAGGGAGGCGATGTGCGCGGGGGTGGTGCGGAGGTTGACGTGGATTGTTATCATTTTTTTTTTGGGCCTTGAGCGCGGGTTGGAGGTGGTGGGTGGTTCGGGTAGAGGGGAAGGATGTATCGGTTTTGCGGGAGCTGTCTGTCTGCTGGTTTTCCTTGTCCTTTTGGGTGCAGGAAGGAGGGACGGCCTCGCTCAAGCTGGCATGCTGTATGTATGCCCAGCGCCCCGCCAGCAGCCCAGTTCACCAGTCCACGGGGGGGTTATTATACCAGTCCACCCAACTCCGCACTGTTTTGTCAGCGGCGCGCGTCTCTCTCAGTCTGCCGCGTTTGATGATCAGAGGCGGGCGCTTCCGTGGTTCGAATATATGCACCTCCGCTGGTCCGCCTGTCCTCCGTCGATGGGCGTAACCGTTGGGACGGAGTACCCGCCCCAGCCGCCGGCGGAGCACATCCTTGTAGTTCCCAGGAAGCTTCCAACACGAAGAATCCGCAAAAGACAGCACAAAAACACCGAAGCAACGATGGTGCGGTATGGACCGAAGCAGTGTAGACATCCGGACCTACCTGATGGCATGAAGGGGTGGGTGCTTGACATCGTGCAGCTGTCGCATTTCTCTGCGAAACAGCTCTGTCCAGGGTCCTTTCGTCATTAGCGTGAAAAGACCTCCGTATCGGCCAATTCCCAGACCCAGAGAGCAGCCGACATGAGATGCTCATCTCCGGGACAAGAGCGGTGTCTGTGTGAAATGAGCAGTCATGCGTCTACATCCACTACGCACGGGAGAACCGGAGACCCACTGCTCCCAGCAGCCGGTTCTATGACCTTGGAGAGTGATGAGAGCAACACCCGCCTGCTGTGTGGTAGTAATATGTGTCCTGCGAGCGGGTGGTTGCCGCATGTGGTACGGGATAATTTACGGGCGGCGAACCTTCGCGTCTGAGAAGAACAGACCCAGACCGTCCATGCGAGAACGCCGCCTGGGAAAAGAATCCCTGCTCAGCCATTGGCGGAGCTCTCTTGCGATTTCAAACATACACTCCAGTCAGCTTCGTCACCGTCTTTCTTTCCGTCTCGTATCGTGCAAGCCCTCTCAATAACCCCACCACCACCAGAGGATGGACACAATCTACATCGAAAAAGGCCGCGCACATCACCTCGACCTTCCCAGTCCCGCTCCCCAACTCCACCCCCTCCACACCGCAGCCCTCCAACAGCAACACCAACTCATCCAGCAAGGACAGCACCCCCACTCGGCTCCCCTACTTTCCCCTGCGACTCCCGCTGCGACCGCGAACATGGCCGGCGCAATCGTTAACGAGTATGCCCCGCACTTGGCCATGGACGAGTCGCCGGCGAGCGTCAATGCTTTGAAGTATTGCTATAGGGCGGTTCTCAGGCCGGGTGACCATTTGAATGTTTTTGCGGCGGCTCAGGAGGCGAAGGATGAGGTTCATGTGAGTATCTTAGCGAGCCTCAGCGAGGGAAGCGAGCACCACATTGCGGCAAAGGCGCAATACTCCCCCTCACCCACGCCCAGAATTCGGAAATCAGAAATCAGAATTCCCACGTCCATTCTCCAACATTTTTCCATGGTGGTGGTTGATGATGGTTGATGGTTGCTGGGTGGCTCGATGAAAGATGTTGATGCCAAACTCAAACTCCATCTCTTATTTACACCCACAGCTGATCAAACGGCTAAGCAGTCTAATCAACGCCGTGAAAGAATCCTTCCCACATCTCCACCACACCGTCCGCGTCTCCCTCCACGTCGCCGCCCTCCCCACCTCCCAATCCTCCACCGCCACCTTCTCTACCACCAACCTCGTCAACACCCTCACCTCCCTCGCCTCCTCCACAACCGCCGCGCTCTCCCCATCTTCCTCCTCTACGGACCTGCCCCTCCACACAACGCGTACCCAGACTCCACCGCCTGTCCGAACATCTTCCACCCGCTCGTCTCCGTCCCGATCATCGAGCCCGCCCCCGTCGTATGCGTCCCCGGCCGGCACACTGATCTTGCAGTACATCAAGCGACACAATGTGAAGCATCTGATCATCGGCACCGGCGAGCAGCCCAAGGTGCATTATGTGATGCCCTCGGGACCGTGGTCCGTTACTAGCGCCGTGTGCTTTGGGAGCGTTGCTGGGTTTGTCGTGGAGAATGCGCCGACGGATGTTATGGTTGTCGCCGTGAGACATGCGAAGGAGCGGAAGAGGGTTGTGAGGCAGAGGGAGTTCGATGATGACGAGATTTAAGATTGGGGTGTCGTCTTGTCTGTCGCGCATGACGCATAACGAAAGGAAGAAATGGAACGAAAGTGATGGGTCGGATATGCAGATCAGGGTGCAGTGTATCGGCTCGAGGAGCCGACTCGTCTTGGGCGAGCCCGTTCATTAGATAGTCCATCCCCAGATTTCCACCCTTCCGCCGAGACGACCTTGCCCACCTAGTAATTATTCATTTGCGAAGTATCGCAACCGTTGCCGAATGTAGCAAATTACGAGTGTATCGTCTTTGAATGGGAGTCCGAATGATAGTCTTCCAGTGATGTTGATCATCCCCTGCATGTATTCGCAATACAATCAATGCAACCAACATCCCACGAAAAAAAACTCGTCTATGTTCGCTTTGCATATTGAATCTCTACGCCGTTGGCCTTGACACCAGACGATGTACGGTATTGATTCTCTCATGTTGCATAGATACAGTTGGAGCAGCCCATTGGCATGAAATGTTCTAGATTGGCTGGTTGCCCGGCATCCAAAGGGGTGGCGGACACTTGGCAAAGCGCCGCGGTTGTCAATGTCCTCTGTTTTTTGGTTTTCCCTATAATATATAACCCCCTCTGCGTCCCAAACCGACGCCAAAGGCTGCATCTCACCAGCAAATATGCGAGCAAAAGACCGACGAACATCCAAATGGGGATATTTGGCTCGTTGTTGCTTTCCACACGGTAGCATTCCGGTCCCATGCTCGGTGCTCGTTTTTTCTGCTGCCCGACAATGGCCGCATACATACTGTACATGTGTGCGTGGATGTGCAGGGACGTCCGAAATCGGACTTCGCTCCGTGAAAGTGCGCTCAGTCAGCAATGAACGACCGACGCGCACAGTTCGCGTTTGGCAGACATCACCGATCGCGTGCATCAAGCTCCTGTAGATTTGTCTTCTTCGCCGGGACCAACCAAGTGGATGGTGAAGGTGAAGCCGTTCAAGGAAAATTAGGATAGGATGTCACGGGCAGGACACGGAACGGAGTGTGTGGCAGGGTGAAGCCGCCGTTCGCACTACGGGGCTGATACGGGGCCGTCAACGTCCCAACGTGGATTATAGCACGTACCTGGCGATGAGATCTCACGCCTCGCACGTTTCCGCCACAGGCCGGAAGGGTGTGGTGTATGATCCCCGAGCTGGTTTACAAGTATGTCTGTCTTCGAACGTCCTTTTGCACCTGTCTAGACTCTCCACAGCCTCCGTCCCGGAGGCTACTTCCCTCTGCCCCGTCATATGCTCTTGCCCTCCCGCTGCCTCACCAGTGTTCCACTACGTGAGACTGTGAGAACGGTAAACCCGTTTGCATGTTGGCCGCCGCCACTCCCTAAATTCAAACCCCCAACAAAATCAGCGCTATCGATCCCGTGTCGTTCCAAATCTCTCAGTTCCTATATTTCAGCGCGACGCTTTAAACGGCGACGGATTGCACTGCAAGCTCCTGACATACCCGAACCCTGCGATGAAGCACAACCAACCTGGCGACCGGTCGAATGAGCAACGCACGCAGTCCATATGTCGAAAACAGACACTGGTTCCAGTGGCGCCAGGGGTGTATGTATCTATCCTTTCCTCGGTTCCATCGAAGTGATTCAAACTCGATGACTCTCTTCCAATCCACGGATGCGCACTAAATATCCCGGGAAGGGTAGTGAGCAGGAATCCTGCGACGATGAGAAACTCCTCCCTCCCTCGCCGGATATCGATGCGCTTCGACTTTCAACCGCCAACTCTCTGTCGCGGGAACGCCGGCGCTGAAGTCGCGGCTATACCAACGTGAACCATCTCGGCCTGCATGGAGTATTTGGAATCCTCCAGGGTCTATTCCAACTGTTTTCTGCTCAAGTCTAGCCCGTAACACCCTCTTGACCAACCGTTCGGACCATTTCGTGTTGTTTATCGACAACCTGCCCCGGAATAAGATCCACGATCCGTCGCGCACAGGCATCCTCGTCAGCGGGTCTGTCGATGTGAAGCTTTGTTTCATCGACGGCGGCTTTTCCGGAGTCGGTTTGATTGGGTGCCGTGATAGATCCTGCGGGTTGGACGAGCTTGGACATTTGGTGATCTGGTTGTGGTGTTTCCGCGTGTAGTTCGCTTCTTTGAAGTCCGGTGGGGTGCGTCGTCGAGGCGAGTGAGTTTGAGTGCTTCGTTGTTGCATGACGGAGAGGAGAGTCGTCCTCTTATGAGAGCATAGTGTCGTACCTTTGTCTTTTTCGATAATTCGGAGAGTAGATCCTGTCAAAATGTTGCCCAATTCGATTTCGAGAAAGTCGGAGTGTGGTAAATAACCCACGCCGGCGCGTGATGCAACAAGCAAACTCCGCCCACGCGTTTTTGATGAGGGCTTGATGGACGAGCGCCTCGGCGGCAGCCCTCCAACAGAACAAATCTGATGATCAATCCAACTTGCCGTTACATATCCAGCTACTAAACTCTACGGTTGGATCTACGCGGGCCTAACGCTCCTTCTGCAGTACAAATACATCACACCGCATCAGGAGTTTTTCAAGTACTATACTAAGGAAATGGGATCTAGATACGCCTGCCGCAAGTGCATGGAAATCGAAGGGGTGCCGTGCGATGAACGGAAAACTCCCAGGCAATCGCAAACCTTCACCCCACGCTGTGTGCCCACTCTCGATATCTTGTGCCACCCAGAGAGACGAGCTTTGAGCCCCGAAAATCGCTACAAGTGCGGCCCCACACTACCAGCTCTGCCGCTGATTCGGACACTCATCCAGCAAGATCCCCAACCCCCCTCCCTCGTCGCCCACAGGTACACCTTCAGCCCCTGCCACGTCTCCTCCGAGCGGACCTTCTCCCACAGCCGGGTATAACTGGCCGAGCCATGTTCCTGGGAGACATTCATCTGAATCGTGCGCATCTGGTCGTAGAGCGCGAGCGGGAACCCGAAACCGGCCCTTTGCACCTTGACCATGAAGCGGTTGGAGCCGTGCACGTTTTTGGGGATGGCGGTGTTGGAGTAGTTGTGGCTGCCCATGGAGGTGACCTTGCCAGCAAACATCTTGGGAGCAACGCCAAGAGCGATATACGGACTGAGTTCCCGTCTGATGCTGGTTGTGCTGCTTTCGAATCGGATGGCTTTGTGATTGCCACGGCTTTGGTGGCGGGTGTACAGACGAGCTTATGCGTTGGCCAGCATCAAGCACGGATCCAGTGGCGACGTTGACCACGCACTTCCGCCTGGCCGGCCGCCCCCGTACTCGGCGGAACGTGCAGCATCGTGGGGTTCATACTTCGCCGAAAGATTGCCCAAGAAAGAGACTGCAGTCGTGGCCACCACTACTGCAGCCATCGGTTGCTCTCCTGCACTGCAAGGACCCTTGGGGTGGAAAGACATCCTCTCGGCCGGCACTGGCGTGGTTGGGGGTGTCGTTGACAAAGTCTTAACCCGCAAACCCAAAGAGAGCCAGTTCGACCAGAAGGCGGTTCTTGCTTCCTACTACGCCTTCACGCACAATCAGGCCTTCAAAACGACGCATGCCAAACAGATAGCGTTCGAAGCCGAGGAGGCCGCTAAAGTACGGGAGCACCAGCGCGAGATGGCGATGTTGAAGCTTACGTCGCAGCGCGAAGCCCGAGCACACCAACTGAGGATGGCGAAGATGATGATCGCCAGAAGGAAACGCTTTAGGGTAGTTTTCAATCTTTAGACGGACTCCTTAAAACGAAAAGAAGTAATAGAAATTGCTCGTCTCGGAAAAAACGTACCGCAGGAAGGCCCAGCTTTCTGCTTTCGCCCAAACCCATTCGTCCTCCTCATAACACGGTTATTCTGCACAGCTTTTGAGCTCCTTTCTACGTCCGCCATTTCAGCCATCTCCGGCCCGACGTACTGTACAGTACTGTAATCCTGCCGGGAAAAGATACGCGTATGGGTATGATAAAACGAGGAATCTAGTTACAGACTATGGGGGTTGAGACGGTATGTTAGACAGGGTAGAATTTGCGAGGGGATTTATGAGGCGCCTTGAGGGAGGGGAGAATGATGAAGAACATGAGAAGAGTATGCGTGGATTTGCGAGGCCAAGAGGAGCAGGGGTAACTGCAGGGAGAGGTGGTTTGCGAGAGGTTTGGTTTACAAATGGCGGCACACCCCGTATGACCTTTCCGCCCCCTTCATGAAGCCCCATACTTCCCGGCCGACAACGCCCTCGTCGTCTCCACAACCTCCACCCTCTCCCCCGCCTCCACCAAAACCCCCACGGCACCCAACGACGCACTCGGCGCCGAGAACTGCACAATCACTGTCCCCGGCACCGCCATCTCCGTCGTATCCATCCTCGCCAGCAGTTTCGTAGGCTGATCGCTTGCAACAGCCATGTCGCCAACTTTCCACAGGATGGCTTTGCGCTCGGGGTTCCAGATGCCGGTGGGTGAGGTGCGGACGGTGCTGATTTCGCCGCCGGCTGTGACGGGGACGAGGAAGCGGATGTTGGTTAGGAGGGGGGATTGTGTGGCGGTGGTGGTGGTGGGGTTTGTGAGCGGGGCGGATGCGTTGAGCTGGTACGCGAGCAGTAAGGAGGTCTGTGTCGGCTCGCATTTCCATACGGCGTTGACCAGTAACGGGGCGGAACGTGCGGGGTCGCCGTCGATGCGGACTTGGTATTTGAAGATAGGCACGCTTGAGAGGGACTCGCTCGCGCTGCGACGCAACGCAGCGCAGTCTACTATGAACAGATCAGGTTGGGCTGGGTCCGCGGCACGGACGAACGCGTCGTTGGGGACGAGGTGCGCGAGCTGGTTGGCGTTCGCTACACGGATCTTGAACGATTCCATGCCCGCCGTGTCTACAAATTGCCCCTGCTCCGACACGGACGACAAAAGCACTTCGCCCGTCACGAGCAATTTCTCGACGTGCCCTGTTTTGATGAGCGCGTTCACGATCTCCGTCACTGCTACGCGCACGCGGACGGGGCCGGTGTACGTGGGCGTGGCGACGGTTGGCGTGCCTTTGGTGGGTTCGAGAGAAGGGATGGAGGATGTGGCTGAGTTGGGGGAAAGGCTTCCCCAGACGTCGAGATCTCGTTCTGAGAGGTTGGAGAAGTTGCGAGGTGTGGTTAGGGATTTGGGATCGGATGATGGAGGGTTGTCGCTACCGGATAGTGATATGCGTCGGGAACTGTTGGAACAATATTTGTTAGAGATGTGAACTCTTAAGAAGGGTATCGCACCATCCCCCCATTTCAGCGAGAATCATCCGCAATACTTACGCTCGCTTCGCGGCATTCCGAGCCCCACTCGGACCAAGGACATTCTGGAACTGCCGCAATGCCTTGCTCATGTCTTCAGGACTCTCCACGATGGTCTCTTTCCTGATGGCTACTTTGATCTTTTGACTAGCGAGGCTGTTCAACATAGAAAGTGCGTCAACAACCAGGTGTGCCTGGAAGTGCGGTGCTCGATCCCGAAAATCCGTTCGTATCACACCAGCGGCCGCACCCACCTAGCATTGTCCTCATCGTCCCCATCCAAATTCCCATTCGCAGGATTATCCCACGGCAAACTCGACGAACCCGTCGCCGGAATACTATACCCCTCATCATCCACCTGCGGCTGGTTCGGCCCGTTCGTCGACGAAGGCGCCAGCGAAACCGTATCCCTCGACAAAGTCCGCCCGTTCGGGGGCAACACGACCGAATTTTTGCGCGACGTGTTGGTCGAGCTCGCCCCGTCGCTGATCATGGCGGCGGGTGCCTGCCCGTCGTTGTTGCTTTTGGTGGCGCAGAAGGTTGCGATTTCATGGGGGACGTCGAAAGACATTACGGCTGCAAGGACGCTGTCGGAGATCTGGAGGGTGGGCGGTCGATCGTGAGTGGATGTAGTGTTTGGCATCAAGTCGGAACATGCATACTCACGGCGTTCTTGCTGGCATCATGCTTCGATTCCAGATCTGCGTATTTTGACATTGTGTCTTTGAGAAACTCTAGGCGGGACTCATCCATTGTTTGAAATCGCTGCGGCGGAAACGCGTCAGCCTGAGTACGAGTAGGGCTTTCCACGCAATGTGGGAATCTCAACTTATGCCTACCTCGAAAGCTTGAATCGCCTGAGGCGTCCAGTGCTCTTGTGCAGCCTCTTTCGCGGCTTGGGCATCCGCCACCTTCTTGTCTGATGCATTTCAACGATGTCAGCCTTGGATAGACCATCATAAGCCAACCCGCACAAACCTGATTTTTCCGACGCCGCACCCTTCTTCGCTTTCGCTGCTGCCTGTGAACCATCACCATACCATTCAGCCGAACCATCACCGGATCCATATTCCGATGAGACGCTTCGCCGCATCCAGTCCTCACCTTCAGATATTTCATATTCTTATCCTCATAATCCTTCGTTGCTCTCCCAAAATCCGCTTCATACTGCATCAAACGCACCATACCCATATCAGTCACCGACACCCACGTCGCCATCCCGAATTCCCGTATTGTAACAGCGTCCCCACCTGCTTCAACTTTGCCCAATCAGCATCAACCTGCGCCCTCCCCCTAACCGGTTTCTCCATCTTCTCCGACACCTCCTTTGCGTATGTCGAGTGCAGCGTGGCGACCTCCACGATCGATTTGAGGAGCTGGTCCCAGACTTCTGTGAATGTCCTGTTTCGTCGGGATGAGCATACGCTCTGTGGGAGAGACCTGGAGAGTAAGGCAACTCACCCGACAAAGTCCTTATCCGTCGGAGCCAGCACATGCTTCTTTGCGAGTCTTTGTAGTTCGCTGGCGTATTTCTCCTCGACCGCAGCGCTGTTTTTCACAGGGAGTATGAGACCACTTTCCATCCTCAGAACATAATTCCCTTATAAGGCCCCCAAACGACGCTCACGCACCGGTCCCTAAAATAATTCGCAACCTCTTCATCCAGCCCCTGCGCCCGCTTGAGTCTCCGCTGCACGATTTCGAAGGACTCTTTTGGTTTGTCGAGCTAGACAGATATTAAAAGGTTAGATGCCTCTCCCAGTAGAACATCATACTGCCATCGTGATGGGTGGGGAACTTACGCTGAAAGCCTCGACGTAACGCGACATCTTTTCCGACAGCGTTTGTGATTGGAGTGGTAGTGTGGGGGCGATCGGCCGATTCAGTCGAGGAACGAGTAGTCAGAGGGTGTAGCGTTTATAGTGACGGGCCAGCCGTTCTATGAGGCGGGAAGTTCCACGGAATTGTGCACGACTCAGTCGCAAGGGGGCGGGCGACGGCGGCTGTAATTTGTTTGAACGCCGAAAGCCTCGTTCGACTCATTTCGCGTCACGCACAGACTCTCTCTCTTCGACGTTCCACACGAAACTTCTTTTTCCTCACTTTGTTCGAATCGCCTTCATGAGAGATCTTTTTCCGATGGGGGTGATTTGACGGACTCATTTCAGACATAAGTGAAACTATCTACACATGGGGATGGCCGAGTTAAAGGAAATACATCGCCCTTTTTCGCTTTCGCTACGCTACCAACCGCTCCAACGCCGCATAAGTTTATCTAAAGCCCAGGCGCAGCGCTCTATTGACCAAGATTCAGCAGCATGTTCGTTCCGCTTCCCCCCTTGTTCGACGGCAAGTACGTCACGTTCCTCGCCGAAGACAAGCTGGTCGCGATATCCTTCGACGCCTCGATCCTCCGCAACTCCAAATGGGCCTGGCCAGACTTCTTATATGCGTTGGAGACCAGTTGCGCAGCTTGCGATTCTCCCTCGGCGCGGATGATGGCTGCGAGCTGTTCTTGTTCGGCTTTTTCGACGACGAAACGGGCGCGCTCGGCTTCTTGTTGTGCGATTACTTTTTGTTCGACAGCGTCAGTGAAATCTTTGCCGAATGTCAAGTGTGTCTATAATCAAGGGAAGTTCAGTTTGGGCCGTTCATGGAATGCATGCCTCACATGCAAATGGACGGAGAACTCACCAGAGATACATCTTCGAGAACAATGTTGAATTCGCGAGCACGCTTGTGCAGGTCCTCCCGAATCCTTTGCGAGACCTGCGACAGAATGAAAGAGGAGTGAGATGACCCATCGACCATCAACAAAAGATCCCCCCGAGATGACCCATCAACCATCAACAAACGGTACCCTCCCATCAGAACGTCAGCAAACGATACCATGCTCGCTCCGCTCGCGACAAGGATGTTGAGCTCGGCGGATATTGCGCTGTGGTGGGCCGAGCGTAGCTCGCTTTGCTCGCAAAGGCGGGCCGCGTGCCTCAAGCATCCCTTCCTGGCTTCGCTCAGCGCAGTCCGCATTCGCTCCAGGTAGCCTACCCGCTCCCTTGCGCGAATCAACGCCATGTCTCACTCCCTCACTCACTCCCTCCGTCCTCCCGCACTCCGTCCCTCATTCTACCTACCTGATCACGCTGGGTAATCAACTCCCCAGCATCAAACTGGGCGACAATGGACTTCAACACCTCGTTTCCGATCGACGGCAACACCCTATCATCATAATCCTGTCCCAAGTTGGAAAAGATGACGGGAATCTTTGAAATCTCCGGCCTGTGCAACACACGCAAGGTGAGAGAGACCATCTGCATATCCTTGGACCCTGTCGTGGTGGAGATGTTGCGGGGTTTGGTGCGGACGTCAAATTTGTAAGCTTTTTGGAGCCATGGGACGAGGAAGTGTGTGCCTTCGCCGACGACGGTTTGGTCGACTCCGCGCCAACGGTCGAAGATTACTGCTCTTTGGCCTCCCTCCACTGTTGTAAGAGTGACAAGAAACCATTAGCATTGGAAAGGGGAAAGCAATGATGCGGTCGTTCGTTCGTTCAAAGGCGAAATAACATTGGCCTCCTTAAGCCGACATCCTCGAAACCCCAAAGCGGGAGATCACAATTATCCGTCTCCAAGGTGGGTCAGTTGGCAAAGCTCACCGTTGTAGATGCTGTACTGCAGACCGCTGACGACTGCGCCGATGGGCACGGCCCACCGTGCGAGAGACTCCAATGCGGCGGCGGACATGGTCTTGCTGTGTGTGTGTGAGTGGTATGGAGGGGTTGGGCGGATGAGTTCGAATGTCAGTCTGCAGTCTGGATCCAGCCTTATTCCGTTCTGCGAGACCACCCTGCGAGAGAGCCCAACGCGCGGATTCCGAGAGTGTCACGTGACGGGGCGAAGAAGTTTAATGCGCGGCAAGAAGGTTGAACGCCATACTGTACGTAATTGTCGCGAGCAAGTCCAGGCGCAAGCACGCGTAGTGCGCCGAGACCGACCTTCTCTATGTACTGTATACTATCCAAGCGAGCGCCGAACACCAAGGGCTGTCTTGTGTTGGCGAGCGACCCTACCTAGATATCTTCGCACCGTACAGGTAGCCAACGAATGCGTTTGAAGTCTTGCATCACCCCCAATCTTCTTTGCAAGCCGTCCCCCATCTATACAAACACGAGGTATTTGTACCAGCGGAAAGAGATACCTAGCGTCGCCTTGCCGTTGGGACGGAGCCGCCTGGGAGGAGACATCCAGGCGAGAAAAGATCCCGGGTGCGGAGGTGGGATCGGGATGGCCAGTGCCTCCTTTTTTTTCGCTGCTCACGCTATCCGCGAACGGGCGGTGTTCGGAACGCCCCACATCGCCCGCCGTCCTCTTTCGTACACACAATGTACCTCTCGTGTAATGCCAAATCACCTTGGATGTCCGTTTCAAGCTCCTCATAGCCCTTCACAACCCTCCACCGATCTGGAAAAGGTACGTATATTCACCCCGGATGTATGCACGATGAGCGAAAGTGCGTATGGATCATCCGAACTCCCCCGGGTATATCGAGAGGGAGCCACTGTACGAAGGTCGATACCTTTAGGAATTTATGTCCGTTGAGCAAATCCTGTGCTGCATGGTGAATTGTGTGATCTTGCTTTAGCCTCGCCTTCAAACGCTCATCCACGCAAAGATCATCATCGCTATTGCTCCTTCGTAAATGTCCATTCTTCCGTGGATTCATATGCATGTATATACATCGCCCAGCCAGTGTCCTATGTCCCACCGTCGAGGTCGGGGGTAATACCTCGTACTTCTCACAATACTACATACATCCCATGCAAAAGCGCCGCAAGAACAAATGCCGAAAAATCGTTTCGCAGTGCCTTCCACTCACGCCGTGCCACTCTGCAAACTACGCCAGATAGTGTCCACAACACATTTCGGCGGCACTACTCCCTTCGCCTCGCCCCCACCCGCACCGGCAACCCTCACCAGATCCGCAAAATTCGCCAACCGCACCACATCCCCCCTCGTCCCCCTGCCCGCAACCCCCGCCCCCTTGACCTCCTTCAACCCGCTGAACCCCCTCGCAACCTCCTCAGCCCTCCTCACAATCCCCTCGGGGACCCCCGCCATGCTCGCGACATTCATCCCATAACTCTTCGGACACGTCCCGCGGGTCAGCTTGTACAGAAACACGACCTCGCGCTTCTCTTCGTCGGTCATGTAGCCCATGTACATCATCGCGACCAAGGGGTTGGCCGCAAACTCGGTCGTGAGCTGGCGGTAGTGGGTGGAGAACAGGCCGAGACACCGCACGCGCGTGACGAGGTGGTGCAGGACCGCATAGGCGATGGCGTACCCGTCAAAGGTAGACGTTCCCCTGCCGAGTTCATCCAGAATGACGAGCGAGCGCGGCGTCGCTTCCTTCATGATCTTGCAGGTCTCGGCGAGCTCGACCATGAATGTGGATTGGCCGGCGAGGATCTTGTCGTTGGCGCCGAGGCGGGTGAAGATGCGGTCGAAGACGGTGAGGCGGCACCGCCGCGCGGGGACGTGGCAGCCGAGTTGGGCCATGATGACTGCGATGCAGGTTTGGCGGAGGAGTGTGGATTTGCCGCCCATGTTGGGGCCGGTGAGGAGGACCATGTTGGGCTTGCTGGTTGCAGTGGATGGGTCGTCGCCGGTTGCACCCGCTCCGAAATGAAGATCGTTGGGTATAAAGTCGATCTTGCTCGATCCGGGACCCGTAGTGATACACGGATGTCGCATTTCATCAATCTCCAATAACGGTCCACTACCACCATTCCCGTTCTCCTCCATCTCCACAAACTCCGGCCTGCACATCGGCTCCCCCACAAACCGCGCACACCTCGCCAGACTAATCAAACAGTCCAACTCAGCAATCTTGCCCACAACCCGCAACCAGTCCTGATAATGCTCGTCAAACCGCTTACACAGCCTCGCCTTCACATTCCGCACCGCAGCGTCGCGAACCTCCCTCGCCTCCAAAAACTCCCTCACGAGCTCCTCACCGCGCGGGCTCCACCACCGACTAACCGCCGCGGTATTGGATTTGATCTGCCAGTCGCGGGGCACGTTTACTTTCTTGGGCATCTCCATCTGGAAGAGCTCCTTGCCCATATCCTTGAACACGATCTTGCATTTGAGGGTGCGCTCGCATTCGACGCGATGACGCTCGAGTTTTGCTTCTACGGCTTCGATGGCTTCGCAGGCTTGGTCGAATTCTTCGTCGTAGCCGCGGTGGAGGTGGATCAGGTCGGATTCGGTGGCTTTGCGGTGGTCGAAGGCGTCGGCGAAGTAGTTGAGGCTTTCCACGAGGTGGGCAGGGAGAGCGTTTTCGAAGATGGAATGGAGTTGCTTGGAACGGAAGCTCGGAAGGTACGTCTGCATATCTTCCATCATTTCCTGTTTCGCAAAGAGGGGGGGAGAACGTTTGATGAGATGAACCTGGCCAGCAATGACCAACGCCCAGGACCATGATGAGACCATCGCAACATACCCCAATAGTCCTAAAAGCAGCCAAGGCCGCCACAAACTCCCTAACCCTCACACTCCCCGCATGAATCCTCGAAATAACCCTCTCCAAATCCGGCAACCCCCTCAGATCCCCCTCCACCTTCTCCAACTGCCCGGGCACCGCATTCAGATCCTCCGACGCATCCAACCGATCCTCAATCCGCCTCACATCCCTCAACGGGTGACACACCCATTTCTTGAACAACCGTTTCCCGAACGGCGTCTCGGCGTGGTTGAGCAGTTTATGCAATGTGCCCGTGTCGGAGCCGTCGTGGGTGTTTTCAAAGATCTCGAGATTGATGAGGGTTTGCCCGTCGAGAATGAGGGAGCCGGATTGCCGGATGGGGTCGTAGATGTGGAAATTGCGCGCTGAGACAAGTTGGCGGTCGATCATAAGGGTGCGGAGGTAGGAGAGCAGGCCGCCGAAGGCTTCTCTGGCGAGGGGTCTGGCCATGTCGATGGCTTTGGGCCAGTCGGCTTCGTTTTGGAAGTAGTTGCGCGCGCGGAGTTCGTCGAGCGCATATTCGGCGGTGTAGAACTCTTTCTCTGGGATGAGGAAGTTTATGGCGAGATTCTGTAAATTGTTCTTCAAGAGCCTCATTGAGGGTTTGCTGAATCGCCCCTGAACGGAAGACAAGTGACGAGTGTCAGAAACGGCTCATGGCATAGTGGGAGACAAAGCGACTATCACCTTCTCGAGAACCAGCTCCCGAGGCTTCAGCTGCATAACCAGCGTCTCTAACCGCGTGCGCTCGACATCATCCTCAAAAGCGCAAAAGGAGAATTCTGCCGTAGCGGTGTCCACGAAAGCCACTACAATATTGCCAATGACGAGAAAACGGTCAAGACTCCACAACCAACAGCAATCATTAAGCAAAACACCACAATTCCCTCAACATACCACCAAAAGAAGGCGGCAAATGCTCCGCCTCCTGCACCTCCTTAATCGCCATACAATACGTCCCCATATCATTCGTAAGCAGCCCCGAGTCGATCAATGTGCCCGTCGTCAGGATGCACGTCAGTTCGCGATTGATGACCTTGGTTTTCTCCTCGGGCGCGCTCTTCTTGCCAAGATGCGATGTGGCGGAGTTGTCGCGGTCGCGCATGGCTTTGCCTACGGCTGTTTCGGTTTGGTCGACTTTAGCTACTTTGTAGCCCTGAGGTTGGCATGTGGTGAGACGGGGTGATAGGCTTTGAGAGGTGGGTAAATGGTAAATGGAAGACATACCTTGGCCAAGAACTGAGCGGCCCAGTGATCGAACGAGCTTTCAGGCACACCAACCATCCGCATGTTGACGCGATCGGTCAGCTTGAGGTCAAAGTGTTGGTGTCCAATGTCTGCATCCTTCTCATAAAGCTCGAAGAACTATAAAAACCAGAGAGAGTAATTGTCGAACGTCAGCGAGGCTCGCGTAAGTAGTAGCCCGGCACAGGGCTAGATACAAACCTTTCCTTTCTTGAAGAACACAACAGTGTCCCAGTGGTTAGCTTTGATCTCCCAAAACTGCTTCTCGAAAGGCGTGAAGTTCTTCCATGCTTCGCGGGGTACTAGGAGGGTTCGCGGGTCGTAGTCTTCATCGGTTGGAGATCTTCCTTCCGCGTCTGACAATGAATGTTTTACATAAGTCACCGACTCAGAACAGTTTGATACCGCCACCTCAGATAAGTACCTTTAGGGTTAAGCAGCCAGGAGTACCGCTCATCATTCTTCTCCTTGAACTTTTGAGCGCGAGTTTGCTTCTTGTCCGTATCCAGCGGACTCGATACAATTGAACTCTTGCGCAAAGTTTTTGGGGCCAAACTGAACTGCTTGAGTCTGGACGAGGAGGAATTTGGCGTGGGAGCAGCGCTTCCGGTCGATGTCGACTGAGTGCTCGCTTTGTAGGGAGTGAAGGCCGCTGAGGGCTGTGACGCGCGCGAAGGAACCACGGCTTCATCATTGTCTTCGTCCACAATGCCACTGGCCTCAACCACATCCATCATGTCATAGAGCGCATCGTCTGCTATCAAATCCATATCCTCGTCCTTCCCCGCATCCCAATCCTTGTCATCCTCGTCGTCTTTGGAGACCCTCAGGCGCTTGGCGGTACCACCGTTCCTTTTAGCCGAGCGAGGCTGATCAGTAATGCGGTTTTCGACGTCTTCGTCGTCGGATTCTGCGTACACCATGCTGTTTCTCTTCCTCAGACGCTTGCGGAAGGGGATGATTTCGGCATCGTCATCCTCGTCATCTTGCGGTGCACTCGCGTCAGTAGTTGCGGTAGGCGTTGGGACTCGTGGACTAGATGTCGCGAAGCTTCCTGAGAGGCGGGCGGCGCAGAGGAGATAGATAGTTACTCGACAGTCAGCACTAATGCGAGAGTCTTTGCAGGAGTCGTGACAAGCAACCAACCTTTCCCGTTCGTGGCACCACTTTGTTTCAAGGGCAAATGGGTAGGGGTTCCTTGCTGGCTCTTGTTTGGGACCGTAAAGAAGGAAGTGAGAGTAGTCTGCTGCGACTTTGGGGTCTTGCTGACTGAGCCAGGCGTTCTCCTCGGCGTATCCGACGGCATTTTGGCCCTTCTGACAAAAAGGGACTAGCGAATGCGTTGACCGAGGCTCAAGCCACGGATGAGAACTTCGACTCCCCGGCGCCACTGTAGCGAAGGTAGCAGGATAGTATTTACGGTTGTGAGCGAGCGCCGAAGGGCCAAAGCAGGTCGAGGGAAAGCAGCTTGAGAGTAGGATGTGCAAAACGCAGAAATCTGGAGCGATTCCGTTCTGGACAAGCCTGCTATCGGACATGCTGTTTCCACACGCATTTCGACACCGCGTCTCACGCCTGCATTTGTGCACCAAACCCCCGCCTTCACTCGCATCGTGGACGTCAGCTCACATTGCATTGCACTTGCACACGCCCGCTTGTTGCTGCCGGGATTGTCTTGGTAACGCATTGAGACTTGTGCGGACGGCCTGGAATGTCACAGGCCAAGTGTTTTCGACGCTTTCAATTGTTAGGCATCGCTTCAAGTGTAGCCGCAAATGAACCAGGACGTATGCACAAATATCAGCTTGTCCATCCGCTGAGGCCTTGGTAAAATGGTTAAGCGAAGGAAGGCTGGGCCACACATCGTATCCGTGAAGCGGTGGGTTTGACCCGCAATGCTTTTTCGCCTTTTTCTACTTCCATACATCCCCTACTTCCCATTTTCAGGCTTCGGTACCGGTCTCGGATCACTTGCTGAACCTTTTGTGTGCGCCCCGTTGTGGACCTACTTCGCCAAGAGCTGAGGCAGGATGTCGTTGTTGGTTAGCAACGGTGGTGCAATGCATGAAGGATGGGGCGTCACCGTAACAGCTTGGGTTTAGATTTTCTTCCATGGCGGGGCGGGGGATCCGTGATACAAAGTCACGATGCGCAGGTCCTTTCCCGTTAGTTCTTCAAGTCGACGAGGCCACCCTTTACGAGACAGGTCGGTGCCACAGATGTTTCTCGCCTTCACCCCCTGTTGCCTGGGAGAAGCTTGCCTCGCTCGAGGCGCTCTCATGGCGTTGGGGCCGGGAAAGTCGCTCTCATCCTCATAGTCCTCACCTATCGGCCTGTCTTCAGAGGAAAACCATGTCGGGGACTGGTCCACCCGGTGGCGGGTTGCCGTTCGATCCTCAGATGCTCCAGGCCCTCTATCAAGCCATGCAACAGTACCTCGGCCCCAAGTTCAACCGCTGGCAACGTCCAACCTTACGCACCCTTCCCCCGTAAGCCAGCAGTTCAACAGACCAGCAACTTGTGCGCCCACGAACCCACCTCTCATGACAGAGTCGAACCAGTGGACCCCCATCAACAATTTGAACCCGGCACGCGCAATGGCCCAGGTGCAGATGGCGAACGACTATAGAGGTACCATCGACGACCGCTTTCTACCTCCTAATCAGCCTGAACACCAGTTACCCAGAGCACAGGTTATAGGCCTGCTTGTGTGGAGCATATTCCGCGTGTATACCTACCTCACCCTCATTGCAACCCAGCCATAGCCACTGTAGCTCGTCGTATAGGCGAGCAAATGTTGTCGTGTGGCTAGACCTAGTCCTCACCTCCGTCATCTTACCTCGGGTGGTGGGTGAACCGTGTCCTCCGCCCGCTCACAGGAATGCGGTCGTCTGGCCGCGAGGTGATGGGAGCAATGCGGCGGGAGCAGTCCAATTTAGTTTCGCTATGAGTGCTAACAAGGAGCACCGAGAACCTCCCTAGTTCAAAGCAGACTCTCCGTTGGGAGAATGGGATGATCGAATCTACCTCCCCAAAGGATCCACAATACAACCTTAAAGCGCATTCATTCTCCAAGGCCATGAAACAGCACCTGGACTATGGGCCTCTTCTGCATTTTGAGCTGCCGGGATGACATAATGCGTTGACTTCACAAGCGGCAACCGCTATTACTGTATGTGAGCATGTCCTAACACACGATTTTGGAAAAAATCTCCGAGGCCAGTGACTGTTGACATGCTGTCGATTTACCACTTCAATTCCAGTTACGGGGGTCTTAACGCCTCCCTCACCCCCAGGGTCTCCTGTCTCACCAGAAACCGCAGAACTCATATTGCCACGACGACGACGATAATAAAGACACAGAACACAATCTTCCCAACTCAAAGCACCTATCGTGGCAGTGCACAGTCTCAAATAAAACTTGTAGCGGCTCGTAACACTGTACCGACGACGACCATTCTGGTCTGTCCTCTAGTTTCACTGTTTCCCACCTTTGACTCATCGAACCACCCAATCCATCATGGTGCCCAAGTTTACTCGGGACGCTCTCGCTGCCATGACGGCTGAATGGACGGCCGCGCTAGAAGCCAACGCGCAGCGCAACAAAGCGTTCCTGGACGATGCGGTCCGGCAACTGGCGGAACTGTGCCCCCCGGACGAGAAGTCGGCCCACGAAACTCCCACGCAGGCAGAGAGGCCGCCGACCGTTATCGAGAAGCCCACCTCTTCTTCTGGGGCCAACAAGGACGTTATGAACGGCAGGGACGTGCGATCAACCGTCTCTCCCCGTCAAACGTCTGTTGCCGTACCCATGAACCCTGCTGCACCAGTCCAGAGATATGAACGTAAATTCGACATGATGAAAAATCCGCGAAACTGCACCGAGGAAGACAGGCAGCGTCAAGAGGAGAAACTCCAGGCGTGGCTTGCGACTGAGGACGTGTCTACGTTCTGCGTACGTGATGGCAAGAACGTCCTGGTCAGCTATCATTCGGCGGCGGAGCGGCAGCAAGAAAAGGCGGGCATACTCACTCCGGCACCGGCGCGCGAGCAATCAATCGAAGCAAAGGAAAGCTCGCCTTCTGCGGAGGAACCGACCGAAACCGAAGTTAAAGTGGTAGCTTCGTCGCCAGCAGCACCTGCGACTGCCGAACCGGCACAAGTAATCGGGTTCAAAGAAGCGATTCAGGCGAAAGCGGCGGTGGCTCCAGGACGAACACCTAAGAGCCGATCAAACTCGGCGTCTGTCAAGGAGGCCGGTCCTATGTTGGCAGCGGAACGAAAGCCCGAAGGAGCGCCCAAGATCAAGACTAGAACAGCCTCCGGCCGCGCACCTGCTTTGGCTACCAAAATCAAAACGAAATCGACCTTCACAACTGCGAAGCTTCCGAGATCGCTTCCGGCCTCCACCGAGAGTGCTCCTTCTGATGTCAAAGATACGGAAACCAAGGTAGCACCGGCATTGGAACATGCGATCGCACTTGTGGAAACGAGCGCCGTGACCCCGGCGAACCTCGATCCAGTAGACTTCACCGAGAGTGCTCCCTCGGATGTCAAAGATACGGAAACCAAGGTACCACCGGCAGAGGAACATGCGGTCGCATTTGTCGAAACGAGCGCCGTGACCCCGGCGACCCTCGATCCAGGAGCCTTCACCGAGAGTGCTCCTTTGGATGTCAAAGATACGGAAACCAAGGTACCACCGGCGGAGGAACATGCGGTGGAAACAGCGGAAACGAGCGCCATGACGCCGGCGACCCTCGACCCAGAGCCCTCCACCAAGAATGCTCCGCCCGATATCAAAAATGAATCTTTGACGGAGATTAAAGTACAATCGGCACAGGAACCTGCGTTTGGACAGACCTCGGAACCCTCCCACCACAAAGAGTCCATCGAGACAGAGGTGAAGGAGGCACCACCCGCGCCGGAACCCGCGGTGAACATCATGCAACCCAGCCTCGAAATGCCGTTGACCCTCGATCAGACAAAGGCGACATCGACAGCCGAACCTAAGATCGAACAAAACAACTCCGTCTCGACGCCCGGATGCCCCGACTCGCCCGATGAACCAAAGGAAACCTCGGCCCCGGCCGCCGAAATGGCCTCCGGAGGTCCGAATGGAAACGAAATCGAGGCAGCTCGGCTGCCACAGAAGAAGAACGGTACCTCCCCGAAGCGAGACGCGAAACCGATTTACAGGGCGCCAGGCTGGAAGCCGCGCGACGGTACGATGACCCGGCCGATTACGGGAAACCCGAAGCTGCTGGGCAGGAAGGCTAGCCCCCCCATCGCCAAACTTTCCGAGTCGAATGAACAGGAGACAGGCCCATTGAGTACCAAAGCCACAGACCCTCACGGAGACAGCACGACCGGAAAAAAACCCGAAATCATCAGAACCCCAAGCGGGCTGGAAATCATTAGGACCAGAAGCGCGAGCCCACGCGTCGAGGTGAGCCCGCTCGGCGATCAAGCACTTCCGCCGGTGGTTACAATCACAGGCTTCTTCGAAGGCCACGATGGCCCTGCAAAGAAGCGCAAGAACAAAAACCGTAATGGACGCGGCCGTGGCCGTGGGCAAGGAGGAGTCCGCGACCCCCCACCTGCGACGGCACCAGACATCCCCATCGCCTAGTTCTTCCGTACCGTGATACTCTTTCATCTTTGCGACACAATTCAACTCAAACGACAAACGCAAGGCCATAAGTGCTTAGCCGCCATCGTCGTCATTGCTCTCGGATATACAAACAAGCAAGAATCATGGGAAAATGTGTGGAGAAAATGTATACCTCCGCCGTTATATGTAGCGTTAGTTTGGTAGGAAATCTGCTAGTTCTCCCCCACCACTCACTATAAACGCAGCGGCATTTTGGAAAGTCGATAAATCTCCATCTATTTTGGAAACTGCCTAGGACATGTTATCCGCTGGTTCATCCTGCCATGCCAGGTACGGTGGCTCATCCATACATGTCACCCTTCCTTCTTGTCTGCTGTCGAAGTGTCGAATCCTCTGGTGAAAGCGGAGCGGGGCTTCGCAAAGAGATGTCACCGCGCGGCCTTCCCGTGTGGCCACGTTTTCGAACCTCGAGGCTTTATGCCCGGCCGCCCCAACCCCCATCAGCCATCCCCACCAACAACAGCCATCAACAACACTGCAGGGAACTGAAAACTGCTTGCCGTTGTTTGGGAGTTACACGACCTGTCTTTGTGGAAACATCATCTTGGAAACTATTAGTTCCGACGACGGCCCGAAGCGCAAGCCAATATGTGGTGCATGCAGTATTTCATGTGAGTTTCTGGCCGTCATCTTCTACACATTTCAGCTAATGCCCGAGGAAAGCCGCTGGGCAGGCGGAGGCGCTATGTGGGAATTGTCTCGTGTGTGGAAGCGACGGAGGGGGGGATCTGCACCCATTGTAGTCAGGGTGCCTTGTCTTCCCCAAACGACTCTTGCTGACGCCATGCCCCCTTTTCGGTCGACACAGCATCCTGTTCCTAGTCCCCTTCCCCCGCGCGCCCAACTTCTTCCTCCTGGCGTATCTGTTCTGTCTCTTCATTTCGCATAAGCCATGTCTATACTGGTAAGCTACCGCACGCTTGACTCCAGGAGGGCGAACAGCCCCCGTCCAATTCTTCCGCCTCCCTAACCTCCGCCCGTTGTCTCGATTCCTTCACAACAGCTCACTGGTCATCTTTGCCCTCCTCGCCTCCTCGTGCAATTACTACACGCCTGTGAGCGGCGAGGAAGACCGCGGGCGGTGCTGGGTTGAGCTGGATCCGCAGTTTTTGTTCACGGGGCGGGGGAGGGAGCCGTGGGGGATGGCGGGGAGTTTGGGGGTTTTGGGGTGAATGGGGGGAGGGGGAGCGCAAGGTGGGGGCGGGAGTGCCTCCATTCCTCTGCGTAGAGTTCTTTTTTGGGAGAGAGGGGCGCGGTGGGTGGGGATGAGATGAGGGGCTGGGAGAGAAATGGTGGAGGGGCTGAATCTGCGAAGCTATCGGCGAAGGCAGCTGTGGCCCCGACGGCATGCGCTGCGAGCGTACGCACCATCTACTACCGCCATGCATCTCGCCGTACAGCGTCAGCCACCTCATCTGGCCTTTCGGCCAATCGCGAACCGACGGCCCCAGCCCCTAGCTGTTTAAGCGCCGAGTTGCTCTGATCGCAGCCTGATCAGCGGGCCCGTCACAAGCGTCCTGGCCGGCCGTCAACCACGCAGGCCATCACGGCAGATGGGTCATCCAACTGCTGCTTTGGAGTGCGGGTAGCAGAGGACACCGGTAGGAATCCCCACCCGCAAGTCCCGAATGCGCTCACTCCGTCGGGAAACGGAGAACGAAACTACGGCGTTCGATGCACAATCCAGTTCTCGATTAATTACCAATACACCCGACAATACCCACAAGACGTGCTGCTTCCGCACACCATGGCCGTCAGCCACCTGTCACGCCCCGTGCAGACACCTCACTGATACCGGGGTATACCGTCACTGATACCTCGGGCATCATTCCCCACTTGTACCTAACAACCCTGCATCGTGTACATTCACCACACTCATACCACACATACGCACATCACAACACGCTTCTCAACACCCAAGCATACATTAGCACCTGAATCAAAACGTCTCCTCGTTTTTGGGATATCATAAATACATATTTTTCGTTTATATATAAACATCGGGTCGTCTGGCATACGTGGCGAGGCGGGAGGAGTGATAGTATGTACAATCGGAAGGTCGGTAAGAAGGGGTGGAAGCGCAAAATTGTTTGTATATATGGGGAGCTACTACTAGCTTCCTGATGCGCATCCCCGGCATCTGTGATGATTGCGGGATGAACTTTGATTAGACACCATGACCCGAATGTGCGCCTACCCAGGTCTCCCATGTCCACCATCCAGACTCGCCACCCGATACTCACCCACAATGCTGACACTCAATCGGCTTATCCTCCCCGATCTTCTTCTTGGGCACTCTACACACACACGTCGTCCCAAAATTCGTATCCCTCGGCTGCATGCACCTCAAGCAGCACAGCTTCTCGTACCCGGGCTTCTTCCATTTGGCAATCAGGTTGGCGTCCGCGTAGCCTTCTTTGCAGCAGTAGTCGTACAGCTCGCGCGAGATGGCTTTGCGCCGGTAGAACATGTCGTAGATGTAGCGCGAGCGTTGGTGGTGTAGACGGAAGACGGGCCACAGGGATTCGACACGGCGTTTGCCTTCGTGGGATTCGTTTTCGGCTACGGGGAGGGAGGGTACGTTGAGCTTGATCCGGGTGTGTTTTATGAGATTTTGTCCCGCCTGCTCTCTCATGGGTTCATCCACATGCTACCGCTGCCGTAAATAAACCATATGCTCCAACTCATGATCCCTTTGGCATATCATCCCCGTATCCATCCTTTCCAACTTCTGCAAATGCCGTCACCGCAACCCAAACACCAACACGCAATCCACCGACCCTACCTTCACGCATCTTAGCCTGCAAGTCATTCAACGTCGGCTCCAGCAGCTCCCACCCTTCCGGTGGAGGCTTCCTCCCGCGCTTTACTTTGGGCATTTATGACGGTGTGTGGTGGTTGTAGAACGGGGGAAATTAGTCGACTCGGTTGGCGGACGGGCGACAAGGCCGATTAGGCGGATTTCGTTGAAGGAGAGGTCCGTGAGATATTTGATCGTGGGAAAAGATGTGGTGGCCGCGTGTAGTTGTCGAGGTGGATGGTGGGAATACCTGTACCTACAGCCGATCTGATTGCGAGTACGGGGCTCTCTGGACGCAATGTCGATGGTGGGGAATGCACTATAGTCTATGCTGTGAGTACGTGGCGCAGAGTGGCGCAGTTGAACGGTCGCCGAGGGAGCTGTAGAGCTGTAGCCTGCTGGACATCGCCATCTGGTACTCAACATAAGACGGGCGCAACACTACCGCTTTGCACCACACATCCCATAAAGCACAGCAGTTTGTTTGATATGAGTAAGATATCGGTCGAGGCAGCAAGTACAGTACGTACAGTATGCGTGCAGAGTGCCCCCGGAGCGTTCCCTACTGGTTCCCTACGCGACTGAGATGCTGCATATGGAGTATGCAACTTTCGGCCAAACTCACGGGTCCACCAAACTTCGGGTCGAAGAAGCTCAATTCATGCAAGATATATTTTGCGTCTCGCCAAAAGCGTCCAAGGCAAAAGAAAAAAAGATGTGAAAAACGATCTACAGGTATACAAAGACGCCGCTAGAGGAAAACACCCTCACTTCGGCGGGATATCATCCCACATCTCTACGCCCGAACCTTCTCCCCAACCCGCTTCTTCAACACGCCATCAAACTCATTACTCTTCTCATCCACAATCCGGAGCGTCGGCGCCGCAGCGGGCAGGGCTTTCGTGCCGTTGACGTGGTGGTTGGGCGCTGCAATGGTGGGACGATCAAAGTTCTTGGCGAGGGTCTTGACGTTAGAGTTTGCAAGGCCGAGGACGAAGAGGAAGTAGCGCCAGCGGTTGGGTTGGGAGATGGCGGTGGAGAGGGTCCAGAAGAGGAGTTCACCGTAATTGTCTGATGGGGTTAGATAGGGGTGTTGATGAGTGTCGGTATTCCGATGAATAGGGATTTGAAGGATGAGCAGAACTTACAGAAGGAAAGCCCAGCAGTCTTCCGGTCATAACCACCCCACCACGCCGGCTCGACCCCCTGACTACGCCACTCCTCCTTCTTCATATCCAGCGCCTCCTTCGGCGTGCGGTCCCTGACCCACTTCGCCGCCTTCTCGGCCGTCGGCTGCGTCTTGGGATCCAACAAGAACATGACAAACAACCTCGTGAGCAGCCCAATGTGGATATGCCCCGCGGTCGCCACGGCGTCGACGTACGCGTCGTTCAGGAAGAGCATGGTGGGGTAGTTGGGCGGGAAGGCGACGTTGAACAGGTTTGGCGGTTTGAACTCGTCGTTGGATGGGGAGGAGGCTACGCGCCACACGTCGTCCTCGATGAAACTCAGCGTAGGTTTCTTGAACCCCGTCGCGAAAAACGTCACGTCCGCCCCAAGCTCCACATCCCCACCCTCCCCGGGGTCCTTATACGCGTCCCTGTCGATCATACTATCCGAGTCCCACTCGATCTTGCCGACTTTGATGGAGTGGGATTCAAAGTTCTTAATGCTGCCGCGGATGTAGCGGATCTTGTTTGTGCGGATGAGTTCGAGGTAGCGGGTGTTGAGGCAGGGGGTGGAGGAGAAGAAGGGGCGCGTGGGGGTCATTCCGCGGAGCTCGGTGCCGTACCAGTAGCGGCGGATGAAGGCTTCGACGAGGAAGCCGAGGGCGGGGGGAATCATGCTGGCGAGGGTGCTGAGGATTATTCCACGGGGCATGATCCACTGGAAGTGACATGAAGCAAAATATGAGTTTGGTGGCCGGGATAGGAAACGGATGGAATATCAGAGAGTTATCAACGTACCTTGTCGTGACGGGCAACAACGGTCAGGTCAATCTGCCCAGGGCCGCTTCCAAGACGGGACTCATCGCCATCAAGACGGTTCAAGACGTAATCAATAACCTCAACAGCAGAAGCTCCACTGCCAAGAACCACAATCTTCTGTCCCTTGCGGAGGTCCAAATCCACCTTATCCATCTTGGAAGTGTGCGCCTGCAAACCCTGATACTTGTCCTTCAACCCCTCAAACGGCGGAATAAGAACCTCATCGCAAGTCCCGACTGCCGAAATGACACCATCGTACACATCCGTCCCGTTGACCGTATACGTCTTTGTCTCGGCATCGTACTTGACACTCTTTACAACGGCATTAAACCTCGTCCTGCGTTCCAAATCATACAACTTCCACACCCGCTCCAGCTCCCTCAGGATATCATCGCGATGCGGGAAATCGCGGTGGAAACGGACGATGGGGTGGAAGCGGTAGAACAGCGCTTGGAATTGGAGCGAGGAGGTCTTGTTGACGCGGGACCAGACGCCGCCGATTGTGGGGGATTTCTCGTAGATGACGACTTCGACGCCGGCGGAGCGGCAAGCGGCTGCGGCGCCGACTCCAGTGATGCCGGCGCCGATGATGGCGACCCGGGGACTTTTGGGGTTGGGGTTGCAGTGGGTATCGCTTGAAGGCAAGAAGGGGTACCTATTGGAAATGAAGTGAAGGTTGGTTAGCAAAGCGAAGGTTGATTGGTTGGTTGGTTGGTTGGATGGTTGAAAACGAACACCCTGATGAGGGCTGATGAGCGGAGGATTGCGTGGCGTAATGTGGCTCGCTGCCGCTCGCGATGGGCGTTTGCGATGGTCGCGCTCGCTATCGCTCGCTTCGCAGTCGACACTCACCAAGGTTTCCCCGCCGCCCAAGCGAGAATGGACGAAACCCAAGTTGCGACAATCAGATTAATATAGACCAATGCCGAAATGACGGTAGTGCCCAGTGCAGCAGGCGAGTAGCCGATGAGTTTGGGTAGGCTCACCGCCATGGTTGCGTCGAATCAGCGGGGCGTGTAGAGATAGAATCAAGGCGGTAATGACAGCAATGCAAGTGTTCCAATGGTGCTTGGAGGGTTATTGCGGGGGCGGAGAACAGCGAAAGTCCTTTGCCTTTTTATACACTTCCGGAAAGTGGGGTTGGAGGGTGGCCAGGGTGATGCGAAAAGGAAGGCGGAACGTTCCGGGGCCGGGGGTGAGTGACACTGGTGGTGGTGGTGGGTGTTGCAACGCCTCGATATGCACAAAGACGTCTCAGAGTGCCAGGGAGCATGCGCTGGTGATGTAGGAAGCAGCGTCATCCAACGCCCACGCCGTTTCTGATGCTCGCACGGCACGCGAAAACGCTCAGCTGCCTACTAAAGCTTGAGGCACGGCAAGCAGCGACGTCCATCCGAGGCCCTTCTCTCTCTCTCTCTGTGCTTGTGCTTGTGGACGGCCAGCCACATCCAATCCAGGAGGCTCCCGATGACATCACGCGTGGCTTTGGCTTTCACGTGCAAGCAAGAACATTCCTACGACGACGTACGAGCATTCACGGAGCAAGCAAGCGCCACCGATACGGAAAAGAGCGGCTGCTCCATTTAAACGCATTCTCGAGTCACGGGCCAACATATAAACCGACACACGTGACTCTTCGCTGATCTGAGTTCCTCCTCGCATTGGGGAATTGACAAATGGATCCCCCGCTGCCAAAGTGGAGCGGACGACCTTTGGACATTTCTCGACCGCCGAAAAGTGAACCCCCCCCCCCCCCCCCCCCCTGAACTCGCTCGTTGTGGGGTATCAGGCAAACCGTCTCTTCATTTATACCACCCTGCTCTCCGCTGCCTGGACCAACCTTGTCACCGGACTGCTGAAAAGTTCGTGGCAAAATTCTTCCGGCTCGATTCTCGTATACCAGTTCCCTTTGTGAGACGAGTCACTAGCCGCAATGCCTCAGAACGAGTATATTGAGGAGTCGATCAAGAAACATGGTCGCCGACTTGATCACGATGAGCGCAAGTAAGTAGTCGCTCCGACTGGAGGCCGTCTGCGGTCAAGCAACCTGAAGTTTGGCGAAACCCAAATTCCCACAACATCCGTTCTGATTTACTCTACTTTCCATAGGCGTAAGAAGGAGGCCCGTGAGGTGCACGCCCGGGCGGCTCACGCTCAGAAGCTTCATGGTCTGAAGGCGAAGCTGTACAACAAGAAGCGTCACAACGAAAAGATCCAGATGAAAAAGACGATCAAAATGCACGACGAACGGAACAACAAACACAAATCCGACGACCAGCCCGTGCAGGAAGGCGCCGTCCCAACATATCTCTTGGATCGTGAGAACCAGTCCCGCGCCAAGGTGCTCTCCAACATGATCAAGCAGAAGCGGAAGGAGAAGGCTGGGAAGTGGCAGGTTCCTTTACCGAAAGTCAAAGGAATGGACGAGGCAGAAGTCTTCAAGGTGCTGAAAACCGGAAAGAGGAAAACCAAACAATGGAAGCGTGTTGTCACAAAGGCGACATTTGTGGGAGAAGGGTTCACTCGTAAGCCTCCAAAGTACGAGCGCTTCATCCGACCCATGGCGTTGCGTTACAAGAAGGCACACGTTACCCACCCGGAACTCGGCGCGACGTTCTGCCTGCCTATCTTGGGCGTGAAGAAGAACCCCAGCAGCCCGATGTACACACAGCTGGGTGTGATAACGAAGGGTACCGTCATTGAAGTGAACGTCAGCGAGTTGGGGCTTGTGACACAGTCTGGGAAGGTTGTCTGGGGTAAATACGCGCAGGTCACAAACAACCCGGAGAACGATGGGGTATGTAATCCTGTAGTCGATGACAGTGCAATGTCGAGGAACTGTACTAATCGATTCCATCTCTCGTCCTACAGTGCATCAACGCCGTTCTTCTCGTATAAGCTAGCTTAACCGAAGAAAGCTCACGATACTATCATCCCTCTCCACTCTACCATCCGCCCTTCTGGAAACGTGCCGGTTCTCGGAGTTCACATCAACATCCCTGTCCGCTGAAGCCTACCCATCCACCCACTGGACGCATTCCAACAACGACGGCGCATTCAGTCCACCACTCCACCCCATCCCGACCCTGCATTCTGAACTATTCAACCAAATAGGAATCCCCGGGCCCATTTTGTTTTCTGCAGTATATTCGTTTTTGTTCATGCCCGCATTGTATTTAAATATGTTTTGTCTCGCCTGCGATTTGGAGGGTTCTGTGGAAGGAGCGTTCGAGTCGGAGGGGTTGAAGATGTGTACTGTACTTGGGAGGAAACTCCGTAGTTGCAACGCCACAGGAATGTAAACACCACAGCGCTTCATGCAAACTCAGAGCCTCCCCAGAGCCTCCCGTTTCTCTCTGAGTTTGCGAGATAGTATGATGGGACAAGGGCGGGATTGAGAATTATGCCATCTCCAACGTCACAACTAGGCATTACAACTTTTCCTCGAACGACAATTGTAACGGGATTAGGAGGTGACCGTATCAGCAAAGAGGCAAACTGAGCGGGCGTCAGGACCATCAGAAACCATGACCAGCAAGATGCGGAAGCCAGCATCACTTCACCCGGGCTCTGGAATTGATCATCAGAAGCGTGAAGGTGTCGACGATCAAGGCAGGATTCGGCATCATATCCCACTCTATGGAGAGAGCCGGTGAATTCCTCACAAATGGACGCACCGACCGTCCCGGTTCAGTGGGTGGCTATTTATGCAGCGAGGGGAAAGTGCGCACCCACTCTGGCTGGCTTTTCGGCTAATGTGTGATATGGGTGTACAGTATGATCTGGATATGCAGGCTAACTATCACCCGCCAACCCAGCGTTTTGGGGTACATGGTACAGTTTATTTGAGAACACAACATGCTCCCGATTGATTACCTACGTGAAGAGCTGTCTGAGGAGCATCAGATATCTGCGTTTGGAAGAACCGAAACATCAACCCTATGTGAAAAGTGCCTGCGAGCATGTCCTGTACTCACGCTTCGCTTGGATCCAAACATCAACTCTGGAGACTAGCAAATGGTCAAGTCTCTGAAACGGAGGCATCAGATATCAAAACTCTGGTGGTGGAAGTGTTGAGATGAGAGGTAAAGGCTGAACAACGGAAGGTGCAGATATCGTTGGTAGAAGTGTCGGGGGTGTACCTCAGTGAGTCAACAAACTGTCAAGTGATTCAAACAAAAGCGTCAAATATCAAAACGGAAATGGGGTGGTAACTCAGTGGTAGAGTGTCTCGTTCGCATCGAGGAAGCCCGGAGTTCAATCCTCCGTCACTCCACGTTTCTTTACGTTTCTTTGTTTTTTTCTTCTTCAATTTTTGCCTTGCGTCATGCCTTTCAAGCTCACTCAATGAATGAGTCTGTCCTTCTTGAGGTGCGTCGAGGGGTCCCATATATACTGTACGCCCCAGCAGTCGGCCAAAAACAACAAACATATGAACCCAACGAGTCATTGCGTTCGAATCGCCTTCATCTCCGGCGGCGAGCTAAAGAGTCCCCCAACTTCGTTTTGGATCCCTTTCGATATGGCAAATATATTGCGAAAAGTTACTGGACAATACGGAGCAAAACGCTGAATGATGGGTCCCGAAAACAGACATGCAAGGCAAGAAAGTACAAATGTGACGGGATGAACAGGTAGAACGCTGAATGCCCATCGGGTCACAACGAAAGTCGAGCACATAGAATGGGTACAAGAAGCTGAGAAAAGGTCAGAACCCGAGGGATCGATGCGGATCATTGGGTCTCCTTGATCTCCTCCAAGATGTTCCTGTATGCCGAACGAGAGAGAGAGAGAGAGCGAAAAATGAGAAGGGGCGTTCCAATATCCGATCCCACCCAGATAGCAAATGCAGGACACTTACAAAGGGATCATTCCAACCTTTCCTCTGTTCAAATTGCTCACCATCGCCCACCCATCGGCAAAGATCCGTTTCTCTTGCACGATATCGCCAGGACTCGCCTCAATCTCATCGGGTTGCGAGGGGGTCGAGTTCCAGAGAACCTTGTACCTTTTATGTGTCGATGCCGGAGACGCCGGGACGGGAGAGTCCGCATCGCCGGTGTTATCACCACCGGGGTGGGACGCGAACGCCGAGTTGAGGGCGGCGCCAGTGAGCGGAGAGTGGGCGCGGCGGCGAGAGTCGGAACGGTGTGGGGTGGCCGGCTGGTTCCTCACGGATCCCGGGGCAGAGCTGCGGGAGGCGGAAGCGCCTGCGGCAACCTGGTCGTTCTTTCCTTTTGCCAGAGGTACGGCGCGGTTTTCGAAATCGTTCAGGAGATCTTTGTTCTGATCAAAGGAGTGGTCTTTGCGGTGGCTGGAGGCGGCTGCTGCTCCGGCTCCGGCGGTAGACGATCCGCCGGGGGTGTGCGCTTTGCCCTGTGCCACCTTGTTCTCGAATTGCGAGTTCAAGCTGTTGTCCTTCTGGCCGGGATGTTGCTGATTGCTGTAGTGAGCCAAGGCCGCACCCGTCGCCGCACCACCGGCGGTTGCAGTAGCCGCTCGGGAAGATGGACTATCACTTGCTGGAGCCGACCTCTGGATCATCTGCTCGCTGGAGGTGTCACGGTATCCGTTGTGCCCAGTTGCGTGATGGCGGTGTCCATCCTTGTCATAGTACCCACTGGACCTTCGTTTCAATTCACGTCGACGCACCGCCCACGCACCAAGAAGGCAGCACAAAGCACTGCCGCCAATGATGGAGAAGGCCAGAGCGCCAAGAGCCTTGCTTTGGTAGTCCGCGCGGGCGGCGCGGGGGTCTTGCGTGTTTTGAGTTTGAACGGAAACGGTGGAGGCGGAGGTAACGGTGCTCGGGTCTGACGAGCCGCCGGTGCCAGCAACAAATGGAAGAGGGACTGGGACGTTGTTGTTGCCAGAGTCGGAGCCGGTTTGCGCTGCTGCAGTCGGTGAAGATTCAGCTGGTGCTGCAGACGATGCGGCGCCGCCGCTGCCAGCAACAACTGGAAGAGGGACAACAGCGTTGTTGCCAGAGTCGGAGCCGGTTTGCGCTGCTGCAGTAGGTGAGGATTCAGCGGGCGCTGAAGAGGTTTCGACAGTGGCGGCAGGTGATGATGAGGGTGCAACAGCTGGAGCAGCTGGAGTAGCAGAGCTTGCAACAGCCGCGGCGGCGGCAGAGGTGGAGGGCGCCGAGACAGCCGCAGAAGACGCGGGCGAGGCCGCATTAGCGGCCTGCAACAAGTTCCCGAGCGATGAAGTACTGGGCGCCCATCCGCTGCCACCCGAAGCGGCGCTGTTGAAGAAGTTGACGACAGGGTTGGTGGCACCTTGACCGCCGGCGATGCCTACGAACTTGTCGGCGATGTTTGCAATTTGAGCACCGGCGCGGTTACCGGGCGATGCGGTGGAGCTTTGCCGGCGGTGGATGGAATTGCGACTAAGAAGACGCGCTGGGCGGGTTGAGCGACGAGATGGGGAGGTGTTGGAGGAAGATGTGACCTTGAGAGTTGTGTTGCTGAGAAGGTAGATGTCTGGACGGCATGAGGCATTATTAGTGAGAGCCTTCCGAGTAATCCTAATATAGGAATCGCATATATAGAGTGGCTGCGAGACTGTGACAAGCAATACGCACCACCATGCTCCTGCCCTTGGTCGTCCACCCCACCAAATAACGCAATTTGGCTTCCAACTTTGACGCAGCTTCTTCCCCTCCTCGCCAGATTCACACCACTGATGGAAGAAGTCACTTCAGCCCAGTTGTTGGAAATGGTAGAGTAAACCCAGGCGTCGTTGAGGAGTTTGTTGCTATCTCCGACGCCGCCAAAGATGATGAAAGCAGTGTCGTTGAGCGCAGTGGCACAGTGCTCGGTCCTTCCAGCGGGCCAGGAGTCGGTGAACTGCCGTTCGGCTTGCAGATTGGAGAAAGTGACTTTGTGCAAGTCTCCTTGAATCGACGAAGATCCTTGTCCTAGATAGAATAACGACTTTTAGCTAACCGAAATTTAAATGCGAAAGACCCGAATCCCGGAAAATCACACTCTCACCTCCAAAGATGTAGAACGCATTTCCAAGAGCTACCGACGAGTGATTGCTCCGTGGGACGATGTCAGTGTTGGTGTTTCCGCCCCATGTGTTGCTAGTGGGGTCGTACGTCGCAATTCCAGACGCGAAGCTTTTAGACCCAACCGATTGACCACCTAGAACGATGTGAACTGCTTAGAAGCGGGGATCTCTCCAACAGTGATCAAAAGAGACGTTCTCCATTGCTTACCAAAACAGTACACCTTGTCACCGGACTTGTCGTATTCGCAAGTCTGGCCCACCACTGTTAGGCGGTTGGCTGTACCACTGCTGCTCCTTGAGGCAGCGGACTGGATGGACGCGACTTGTTTCGTCGAAAAGTCGAAAGAGGTGATGTTCGACCCAATGGCTCGAAGTGCACGCGCATAGGCCGAACCTAATGCACATTGATATTTTGAGACATGTTAGAAGTGGCGCAAATGGGAGCCTGGAAGGGTGCCGGCGCCATCAAATCATTACCTGAGCCAGAAGCCGGAGCACCGCCAATCAACAACCATTTGTTGTTTACCACGACGCTAGCAGCGCCGACACGAGCATACTGAGTCGATGGCAGGTCCTGCGCGGACGCGATCTGGGCTCCAATCGTAGCTGCCAGGGCAGTGATGGCAACGATCGTCGTCGGCGGGGCCATGATGAAGAATATGGTGTATGGTTGATGCTGTGGTGGTTGCTAGACTGGACGTTCTACGTCGTATGAATGCAAACCACTGGATCTGGATAGCGATGCGTTTGCTACTTCACTTGGAGCGACCGCTTATAAGCAGGAGCGAAGACCCTGTGCCTTTCCTTGATACACCGTTAGAGATTTGGCCCAGCCAAGAAAACGCACTACGGAAAGGAGGCGGGACTTCAGGGAGACCCTGCTGTTTATACGTTCAAGGAATAGCCGAGACATGAAGGTCTCCATGATGTCCATAACACAATTACAAATGTTGTGCCCTGCTCAAAGCCGTAGGAACAGATCTCCAATCGAGCATGCACACGTCCTCTTGTGCATCATAATAGGCACGTCATCTTAAGACTCTTTCAGCAGGTAAGTCCGGTTCGGCCGGGGTTCGGCTATGACGCACGGGATCTCATATGTCTTCCTCGATCGAGATTCGTGTCAAGAGAGCTCATATAGGCAGGTGAGCGAACTGTTTATCCATGTAGGTTAAGCTTCATGAAAGGATTGAGGACTTGTGTTTGAGAGGGAAGCCCGACTGGGGCAGGTAGGACGAGCAACTTAACGCTCCACGCGTCGTCGATGTGCGGAAACGAGATCGTCTAGTAGTACTGTAATGCGGTCCTGGGAGACTCTTTGAATGTGCTTGTATAGCAGCTGTCAAGTAGCCTCGAAAAGGGCCGTCCCGAGGCGGGAATCACGCAGATCTGCGGGTTCTGAGCAGGGGAATCCGTCTCATGCGGCGGCAAAATTTCTGTAGTCTGTGCGGCAAACGGCGGCAAAATGAACAATCCCAAGTCTTTCATCTATTTACGTAGAGGGTTTAGCAACCCTTGTCACCTTCATGGCGAACGGAAGCCCCACCTGTGCCGTTTTAGACTCTGTCTTCGCGGTGCCTTCATTTTGGGCGGGCGGAGTTGCTTATGTCAGCAAACGCGAGGCGGCACTGTCGCATTTCCCGTCAACTCTCCCGCCGACCGGTCTTCCCTTTCATCCGTGCAGGACGTGCAGCGCACGCCGTGGGCCTCTTGCAATGGCAGCTGCTGCCACGAGCCGTGCGTGGCATTTCAAGCGAACTGCACCGCTTGCCATGCAACCTAAACCCTTTTTTGTTCGTCGCGTCTGTCTCGGCCGTCATGGCTCGCACGATTCCGGCAAGGAGCAGTCTTGGCTGTAAACACGAGTGACTTTCTCCTCGACAGCGTCTCCGCAACCACTCACAGTTGAGATGTGCTTGGGCGCACGTAATGATACATTGCTTGAAAAGTGCTCGCATTCAGGGGCGAAACACACATGAAAAGATATCCCGTCCAGATATGCCACAGATGCAACTCTCAGATCCAGCCTGAGAGCTTCGTTAAAGCTCACTCTGCAACTTTTTGGAACAAAGCGTCCTGGAGCCTTCCTCCTACAGCACATAGCACTTGAACAGCCAGAATACATCGTACCTACCGGAAGGGCGGCAAGATCCGCAGAGGCGAAGAACAACTCTATACAGGATAGGCGGCTTGTAAATGGTGTGTAATTTAACTTCTCTTCTGGCGGGTGGGGCGGGGTGTGCCGCACCAAACGAGGCTTGCCGCACGGCATCAAAACTCTCCATGCGAAAATATCTCGAGCATTGTCAGTCACTTCTAGCTCGGACAACTTCATCCAATTTCGCATATTTGTTCATTACCAGGCGCTTTTCAGCACGGACTTGGACTTCCCAGACGACGTATTCGCTACACTTCTACATCCGGATTCCGAGGAACCAGCCGGCCCTACCAATATTGACGATCTACTGACAACCTTCAATCTCGAGGAGATTGTCCCCACCCAAGCGGTCGCTACATTACCGTTGGATCTTAACGGACCATTACCGGTTGTTGCGACAAAGTCGCTACTTCCAGCGCTTTTAACGAAGGCCAGCTCTTTGCTTGGGATTGCGAGAAATAGAACCAGAACGATAGCCGCTCCAGGCAATGCAGGCCTAGGATCGCTAGAGATCACCACCACCGAGCCTGCATTTGACGATGGCTTTAGTACCACTGAGCTGACAACACGAACGTTTGACATTCCTCAACCGACGTCCAGTCCACCCAGCCGGACAGCGCCGCCTTCACCGATCACGGACGTGCGAACGACGGCATCCGACTTCCGGACAACGACACAGAGTGAGGTGTCGTTCGCCGCCTCCAGCGATTCCCCCTCCCTCACGCCTGCATTTGGCGCCAGTGGTACGACTAGCTTCGTGCCGCTTGGAACTACTACAACCACTAGGGCCTTCGAATCTACGGAAAAGACAATCGGAATTGGCTCTGGAACGGTTTTCTCAACGACGAGCCGTGTCGGTGATAGTATACAGCTTTCGAGCACGAGAACACGGCCAGTCGGCATCGGTAGCGTCGCAATAGCATCTTCCTCTGTGGAATTCCCATCCCCAGCCTGGAGCACAATTGGGATCACGCATCACATTCCCAGCATCACGTCAACTCCACTCTCACGAACACGTACGACCATTGCTGAGACGGGGGACTCTTTTACGACACGGACAATTTCGGGTGGGGGGATTAGTGTAATCGGCGGTGCAGTTGAGTCTACGACGACCGTTCTTGTGACCCTTGGCGAACCTTCCCCCGAACCGCAGACCATCGCGGCGCCCACGGCAAACGAGCCGATTGGCGTGCCCGTCGTCACGCTCACATCAACCGTGGCGGAAGGGGCCGAGAGTCGGTCTGAAGTGTTCGGCACCACGTCGGTTGGCATTGCCGCCCCGACAGTATCTTTCACGTCATTCAACGCAAATCGGTCGACCGCTGCGTCCTATTCCACTGAATCATCGGCACAGACAGAACCCATCTCTTCTCTGATCGTCCCGCAAACTTTCGCTTCAAGTGTCCCCCCAATCCCGACATACACGTCCACGTCTATCGGAAGGCCCACCACACCCTCTCCTTCTTCGGTGCGACCCACCAGTGGCCGCTCCATATCGTCGAAGACCTCGTACGCTCCATCCTCGAAGGCAGCATCAGAGACCAACAATCATCCCGTGACGACTCCGTCAACATCTAGACCTATCTCGACTCCCACCGTCAAGCGCACAAGAACTTCCCGCACTCCGACATCCACTAGACCTCCGCGGCCGACTTCAACGTCCCGCGTCGATACTACGATCCGCCGAACATCGTCGCATAGTGCTTCGCAAACACATTCGTCGACCAAATCTCGATCCGCACCAAGTACCTCAGCGTCCCCGTTATCATCCACTTCTCCGCACATTGCGAGTTTGCCCACAGTAACCCCAACCACATCAGATTTCGTTCTGCTCACGAGTCTAGTCACACCAGAGGCTTCTTACATAGCCTCTCTTCCCTTACCTTCATCAACGGTCCCACCGAATACCTCGGTACCCACCGCACCACCGCCCATTCCCTCCGCTACTGGGTTATCCTCACCTTACACTTTACCGACTTCCCCCCCTCCGCCACTTCCGACGTCAGTTTTTGATTCCAGCGTTACTCCGATCACGCCAACGCACACGACATCCACATTGGCAGCATCTTCAGCTTCACCATCAGCTTCACCATCCCCCTCTCGTCCCTTCACAACCCCCTCCGCAATGTCCTCTTACTCGTCGACGGCAGATATACCAATCACTCCGGGCTCTACAACTACCAGACTATCGTCACCGCGGTCAACCTTCTCATCCACGAGAGTCGCGTTCACTTCATCCACACAGGTTGCCGTGAGATACACGTCGACCTCGGCTGAGGACAGGAGCGAAGTTGTGCCAACTTCAACGAGGGAAACGGGTGTGTTTACGTCGAGCGTAGAGGTGGCCATCCCATCGACATCGAAACCGTATTCGACTATCCTCGTAGTTTCACCATCAGTGCCTGGTAGTACGGAAGCACCGTCCTTTGCGATAACATCGACGACGAGCCCATCTACCAGCAATGCAGCTGTTCCGTCGACAGTCAGTACGGGGGTATATCCGTGGCCGCCAGTCCCACCGTGGGACACGCCTGGGATTCCGTCAGCGTCGACGAGTTACAGCATACCCAGTGTCGTCTTCATCTCCACGTCAACGTCAGACGCGGTGACGTACAGTACAGTGGCGGGGTTTACAAGCGAGTACGTTTCTCCAACGCTGACCGTAGCACCCGTCACGTCAGTTGCGTCGCCTTTCATCGTGTCTCCAGCCACCAGCAGCGTCAAAGGAGGTGGCGTTCCCATCCCTGTACCTGTTGTTGGCGGGGGGGAAACAACAGCCATCTTTGAGCCCGTTGTCGGTGAGACTTCCCTCGCGCCCGTTGGTACCGAAGTGCCGTTACCATCGTCGACCGTGGGCGAAACCACTGCGCCATCCGCGTCCCCGACCGTTGCTGTGGGCGACGGGAGTAGTTCGAAAGCAGGGTTGATTGGGGGGATTGCTGGCGGGATCGGTGGCGGGCTGTTGCTCCTCCTCGGGGCATTGATATGGTCTAGATGTCAGCGAACAAAGGAGAGACATGCTCATGCCGGGGGCAGTGGAGGTCATGGAAGCGGCAAACCAAGCACTCTCACTGCGGGTGGGAGGCCGGCGGACAATATTCATGGATCCGCGACCGTGCTGGACATTCCAGGAGAGGAGGGAGCGGCAGGAACGGATGGCATGGGGCAGGCCTCGGCGACGCAACACGTAGATACTCCCCAACCCCAATCAGGCTCGAGTTCAGATGAAGCGGCAGGCCTCGGAGTAGGGCTAGCTGCCGGCACCGCCGCCCTCGGATTGCGTCCGTCGCGGTCCAGTCACCGCATTGATGTGCCAGCTGCATCGGAGACTCCATCACCTCAGCCCGCACGGGCCAGCGCCACACCTCGGCGAGCAGAGACATTGAGCTCGGTGGCCGACGATCGCCCTCCCCCACCGTACGAATTTTTCTCTGATGCGTTTGCGGACGATTTGGAGGAGGCGGGCGACGGACAGTCAACGACGGGAAACCCGGGACCAAGTGGTAGTGGGAATGCGGCAGCTGCATTAGGTGCATTAGCATCCGCCTCCGTCTCATCGCTTGCCCCATCTCATACATCGCCCCGCTCACCGCCTCCACTGCGACCTCTTCCCGAAGTACCCCGATCGTCCGCCTCACTCGGATCAGATCAGAAGCCTCGCATCCCGTCGCCATTGCCTGTACCGCCGCGGTCCGAGGCGTCCACCGCGCACGGCTCAAGCAGCAAAGGCAAGCAGCCTGACATGCCATACCCGTCGTTCCATCACACCGCACCATCCATTGCAAGCGGAAGCAGCGCCACGCCTTCGGAGTTCACTCGATCGCCATCACCGTCCCTCTCAGAGGCATCGGCGGCAGCAGTGGCGGGTGTAGCGCCACACCACCATCATCCGAGCGCGTCGCCACGCTTTCTTGATGCAAAGATCCCCACTGGCCGCGGATCTCCTCAGCAACCAAATCAACCAGTGTGGTTCATTGCAACAATCCCGACGGCGTCTGGCAAGTTCACACCGACCGCGCCTGATGAGACAGAATTGGAGAATGGGGATATGGTTACTGTTATTCAGCGCTTCTCTGATGGTTGGTGCCGCATTATCAATGATACCCGAGGTGGGCGTGTTGGCATGGTTCCGGCACGTTTCTTGGCGAGGTGGTAGGCGGCGTAGCATTGCTGCGTCCCGTTGAGAGGCATCGCTTGATGCTGTGCAACACCACAGGATTGGCGGCGAGGAGCCTTTTATGCGTCCTGGGACCAATCTTTCACTGCATTTTTTGGACTTTCCGCCCTACCGACCTTTCAAGCACCTTTAATCTGTCACGAACCCCACAGTCAAACCATGTACACACGTTCCCGCCATCCGTAGGTAAACCAGTCAGCCCCGGTGAAGGCACTTGTTTAAATCAAACAACATACATACACGGAATACACACTAGGATGTTACACAGATCCAAGTCTAGCATTTCCTATTGTATAGCTCCCATGTGCAGATCGTTGATGCCTTCGGGGGCTCCTCTCTTCGCTGGACGCAGCTGCAATATTCAATTGCTATCCGCGGCGTGCACCCGCGCCTCGCGGGCCTTCCACGCCGTCCGCTCGAAGCCCAGAGCTGGCGACGGAAGCAGCGTGTGACGGCGGTCGGCGAAACATCGGTACCCAATCGCCAGTAACCGGACTTGCAAGCGTTGGTGCGGAGAATGAACTTGTATGACGCAGTCATTTTCAATGAGAGCCCGCGGTATTTGCCTTTCTAAACTGAGATATCTAAGGTCCTCTCTAAGGGCGACACCCCTCGTGTGCACCGTCCTCATTCTATTCGTCTCCGGATGGCGGACTGGTTCTCTGACCCTCGCCGCGCCCTCAATCCGAGTAATCCCAAATGCGGTGGACCGGGAGATGCGATCGAGGCTTTCAACATGTTGCACGTCTTCCATCCTCCACCACCACAGGTCCACGCCGTCTACAGTCAAGTTTTGTGGCACGTAACCCAAACACCACAAGTAGCGGAAGAGCGCGATGGTCATTGCAAGCATCTCCTTGCCGAACTCCCATTGCTGCCTGCCGAAATCTTTCACCGCGCTACCGACACCGCTACCCCGACCACCACCAGCACTACCAGCCCCTCCTGCCGAGGGCAGACTGCAAACTTACAAGATTTGTCGTTGCTGTTGTTGCTGTTGTTGTTAACGTTGATAGTGATCACCCGCTAACCGCAAGCTCCAGAGTTGGTGCGAACTCGGTCGTTCAGTTGAAGTCGCGGCTTTGCCTTAATCCATGCTTTCGTCCGCATATGAAGCCGACCTTGCCCTACAGCCTTGGGCGGCTTATGTTGCTGTTCACAAATCGTGAACGACTGACTATATTCCTCAAATACGCAGTTCTTTCATGATTGCCTGTCCTTGCACTCATATCCTCTCAAGATTGACTCATATCAGGGTTCAGGATGAGTTGAGGTAACTGAGACGCGATCAGCACCAACAACGGAACCAGCAGCACTAGCTCGCTGAGGAGCACGCTCGGTGCGCTGCTGCTGGACAATCTCATTCACTCTATTGTAATTGGTGATGAGTGCATCCGACCAGGTCTCACGAGGGACGAGGCTGATAGTATCGATCCAAAGGCGCCCAGACTCCCTGATTTGGCGGGTGTCGGGGACAGGGCCATGCCTATCTAGACCGGCAAAAGCGATCTGGGCTATCTCGCGCTTAATGGCGAGTCTGAAAGAGGCATCATTGAGTGTGCCACAATAGATAAGCCAGGCTTGGAGCTCAATTGCATGCCAGGGAAGTTGGGCAATTTCAGCCTGAAACTTCAACATCTGGCGGGTAGCAGCATAGACATCATTGTCAAGCAGCACCCACAACGCAGCAACCGGGACAACACGCCCGGTTTCGTGCGTACTCAAAAGCCCACCAAGCCTATGCTTGGCTGCGGTGGGTATGGTCAAGAGTTTAACCAGTTGGCTAGGGAGATCAGACTCTCCCACGACCCCATCTCCTTCGTGAGTTGAAGAGAAGAGGTAATCGTCACTGCGTACTTTGGTGTGTTCCAGCAGCCTGAGAGGATATGAGTGCCTGTCCTTGCACTGAACATGGGTACATCTCATATCTTTCTCAAGATGTTCTGTTGATGGGGTGGTTGTCCTCCTCGAGGCCTCCGATCTTCCTTAGATTGACCGCGGGCTCTTCGTTCTCATCTCTGCCGTCGGATCCGAGTCAGATTCGAGAGTTACGGACGGGGAGTCGTGAACCCGAGGTAGTTACGCGACAGCGTAAAGGGACACAGTCCCGCAACCACCTCAGGTCGACGATCGCATGTCCCGCAGAATCTTCTCCATAATTTTGCTCAAATCATGTCCTCTGACTTTAGACAGTCTTTCCGGCCTCATGCAAGCGCGAGTCGGAGGGGTAACAATACTGGCACCAGTGATACATGTGTCATCATGATGGCGCGGAAAACAGATCTGGGAGCGCTACGAAGTTCTGCTAGTCGTGATTGAATGGTCGGTAGCAGCGTTGGCTGGTTCAGGGAGCGTCATCGCTGGCGCATAACCCTTGGAACGGGTGGCGTCTCCACCGTTTCCCTCTCATTCTGGAGCTTCTCCAGCTGCATTTCTGTATGCTTGAGCTTCTCTTCCAGCTGCACCACGTCTACTTCACGTTTCTGCCGACTGAGAGACACGTTCCCAGCTTCTACGTGCGCTGTGACGAGGGGTCCGTATGGGTGTGTGCGATGGTTCATTGTGCTGTTACAGCTTCATACTATTGTTTCGACGTTGGCAGCGAAAAGGCCCAAGGTCTCTTGACCTCTTTAACTAGCTTAGGCTTGGCCGTTCCTTGAAACCCTAAGGTGAAGTCCGGGTTAAGGAGCAACCCCGGAACACCTGCCATAGGGCGTCGGAAAATTGGGTGTCCGACGTTCTGCTGCAACGTCCTCGACGACGTTTGCCCCCAACTATGCCTCGCCAGCAGTTTCCTTTGCGATTCCGTAACCTTCATCGGCGGGTATGTGGCCATTGAATTGGTCGATGCAAGTTGATCTAGGTACCCCTGGAAATTCTCGACGCTCTGACGGCCCTTCGCTGAATTGCATGGCCAGCAGGACATTTCAATTTCCTGATGTGGGTTGTCGTACGACAGGCAAAATTTGACTCTCTCTTTGGAAGCCATTTGAACGTCCACTGCTCCCGCCCGTATGTTTCGGGCGAATTTAACGGCTGTATTCGTCAACGTTATTTTCTTGTAGTTCCCGGATACCGTCGCCCAAGGAAGCAGGATATCATCCTCAATCTCGTACTCCCATTGATGTTGCTTAGCTTATCAAGCATCATCTTCGGCTTTTTGCTTCTTGCTTTCCGCTCCAGCAGGTTCCTCCTCACAAGCAAATCCCTCGTCATCATCAAGCGACTGCGGGACTGGTACAGGTTCCCTTTTGCATCGATGATTTCCTGTTCGTCATGTCGAACGATCCGCAAGACTGTGGTCCTGAAGGTGCTTGGAAGCCCCATCGTTGCAAGAAATTCGGGGCACCCTGCTTCTCCGACGTGCCGTTTCGGTGCGACTTCTCGTTACGATACTTCGTCACTTTTTTGCGAATCTCCTCCATGATTTGAGCAGGTGTGCGAGCCGCACGGCGGGTCCCGCAGTCAGCCCATGAAATCTGTCTGATATCAACTCCAACCATACGCTGGTGTGTACCCACCCCAACACGAGCCCAGCCGCTCCCCACGAAAGCAACAAAATGCTCAGAACCTGCCACTTCGGCTCCCCTCTCCACAGCGCCTGTGGCACGCCCAGCAGCTGAACATCCACCTTCTCCCCCGCCGCCAATGACGCCGAAAGCAGGCGGACCATGGTGAGAAACCCGACGGACCCCACAAGGACTCCCCGATGGGGACGTATAGACGCATAAATGCCTCAATACTGGGACTACTCTGCCAGTCGGGAAGCCCGTGCCCACTCAATGTAGAGACGGTGGGGAATATCCGAGACCCTGATGAGGATGGGATAATCCTGAACGTGGTAGGAGGCCGAGGAACTTCCGCGGTAGTGGTGTATCCAAAGGATTGGCGGGCATATGTCAGTTGTGACGGGGTCATAGAACCGGGTGCCGCGGTATTCCCTAATGATCCATTCGGCCATCACCATGGCATACAGCGCACAGACGACGCCGTTCTGGTCGGCACGGGTACAGCTCCAATCTCAGTGGATTCAAGTGGCATGATGTGCACCTCCGTAAGCTCATAATTCGCTCGTCCTTCAACTCTCCAGCATTTGGCCTTTGCCCACCAAACGGATTGATCTGCACTCGAAAGGTCAGCCCGATATGAGGCAAATTGAACACCACTGACGGACGGTAAAACATTGCGAATGTATGGGTATCCCGGCTCGGACGAGACGGATAACGAGTCAGCATTCACATGAATGTCCATGGCTTGCATCCCCCATTTGCTGTTTATTTTGAAGTGATGTTTGAGAGCTTTCCTACCGGATCTCCATCCTCGCGTTCTTGCGATACTCATCCAGCTTCGGTCGCTGCTCTTCCACCGTCCTCGCTGATCATGCTCGTACTTGCGTCGAATGGCGTCCTTTCGCGGGATATACGGTGCCTTGAGGGGTGGCGGGAACCAGTGGGAGCGGTCAGTCGGAATAGTGTTGGTGTAGACTATGCAATTGGTACCATTCAATGGCGGCCATTGGGCCAGTGCCCAAAGTGATCGTCGCCAGCACCTGGCCCAGTATGCGCCTAAGTGCAGCTACACCGGCGTCCCCCATCACCATCAGTCCTGCAAGGAGTGGTAATTAGTCAGTGGTGCATGGTGACAAGAGAGTAGGTGGGCACAATGCACCTGTACGCCTCCAGCGCCTCCTCCAAATCCCTCCTCGTCCTTGGCGCCGCTGGCTACTCCCTTAAAAACATCACCGCAAATGCCACGGCCCACTTGTACTCCGTCGAATTCTTGATGGAAGACACGCGGATGAGGCTGCCTTCATATTGCTCAATGCGCTGCCGCATTGTAGCATGCGCAGTGGCATGGGCTGGGTTTCGATGGGGAGCGCGGGGGCTGAACCAGGCAGCGGTAGAAGTAACATGGTTGCGGTGGCGGTTGGGTTAAAGTGATTCGTGTGCTTCGCTTCGGGAGCCTGGTGATGCTTACGTAGCAGGTGCTGGATGTTCTGAGCTCCTCAACTCGCTCCTCGTCCTCGGCGCCGCTGGTCATTCCCTCAAAAACATCACCGCGAATGCAACTGCCCACTTGTACTCCATCCCATCCAAAGCACTCTGCAAAGCACTCGACGCGCGGATGATTTCAGCTTCCATGTCGTGCATGCGTTGCGTCATTTCATAACTCGAACGCCTTCTTGCTGTGTTACCAAATCTCCCAATTCTTGCTCGTGATGTGCAACCCTATATGGAATCCAGCAAAACTGGGGTGCCGGTGTGATCGAGGCGCAGGGTTACGCACGAAGGTCTGTCCTCAGAGACTTTAGCTGCTCCTTGGTAGTCACCGAGCTGCTCAACCAGGGCATCCTTTGATACCACAAAGTGATCTCGTCGTCGAAGACCCAATATTTTGGCTTCGCAGTAGGCCCTTCCTTATCCAGTCCTTCGGTAGCTCGCTTGATGAAACGAGCCGACTCGGCATCGTCAACCTCCTCCCCGACAATATGGACGAGCGGGTGGGTTTATGCAGTCTGTGTACGACTGTTGCCTTCGGAAAGGAACCGGGTGATCCGGCCGAGTAGATCATCCCGGGAGCAGCATCGTCAACCTGTACGGCTTCCACTACTTCTTTCAAGACTGCGGATCTGCGGGAGGCTGAAATGCTAACGGTATGAATTCAGCCGATGACTTTTTCGAGATGTTCTCAGGTGCGCGGCGTGCCCAGCGATGGTACAGCTACTTCTCGCGGCTCTATCGCTTGACACTTTCGTAAAATTCAGACTTCTTGATAACTTTGTGAATGCGATCCGATACATCTACGTCTGCCTCCGGGAGGTCGGCAATACGGCTCCGCCCACTGTCCAACTCCTCCGAGATAATATGGAGTTTACACGCCGGGATCGTCTCAATCTCCAGAGGCAAGACGTTCGCAGGTGCGACGAGAACCCCGGGCCATCAAAAAGGCATAGTGACTTCCCTTCCGCGCATAGTCCCCAAGAGCTTGATGATATCCAAGCGCTTCATACACAGAGAAAAAGACTGTCCTTCCGAGTGAGGAGCGAGAGTAGGCGAGCGACAGCGCGATAGGATACATCCTCGGAAGTTTTCGCTGCCTATCCACCCTTGATGTCGAAGTGAAGTACTGTTAACGAGGAAAGGCGCCACTTGGTTGAGAGCAAAGAGCAGAGCGAGAGATACTAAGACGAAGTAGGTTGGATGCGTGGAGTCGGAGTCCTCACGTAGCGAATGTCGAGATCTGTTGCCGCGGGCGAAAGTCAATCGTGTGCTAGAAGGTAAGGTAAAGAAACGCCAGAAAGGCATTCCAATAATAGCGTCGTAAGCCAGATTACTGACTAGCCAGGGAAGTTGTCCAACTAAGAAAAGCGACTGAGATTTGAGATCCCATAGATCTTATTTTTTGAAACGACCGTGTCGAGAATCATATATGATTCTTTGTCGGCCAGCCATATCTGCTTTGGTTCGATACGTTTCTTGGGAAATTTGTGCTTTTCGATGAATGTCTTGTCAAGGAATAAGCCAGTTGCACCGCTATCGAAGAGAACACGAGCAAATTTGTTTCCGATATGACAGTGAGAGACCCAAAGGCCAGCAGACAATGGTTCGTAGGCAGGTTTATCGGTGAGATCGTATGTTGTAGGCCGAGCAGAGTTACCGAGAGGCTCTATCGACCTTGGAAAAAACCCAGTATTTTGACTTGAGGTGGTACTAGTAGTATTCGCAGAGTGTACTGCGTCATCGAGAATTTCCGTAATGCGTGACCCAGCATCAACCTGATTGGTTGAACCTTGTTGTTGATTAGGTTGGCGACTGCGCTGCGGAGTCTGAGCGCCACGACCGCGCTGTCGAAAACCACCGCGTCGGTTCTGGGTTTGAGAGTATTGCTGTCGATTTTCGGGGTTCGACCAGCACTCTACTTTCCAATGTCCCATTTTCGGCTTGAAGTATCACCCTCTCCAGTGACGATGAACGGGGCACTTCGGCAGAGCTTGCACAGTTGATACGGGCATCGCTCATTCCTCCTGCAGAGGCCCCGTTGTTGAGCGCCATGGATCTCGACAGTTTTCCCATATACCCGGAACTGGATGGTGCGTTTCATGGTTAGGTGTCCACCCCGGGGCTGACTGAGTAGTGGTCACCCTGTTTGTAGTATCGCGCCAGTCGATGTTGACAGTCTGGAAACTCAGCAGTAGAGGTGGAAGCGCAAAAGGATTCGGTGGCACATAATCGACGGCTTTCCGCATGTCCGTCCTGCCGGCACCTGCGTCTTGGAGCAGGGATTTCGCCGTTTGTCCAGAGATACAGCGACAGGCGTAGGGTCGAGCGGCCCGGCAATCTGCAAGGTCGAGGAGGAATTGCACCAAACGCCAGCAGTGGCCTTGTGGTCGGCCCGGAGCTCCGCGTTGAGCTCTGCCTTCCCGACACCTGGCCCACACATGATGCCGAACAAAAGTTTCGGAATTTCCGCGTGGTTTTATATGCGGCAAGGGTATATTTTTCTACAATACATGAACACATACTTATACAACCTATTCTGCACGTATTATCGGGGATGGTTCAGTAAGTCAATGCTGCCGCGCGTTCCGAAAAGTTTTGTCGTGGTATTGTACAATTTTACGCCGGGTCTCAACCACAACCACAACCTTTTCCTCTTCCTCCTCCTCCTCTTCCTCTTCCTCTTCCTCTTCAACCGCTCCCTACTCAACCTCCGGCCGTGCTGAGCGGGCCGGGACGAGGGAAAGCCACGCAACGAACGACTCCTCTTCCTCTTCAACCGCTCCCTACTCAACCTCCGGCCGTGCTGAGCGGGCCGGGACGAGGGAAAGCCACGCAACGAACGACAACACCAACATGTACTACGTCCACGCCATCGGGAGCAGACGGACAGGCGGGTTGCGGAAGGGGTTTGTTGAGAGAAGGGTGACTCGATCGACGTTTGCTTCGGGTGCGACGGGGGGACGGGATGCAAGAGGGGGGAGTCGGCGGATATGACGGCGGGGAGGCAGAGGGGGCGGGAGGAGACGGAAGATTTGCAGCGGTTGTCGGAGCGTTTCCGGCGAGGCTCAACGACCTTGGTCGGAACTCGGCGAGGGTCAGAAAGAATGCCGATTCTCGACCTTGCGAACAGGGCGCGTAAATTGTTACAGTACAATTTACGTAGCGGCAGAACAGAACACATTTTTTTGCCGTTCGCGCTACAAAACTCCCTTTCGCGCGAGGGAAAAGCCTGAAAGGGCGGGCTTTCGTATATAGAAGACGGCGGTGGAACCTTTGAAGTTGGGAACGATTGAAATTTGCGCTGGATCCATACAAGTTCTATCTACAACATGACATGTGTATGGGCGCATTGGGCGGAGACTCCTTCGCGCCCGCTGAGAGGCCAAGCAAGACCAACGAGCGAGCGACGCACGGGCAAGTAGGCGCGACGGTGGGTATGGTAGGACTCGCAACTTGCCGCTTGGCTTGGCATGGACACCGGGGATATATAAGGTGGGAGGGTACCCTTCAGCAACTACCCGCCCACCGACAAAGCCTACCTACTGCATTCCACGATGCTTTTCCCTAACCTTTTCCTTCGCGTTGACTGTCACTTTCTGGCACATCGCCTGCTCCGTCTTCGCCGGCGCCATCTGTCGCCATGCGTTCCAGGGACAACTCGACGCAATCAAGAGCATCCCTTCGTACGCACGGGAAGAGCGCCGTACCATCATACCCTTTGATCGCTCCCTCAGCAGTCTCTCCCTCACTGCTGCCTGGTATCCGTCCACACTCCTCGCCACCGCCTTCCTTTCCGCCATCACAGTCATGTACCACATTCACCACCGTCTCGCCTCGGGTTCGAGTCGTGCTTCGCAGAAAACCGATGTGGCCTTGTCGCCGGACCATCACCCCTACCTAGCGGTCCCTTTGACCGGTAACGAGACGGACTTCGACACGGCGTCCATGTCCCGCCGTCAGGACATGTACGTTGACCTCTACCGGTACGTGAAAAGCTGCATCCGCGAAGCGGCGCAAACCGACCACTTTTCCGAGGTCAACGAGGATCGCTTCCTTTTTGCGATTTCAACGACCGCCACCAATGTCCATCCTGACCTCTTCCCCGAGGTGGCGGGGCAGTTATTGGGGACCCTGCGGCGGGAAGGCTTCAATGTCACCCGCTGCGAAATCGTGAACAATATCTTCTGCCTGCGAATTGACACCAAGTATGGGCAGCAAACGGCAATAGCTTCGGAGGACGAGATAGCCGTGCTTGCTCCAACCTAGCCGTAGAATAAACCTCAGAATATGTATTATTGTGCTTCTCTTAGCCCTAGCCTTCATGTACCTATAGTTTCATACTCTATACAAAACGACACCTCCATCGACAATAGATAATTCTAGACAACACTCATCGCCACCGCCTTCTTTTCCGCCAGCGCAGTCATTCACAGTTGCCCGGCACATAGTTTGTTATCGATAACAACACTCATGCGAGTCCAATCACTCTACGTGTACGCTTCCAACGCAAAACCCCCAGGCACCATTTCACGTCCTCATCATTTGCTAGGCCACGAAACAACGTAACGCAAATAAGAGGGTGTACTCCAGGAACACCGACCATAAATAAGCATGCTGCATCGTGACCTTGCGAATCGGCATGTACTGCGACCCTTGCGAATCGGCACTAGGCAAGGGTCAGAAGGCCGAGGTTCGGCAGGTCAGAATGCGTCCACCGGTGTTTGCGAGAGGAACGACAGACGCGGACGGGGCCAGGGGGGTTATGACGGAGGCGGATGACGCGGGTTGGGCCAGGGAGGTTATGATTGCGGGGGCGGCGGTGATTGCGGTTGTCGGTGTGGTCGTCGGTGCGGTTGTTACGGGAGGTTGTTGCGGGAGTTCTTGGGGGCCTGTGGACAAAGGCCTTCGGATAAATGACCATGCTCCGGGCCACATCAATTTAGAAACCAATCCTTTATAGATCGAGACAGCATAGTTAGCGCGACTTGACGGGCGTGGACCGCGTCGCTTCATAGGAGCCAAGAAACCGGTTGACAGCATTTTCCAGCGGAATCGCCAACTTCTTTTTTCTACAAGTTTCTGTTTATCAGACACACAGACAATCATAAAAAAGTAGGAGTGTCAAGTCCGGTTCCAACAATCTGTCTATTCAGTGAAAAAGAAAGCATCGCAAAATGTCACCTATTGTAAAAGTCTCCAGCATTGAGAGTATGAACCAGCTCTCATATATCAATTTTCATGGCACGGTGGTTTAGTGGGAGACGTACGTACTTTCCCCTCTTGTCAAAGGACTGCTTCCAAAGAGCTGTGACAGTATTGTTGCTGACTCCACAGGCCTCCGCCGTTCTGCCACGTGCATCAACTGCAGCCAGGTTGATGGGTAAGTTGTCTGCATGAAGGTAAAGGAATCTCGCTGGGGAGGCCATTGGGTTAGGCACACTCAAGAGGGCGTGTGATGGCCCAGGAGGTCTCCCTGTGCTGTGGGGAGTCAGTTTGAGACTCGGCAATTATGCAATGGCACAATGGCAAGCAGAATGGCAAGGGGCCAAGGGCTACTGTCGCCGGTCGGAGTGAGGAAAAGGTGTATTTGTTGCTTGAATATCGTGAATCTGCGGGCGTTTCTGTGCGCGGATACCGCGTTGCTAAACACTGTCAGGTTGCGCTAACTATGCTGTCCTGATCTATAAGCCTTTGCGCTGTGCCAAACCAAAGGTTTATTACCACTCACTTTACCTGCAACTGATGCCAAACAAGCGAGGCCATTTTGCCAGTGCCCAAAGTGAACGCCGCAAGCAGCTGGCCCAGTATGTGCCTGAGCGCAGCTACACCTGCAAATGCCCTCCATCGCAGGCGTCCCCCACTGGTGGTACTTAGTCAGTGGTGCGTGGTGACAAGAGCAAGACAGTAGGTGGGACAACGCACCTGTACACCTCCAACTCCTCCTCCAAATCCCTCTTCGTCCTCGGGGGCCTAGGCCACTCCCTCAGGAACATCACCACAAACACCACGGCCCACTTGTACTCCGTTGAATTCTTGTTGGAAGACACGCGGATGAGGTCGCCTTCATACCGCTCAATGCGCTCCCGCATTTCAGCATGCGCAGTGGCATGGGCTGGGGTTCGATGGGGCCTTAATCTTCCTCAGTGAAATCCCCGTCCTCGTACTCCTCGTCATACTCCTCGTCTCCGTTCTACTCATCATGGTCGTCGTCCATGTTTTCCTCATCATCTGTGCGCATTGGTCGGGTCCACCCGGTCTGTTGCGATGCCCCAGCACCTCAACACATGAGGCCTTCATATGCGGATGACACTCAGCTTTTGGGTGATGTGAACAGGTCGTAGTAGCCCAAAGTCGGAATGTGCGACCGCAACCACTCTGATCGCCTTCGTATGCCTTGCGGACGCTCTTGACAGGTCAAGAAGGTCGGCAATGCAAACGAAGGAGACCAAAGAGCGCTGACAGGTCATGTCGAATGCGCAAAAGAAACAAATTTGCCGGATGAGCAGAGCCATAATTTGGTTGAAGAAGACGAAGAGGCCGCCGCCGAGCCCGCGGGGATGTTTCCAAAGAAAAGCGCCTTCCTTGGGGTTGCGGGTGGTGGCGGGGGCGGCGCAACTGCGACCGGGCGGGCCACAGCCGGGGTAGGGGCGGGGTTTGCTTGGTTCATTGTTGTCGAAAAGCCCTTGTGTTCGATGGATTTGGTGTCGAGAAAAAGCTAATGCTTAGTTGATTTCCCTGGTTCGTTGTTGTCGATGAAGTTGAGCTCAATTGATTTGTCGAAGGAGTTGTTGTCGATGAAGTTGACTTTTATTGATTTCTCGAAGGAGTTGAAGGGGTTCCGGTCACCAAATCTCGTGGTCGGAGCGGCAACCGCCGGGCGACGCGGACTGCTGGGATGTCCCATGCAACAACGCTGGCTGATATTATACACCTGTGAAAGTTGTTTCATGTAAGTTTACAAGTGAATGGTTCTACTTTCGTGTGGAAGAGACGAGTAGATCGTGCATACCTGCAGATGGTGCATAAGTATTCTCATAAGCATTCCAGGCCCCAAAGCGGCCTTCCATTGGCGACGGTCCCGGTATGCCTTTAAGGCATTGAAAAGATCATCCCTCATCCCAATGGTTGCCACCACGTCATTGAGTGTTCGAGGGCCACCACTCGATCAAGAGCGTCACCCACCATCTCATCGGTGAAATCGTCGGTATCGTTTTCCATGGTAAAGAGGCAGTCGACGAACTCCTTAATATCCTACAAATGTCCCCATCGGCGACCGTTCCTCCCTGCGAACAGCTCCCATGTACTTGTACTCACCTCGCCTACAATCTCCTCCTTCCAAACAAATGTGGCTGAAACGTTTCGTGTGGTTGTGATGTACATAATCCACACATTTATAGTGCTCATGTAGTTCTGGATGGTTAGGGCGCGACGTCCGCTCCTGCGAGGGATGAGAGAAAACCAATGGTAAGTCATTGATTTGGGCACGGAGGGAATCCAAATGTGAAGTACCTATGCAGGGGCTTTAGCTCGTTATGCTTCAGGAATGGATTTGGGCGCTTCGTTGGCCTTGCTGCAATCCCGGTGCTCAAGACTCGTTCGCTAATATGCTGCCCATTGCTGTCACTCCGGGCCCCATCCTGCCGTGGGTTCTGGTGGTTCTCGACGCTCAGCGGAAGTACCATGTCGGCTGTGGTGGCAGACGATTCGGTTTGGTAGTGGAGTCGTGGGAAAATATGGTCGTGGGAACATCGGTCCGTTTGGAAAAGCTGAAGGCACAGGGTTACTCGATCGAATGCGGTTGGTGCGGGGCGATGGTAGGCGGGGTAGTGGTAGGTGGGCGATATCTCCGTAGCTCCCAGTCCTCATCTCGACGCTTCTCGTCGTCCTTCTTGTGATCGATGAATGCTTTGGTATCAACGTGCGGCCGTCGAAGTGACTTCTTTCTCCTCTTTGTTCGCCAGCCTGTACGTGATGACCCCGCCGGTGGTAGCTCGGAATACACGTAAAGATCTCAACAATTCACCCTGGTACTCACGTTCAGCGCCTAGCGCTGAACGTCGGTGCGCCAGGACACGGACCCGCTGGGACACCGGTGAGCGCTTCCGCCGACGTTGGCGGCCCATGCACCGACTGATTTTGAGAAATGAGAAATGGGAAAGATTTGAAGAGGATCTGAACGATTTATTGAACTTATCAACACACCCCCTGCGGGTGGCGTAACGGATGCACCTGCAAAAAACCTAGCACGATCATCCAGAACGCGCGTGGCTGTTGGGGTCGGGGCGGCGTACTGCTGTTGTTGCGTTTGTAGGTTTGAGGGAGCGGTGTCGGTGGTGGGGAGTTGATAGGTGGCGGGTGTGGAGGTCGGGTTGGAAGAAGGAATGGTGGCTTCGTCGGTGGCGGTGGTGTCCACGTCGGCGAGATCTTGGTCGAGGAAGGAAATGCGGCCGAGCCGAGCCGCTGCCGCTCGGTGGTGTCGAGGTTACCCGTGAGATGCTTGTAGCGCGCCCAAATATGTTCAATTTCGCAACGATTGCCAGGTGGAATCAAACCGAGATTGGTGGGGTCAACGTTGGCGAGGTCTTGCTCGAGGAGCCCGCGGAGAAGCCCGCGGGAATGTTTCCACCAAAGAACAGCGGCCTCTTTGGGGCGTGTGATGGCGTGGGCTGCAGTACTGCGAGCGGGCGTAGCGAAGCGCCTTCTATGCTATGCCTTTAAGACATTGAATAGATCGTCCCTCATCCCGATGGTTGCCACGACGTCCACGTCCCGCAAAAACTGTAGGCAAAAAGCCTACAGCCCACCAGTATTCAGCCATGCGGCTGAATTCGATCAATCAATGTCAGATATGTATGAGCTATCCAGGCCTCGTTCCTAGGCAAGATATGGACCTTACCCTAGCTCGGTCAGCTCAGCTACCCAAGCCGGACCCTCCACTTGGAGGCCCGGTAAACTGGCTGATATCGTTTGCCAGTCCACCTAGATGATCTTGTACACCGAACCCGGCAAACCAGAACCTATGTCCAAAGGCTGGGTTTGCTTCATGCGTACTTGATAGGACTTCAACGTATCGCTCAATGATCGCACCGTCGAAGTCTTGAGAACTGCTGTTGAGCGCCGCATCATGCTGTCGGCGTCCATGGTGCTGCTGGGCGCTCATTGTGTGGTGGTTGCTGGGTGGGTTACTCGCGTCTGCGAAGTCCGACCATTGCTGCAGTATTTCTCTGGTCGTCAACAGTACAGCCGCAGTCGTGTAGTGCTTCTTTGATAGACTTCAGGTAGATCCGCGGGTGCTCTGCCTGAAGAGTCCCGGCCAATCTTTCGAGACGAGCTCCGTTTTCGCGGCGTTTTCTTTCAATCTCTTGGTCCTCCGCAGTCAATTGTCGCCGACCTTTCTGCCTGGACGACACGCTGAATGGATTGACCGCAAGGGCTCCTTCAGTGCGACGGGCGACGGCGCGAGACTGGGCCAACGGAGCCTGTTCCCTGGGAATCAACGGTCGACATGTCCTCGCAGACTCGAACGCATGTGTCATTGGTGGCGGGGCCACCACTATGTTGATCGAGGGTGTCGGTGTCGGCACGCTGTGGTCTCCACGGGCAGTGGTTCCTCATCAGCCAGTAACCAGGTTCGGGTCCTCGGCTTGGATCCGGGCGATTATTGCAGCAGGCGCGGCCATTTGTAGTTGAGAGGGGGTGTCGGGGAAAGGAGTTGTCGGCGAGTGCGCTGCCAAAAAATAAAACCTCACAGCCCGACCGCCACGGTCACCCAGCTAGGGCGCCGTACCGTCCCCTCCTTTGATCTCGCTGTCCTCCCCTCCTTATATCTCCCTCCTCCCCACGTTATTCCGCCTCTCCAATCCCGGCGTGTGTGGGCGTCGGGGTCGGGGGCGTTGTGGGTGGGATTCGTTGTTGGCATGGACAAACACTTCTCTCCAAACTTCATGAGTGATTCCATCATTGGGTGGTCAACTCGATCCTGAACTCTTCGTACCCATTCTCTGCGAAGACGCGACCCAAACCAAGGGGCCCCCACATGGCGATGATGTTGCGAACACGGCGGCCATTTAGCGCCCGCCCTCATCCAGGTTGCCCGCTGTCGTCGGTCGAAGTCATCCAAAAACCGACCTCGACGGCCATTGTCGTAATCCACAATGCCCCGCCGCCCGAAGGTCTCATACAGAGTTTCTTTCGAGATATGTCTGCACCCCGTGATTGTGAACATGGCGGGCTCGTCGCTGGATTGCCTGTGCACGGGGTGCCGAGGTTGGTGCCGAGGATTGGGAGTGAAGGTAGTGGCTGTTCAATAGTGAAAGGTGTGGTTGGCAGGTCTACTGAATCAATGGTAATCGAGTCATCTGGCCGACGGGGGCGGGAGGAAGTAGACCGAGATGTGGCGGTGGGTAAGGAGGTAGAGTGAATGGCGTGGTTTGATTGAAGTATGGTTCAAAATGCTCCCGTCGGCGGCGATGAGAACTGTGCTGTTTTTTCCAGCTGCAAGTCCGTCCATCTTGTCCGTGTCAGTGACGCAATTGGGGTTGACCATGAGCGTTTCCGTGAGGAACCTCCAGGTACTCATCGTCCGATAGATGACATGGATCTGCACGAGCGGCAAGTGTGGGCTTGGTGGGCCCAGGTTTCAGAGTTGACACTCTTTATGTGACGACTGACAGCTGCGTTTCATCTGCGTGCCAGACTCGAAGGTTCCGACCGTCTGCGAGTAAATGTCGCGTGGGGAATAGCAGGACAGGGCTGACATCTCAGAGACGGGAGAGAAGAAGAGCCGTTGTGTGGGTCGAGTGTGTAGATCGGCGAGCTGAGAGTATCTGTGTAGAGTGGAGGTTTCAGAGATGGCTCGCGAGGCGATTGCGATGTGGCCCCACTTACTTACGGTTTGCGCACGTTGACGCCTTTTCTGTGCCTTCATCGTTTCCCTTCCAGGCAGCCATGCACAGGACCCTTGTTCTTGTCGTTCACGCCTGATGCCAAGGCTATGTATGTAGTGCGGTTTCAGATGGAGGTTCCCAGAAGGACAGGCTGCTCCCCAGGCTCCCCCACAACAAACGCGTGGATTTGCATCTTTCACTTCCTGAGGAACGTTGCATGCACATTTGCCCATTGGGTGGTGCTTGTGATGCTCGAGGAATGCGGCAAAAGATGGCAACATACAGTTCTCGTTTGGCCAAGCGTCGGCATGGGCAACGGCAAAAGTGCCTCCGAGCTCATACTCCTCGTCCAGCCAGGTATCAAGCAGCCACAGTGCAACCGCATAAACAATAGGCCACTGAAAGTTTGTTTTTGCGGATCTGGACTGGTTCATGAAAAAATTTCGCCCAGGAGGCACTATTGGTGTTGCAGCAGGGATTGGGGCGGCAATGTTTAGACTTGCAGGAGTTGCGGGGGTTGATCCACCTCGTGTCTGCTTTACAGGCGTAGTTGCGGGCGTAGTTGTGGGCGTTGGTCCCGTCGCAGGAGTAGGAGCAGGAGCAGGAACAGGAGCAGGAACAGGAGCAGGAGCAGGAGGCGCTGGAGTGGGAGCTGCTGGGGCGGGAGTACCCAGAATCCTCGCCCGCTCCACTTCCCAAAGCCGCTGCAGGTCGCTCGCTTTCTCATGCTCATTTGAACGTTTTCTGAGGACAGATCCCCTCTCTCCGGGCGCTGCCAGGGTTTGACTTGGGCGGCACAAGATCTGTTCCGTTTTCTTCACGGAGCCCAATCCTAGCCTCCAGAAAGTGAAACGTTCGCAGGTTTCCCTTGATAACCGGGAGAAGGCAAGTGTGTGTTCGGAGCATGGGTCGTCCCCGGAGTTTGTGCAGCGCCAGGCGGGGTTGGGGCATCGCTCAACCAGCGGAGTACCACCGTCCCATTGGCCTGCATAACAACCGCCCAACATTCAAGAATATCGTGGTGCTGATAAATGGGATCTTGCAAAGCCCACTCCAGCGCATGCGTCAGAGGGCGGAAGCATTGGGATCTCAATTCAATTGTCATCCTCTGCAGTGTCACTCTGCACGGATTCCGCACAGCGTCCTCCCTGCAGTCAATCTATAGACAAGGACACCCCATCCCAGGATGACAGCGGCGATTGGCGAATGCGCGGATGATAGCGTTCGGCGATTGCGTTGGGCATCAGCGTTTAGCAGGCACGGCTGAGCGTAGATCCAGTTTGCTTCTAGGCAAGAGACTCCCACGCCCGCCGGTGTTTTACGGCGGGGCGTGAGCATGATACCCTTCGGGCACTTGGCGTGGGGCTGGCGCTTTGCCGCGGATCCAACGGCAACCTTCTGCGGAGCCTTCCCATGCAAGGGAGCCGGCTCTTCTGCATTCTAACAGAGACGGGAACCGTTGGGACCTGAAGGCCGTTCAACCGGTCAAGAAAGGACTAGCCGTGGAGCCGGCAAGTGAGCCCCACATCGCGAGTTGCGAGTCGTGTCAAGCGACGATTTGCGTTGCAAGTTGCGAGAAGGGTCGAGAGTAACGGCGACGGCGCGACGGTGGTTGACTAGTAGGGAGAGACCGGAAGTGAGAACAATCTATCTGTACAGCGACGCGGGCCAATAAACGAAGTACGGACGGACTTGGAGGCGGCCAAAGCAGTCAGCCTCAATCAAGCAAGTGAGCATTGTTGCAAGCCAGTGGTGAGCTACGAGCGGTGAATTCTACACGCACCAAGTGGTGAGTACCGAGTCGTCAGTTACGAGTGGTCAGTGCGAGAACGGTTTCTAATAACAAGAATCCTACATGTACGCGACCGAGCTCGCCCAATACAGCGAGGTCACCGACCGGAGACAAAGTGGTCCATGAAATCAGAGAGGAAACCCCATGGGAAGAAGGTGAACACTTTGACTCAAATGGGGTTAGGACACCGCGTCAACCACTCCGCCGCCGTCGGGAAAACAAGACGCGCCATGACGGCAGCACTTTCGCTATGATAATGAAAGAGACACATCTCCTCTGTCTGGACACATTCCGCGACCCCCTCCCCCCCCCCCGCCTTCAAATTGGGAGCAACAAAAAACTTCAAGAACCCGCTTTTTCCTGCAAGAAAAATGCGCTGTATGCCATGTATGAAAGTAAGCCCTGCGTTCACATGGGATAAGGGATGATTGTTTTACGCTTCCTGGCAAGAAAGCTGCCTCAACCACTCCGCCAAGGGGAGAGGGGAAAGGGAAGGACACCGCTCCGCCGGAAGGGCACGGGGCCGGAGAACAGTTCAGCATAGTAATGCATTGCGTTTCCTAAGTACGCGTTCACCTGTCCATCTCCGGCTTCTCTGACAGGCTGTCACTGTGACAGATACTAGTTGGAGGGCTACTGGTGATGCGCTCTTTTTGTCAACTGCAGCCAGCCCTCGCTAACGACAGCCATGCCTGATATTTGATCATGATTATCAATGATCAGAGGCGAAATGGTCCAAGAAATCAGAGATGAACCCTATGTGAAGAATCAGACAATAAAATGTATACAATATAAGCCAGACTTCTTCCCCCAAGAAAGACAACATGGCGGAGTGGTTAACGCGGTGCCCTGCTAAGGCATTTCCCTCTGGGAGCGCAGGTTCAAATCCTGCTGTTGTCGATTCATTTTTGCACTTTTCGTTTCTCGACGCGTCATCCCATATTGCCGAGTCGGAGTTTTGCCTGCTCCTATTCCTGATTCGATTTACCATTGGACATCGAAATCAGTATGCGAAATCAGGTGCGGTCTCCTTGCACCTAACAGAACTATCTATTGGGAGGATTCCGAAAGTCTATTGGACGTGTTGCGGAGAAGGTGAAGTGCGCGGGATGCCAACGTCGAGGAAAGAAAAAAGACCGGATGGTGCCAGAGGGCAAAATGAACGGCAACTGTTCGCTGAATCGTCACTACTTGCGGACGTGTTCTGTATTGGGCAATCTATCGGCCTTTGATGGGGTCTGTTTCCTCGAACATTTTGCATCATATGGTACGATCCCTGCTCACTGGAGATGAAAACAAACGCAGGGAAACAGTGTCGCTCTCAAAAACAGGAACACGCGGAGAGACGGAGTTTCGCGACATTATCCTGCTGTTGTCGTTGTGGGATTTCTTCGTATTTTGTAAATTGGTCTCTCTATAAAACCCATAAATCAGGCGATCCAACATGGGAGCAGGGGGAATCCGCAAAAGGTGGCAACCTCAGACGTAACTGTTGTCTCAATCATGAGAAAATAGATACGGTGCTGACGGCCAAATGTTTCATGCCATTGCACTCTGTTCATCAAGACAACATGGTTAAGCGCTATTCTTCTGCAGGAAAAACCGTGTTGGGCCAGTTTTCAGGAAGAGAAGTGGAATTTAGGCTATGCTCAACGGGTCTCCACTTAAAGATATGGTGGCGGCATCGATGTAGTCTTCGTGCAAAAATAGTAACTGCGCCTAAATGTGGCTAGCAAGCGTTTTCAAGTCAAAGTCCATTCATTGAGAAAGGCAGATAAGCGAAAGAAAGTGTGCGCGAGTAGCGATTGAAGACAAGTGGCAAGAAATCAAAATGTTTCGGGAGGTTCGTCACAGACGCAACCCAGTAGGAATATCACCATTGTGAAAAGTGCAGGGTACAGCAAAAAGTGAGGAAAATGTATGAAAAAACGGGAGAAGAACTCTAAAACGAGAAACGACGAAGAAAAGACAGGGCTGCCCGTCCGAGCACAACAACGCCAGGGAACATTGAATACACCGTTGGTGTTTCACCTCAGATCAGTCAAGTCATTCAGTGGCCCACACAGAGCGCAGGCGGATGCGCCCGCGTAAATGTATCGGATGCTACATGGGCTATGGGGCGCCCCCCTAAATCTCCTTGGTATTCTCCTTCAACCACCTCCACCCCTCACTCCCCTCCTCCAACAACGGGCTAACCTTCTCCCAACACTTTTTATGGTACTTGTTGAGCCAGTCGCGTTCGGCTGGGACGAGCAGGTCGGTGGCGATGAGGGCGGCTTGCATGGGCACGAGGGTGACGTGCTCGAAGCCGAGGTAGCCGCGGTCGCCGAAGTTATGGGGCGTCGAGGCGGCGCGGATTAGGAGGATGTTCTGGGGGGAGGCAGAGGGGTTGGGGTTGGGGGGGTGAGTGGGTGTAAGGTTGAAAGCAAATGCCCCTATGGGTTGGGAATACCAGATGGGAACGACGTAAACGCGGTCCGCAAAACTCACCTCAATCCGGATACCGAAGTTGCCGTCCTCGTAGTACCCAGGCTCTGCAACGAAGGAATTAGCGAAAGAATTTCGGATCAAACGCATATTGTCATCACCAGAGCCTGGTGACAAGCTGTGGCGTCCTTTCCGCCCAACTCACCGTTCGTAATCGTCATGCCAGCCTCCAAGGGCACGTCGTTGTATCCAATGCGTGTTCCGATTCCGTGCGGGCCTATTAACGAGATCGAAGACGAGTCGTCAGTCCCACCAAGTGTTCGCGTGCTACGCTAAGGTCATGCTATTTCGATGGTGCCCTATTTGCCAGCTATGTAGTGTTCAGTAGCAGTAATTTCCGTGATTGCCCTCCCCACAGACTTGTTACCGCGCTGCTGATCGCGTCCCATCCGATCGTATTAGCCACCGTACTGACGTCCTGACTCAGCTTCGGGCTCGAAACCGGGTGGTCGCCCATGCTCTCCATGAGGGCGATCTCCTATGTCTCCGATTCATTCGGGTCGGACCATAACCACCTTGGTGACCTCCTCGCAGAGCGGTCGGACCGCCCTAGCGTTTCCAAAGGCTTTGCAATTGGCCTGCCTGGCGAGCTTCCTGGTCACTAGCACGCAACACTCTCCCTCGCCGTCTGACCCTTATCCTTCACAACTCCCTCCTAGCCCCCACAATAGAGCAAAGCCAGCTCTACCTCCTCAACGATACCCTTCCCCAACGCGCATACCTTCATGCACGTTCAAGAACGCGCCGACACCGTGTCCAGTGCCGTGCCTGAAATCCAGACCGGCCATCCACAGTGGCTGGCGAGCAATGACATCGAGGATGTATCCGGTAGTTCCACTAAGATGTCGCAATGAGAAAGGGTATGGCACAGAGCAGTAACGATTTCGAAGAATCTCCCCCCACTCACCGAGGGAAAACAGCCATGTCCAGCTGGATGTGTCCCTTGAGCACACGGGTAAATGTATCCTTCTCATGCTCCGTAGGCTTCTTGTTAAGCGAGAGCGTACGCGTCACATCGGTGGTTCCATCCTTATACTGTGCTCCGGAATCACAGAGGTAAAGCTGATCCGTCTTGATGATAGCACAGGTCTCTGGTTCCGGCTTGTAATGGATGATAGCGCCATTGGGGCCAGTGGAGGAGATGGTGTCAAAGCTCAGTCCGACAAAGTCCTTCTTCGTCTTTCGGAACCCTTCAAGCTTGTCAGCAGCCTCGACTTCCGAGATCTTGCCTCCATTCTGCACAACCTCCCGTTCAAGCCAGGCAAAGTACTCGCATAGCGCCACGGCGTCACGGATGTGGGATTGGCGGAATCCTTCAAGCTCGACTTCGTTTTTGATCGCTTTGGCGGTCATGACGGGAGAGCGGAACTCGATGGTGCGTTTTTCGCCTCCGAGCGCGTTTTGAAGAGCCCAGCTGCAGCGGCTGTCGAGGCCGAGCTTTTGGTCGCCTTTTTCGCTGCCGAGCTTTTGCAGGTCGGTGAAGATTGCGTCGTAGGCGCATAGGGTGACGTCTGATCCGAGGTGGTCCTTCACCTGTTTTCACATCATGAGTCTCCAGCTATGCGATGAAATTGGACGGAGACAATGGACCCCACCTCCTTCGACAGCTTTGCGTCATCGACGTAGAGAATCGCCTCATCCTTGGTGATGAGAGCGTAAGCAAAAAAGACAGGGTTGTAAGCAATGTCGGAACCGCGGAGGTTAAAGAGCCCTATGGTATGCGTCCTTTGTCAGCGGTCGATTTACAGAGTGACGCACAACCAGAAGCAGAACTCACATGCAATCTCGTCCAAAGCCGTGACGGCGAATCCCCAAGCCTTCTTCTTAGCGATCTGCTCCCGGATGCCGGCGATCTTGTCAGAGCTGCTCTTGCCTGAGGAAATGAGCATTATGTTTGATACATGTTAGCGTTTCCATCTTGCCCTCGCCCAGCGGTTACACTATCCTGCCCAATCTTACCGGCGTACTCGACGGAGTGAACGGTGACGGGGTTGACGGGACGCGCGGGTTGTTCCGCACCCCACACTTTGTCAATCAGGTTCTCCGTAATGGCCTCCAGAGAGTGTCCCTCCTTTGTCAGAGCTTCACGAAGCTGCTTCGCCGCCGCTATGGGAATGAGACGGAAATTCAGTCCATACGTTTGAGGAGATTATAAAGCTCCATATCGCCTTACCGATGGTGATAAGCTTGGGGTCCAGCCCAACCTTAGAGCTCTTTGGCAGAACCTACATTCACGCCCGTGAGTCAAACATTCGTGATCACACCATCCCACCTCCTTGAACATCCTCCTTCGCCAGATGCTCACCTGCATGAGCCATTCCTCCTTGCTGGGTACGTCAGGGAGTCCCGTCTTCATGAGCGTCCAGCTGGCAGAATCCAGCTGCTGGGACGCTTGGAGAAAGTAACGACCGTCCGTCCACAGAGCAGCCTCCTTCAACGTCACAACCGCCAATCCTATTGAGGTGGGGATGCGTTAGCTCATATATACAGAGACGCGCAGGGTAACCCTCATGACACCCACCAGCGGAACCAGTGAACCCAGAGATGTATGCGCGACGGCCATCGACGTCGGCGATGTATTCGCTCTACGGTTGAGACGTGCGTGAGCGATGTGTAAGTAGATCACCTCTTCTCACGCAGACAGAAACCCACCTGGTGAGCGTCCTCCGAAGGAATGATGTATGCCTGAACGCCATGCTGGCGCATGACCTCACGGAGCCTAGCGACCCTAGCGGCGTTGGTGGAGAGCGTGTTTGCCATGCTGAATGGACTACTCTTGGCTGTTGTGGCGGTGGTGCTCTTGTTGCGGGCTACTTGGAAGCGAGCGGGAGGGGATGCGGCGGACGTGGAAGAGCTTTGTGGGACGAGAGCTCTGAGGATGCGGGAGAAAGCGGTTTTCATTGCCTCTTTCTATAGATGCTTGCCCGTTGCCTTAGTCTTACCGTTCTGGTCAACGCCCTCGTTGGAAATGCGTGGGCCGTGGGTCGCTAGTGGCGGTCAGCAGAATGTCACGCTGGTATGGCTTCGCGTCGTCCATCGGGTCCATTCTCCCACGATGTTCGCACGACATTGTGGGACATCACCGCCATCCCAACCAGCTTCATCGTCTCATTGCATCTCTCCGACTGCCTACGGTTCAAGGTAACGGTGTTCACGCGGGCCACAACGGCTTGATTCTGGCGTCTCTGGTCTTCCCGCATCATCCATCTATCTCCCGGATGTCGTATGCCCCTGAAATCCTTACCTTCGGACGTCGGCGGTCACAACTTCTGGAAGTTCAAAAGCACATTGCAACGTTATCCCGATACCTTTCTTTCTACGTTCGTCGATAGTCTCGTGGTGACCGGAAAGCCGGATGGTCACTTCCTTTTTGAATAGGAACCCGGACATCTGCAAATGCGTCATACATCTCTATCGCATTGGAAATGGATGCCCGCGGCTGATATCCCGCACTATGTTGTGAAGAGGAGCTGGATTTTCTCGGACTGACTGGTGCTATCTCTCCAGGCGCTGAACTGGGCACCGCGTCTACGGCCGCTATCCTAACTCAAGCGGTGGTGTTCGCAACTGAAGGGGTCCTACCACTACTCACTAGGACTGGGAGAGTAGAGAAAGGTTGAGAAAGCCCTCTCACTTGAGGTGGCAGAGTGGAAAAAGTTCTGGAGTTTTACGACTTTACTCCGTTCCTGCCGCTCCAGAAGCTTTGATCAGACGGAAGTACGCGGGATCTACTGAAGCGTGTTGGGGCCTGCTTACACCAATACGGCGATGACTTCGTGGAAGAATTCAATACTCTATTCATTCAAAAGGTCCTCTACGTCAGGGACGACTTTGACGTTCTATATACAGGACCGCCGGTGCGAGCCAGGTGCTATAAACGCTATAGGCAGTGCGCATTGATCGAAACATCTCAATTTGAATCTCACCTGCTTGGGCGGGCCACGCATGCAAGGCCGACTGGGAGATGGTTGAACGTTTTGCCCTGGAGCTATGAAGTATAGTGGCAGCGATGGAGAGACCCTGGGCTCCGGAAAGTCGATACACCCAAGCAAACCGTAAAGAGATTCGTAGGAAGTAGGGGTTGCATAGCGCATGCTGAATGGGTAGGGTTTGCTGCTGCTGATCACAGCAATGAAATGGTCGGAAGGAAGGAAAGAAAATGGTGATGCTAGTCCCCGCAGAAAAGCGCTCATGGTATGCCCACCAGGTCGTCACATACGACGATGTTGGATTGAAAAGAATAACAAATGATGAATGATATGACAGCGCAAAAATGCGCTCAACAAAAAGTGGTGCCAAAAAGGCCGAAAGACGCATATGCAAGAAAACAACTGATGCACCTCCCTTTCAAACACCCCCAACATCCCCAGCCCTAACCCACCCCCTCCACGCCCCCACCTCCTCCCTCACCGCCTTCAGTCTTTCCACAATCCTAAACTGCGGCACGGCGCGACAAATGACGTGGTCGCTGTTTACGCGGTAGAAGACTGTTACTGTCGGTGAGGGCGAACCTTCCTCGGCTTCTGCGTCCTGTGATGCTTTGAGAGAGGAGGAGTGGTTGTTGGGGGTGGATCGCTTGGCTGGGGTGGTGGATGAGGTGGTTCGGCGGGTTGGTGAAGGCGTTGAAGATTTGTCGACGCGTGCAGGCGATGACGATGCGAGGTGTCCGCCTTTTCCATCTTCAGAGTCACTGGCGTCGCTCGAATCCGCATCCCTATCTCGTCTCCCGGCATCATCGGCCTCCATGTCCCCCTCATCTCCACTCCCCCCATCCCCCACAGCCCTTCTCAACTCCCGTATCCGCGCCTCAATCACCTCGTCAATCATCATCCCGTCCTCTTCCTCTTCCTCTTCCTCGTCCTCAACCTCCTCACCATCAGCCACACCCATCTCCCCACCCACCACCCCGAAATCCCCCGTCCTTGCCTCCAACACCTTCCTCGCCATCTCCTCATCCTCGCTCCACTCCCCATCGTCATCGTCATCCTCCGCGTCAACGATCGCTTGCGCTAAATACTCCAATTCCGGGTCATGTTCATGTCCATGTTCCATCCCCTCATCGTGGAGTTCGCTAGGCGCGAAGCGCCCCTCGCTACCCTTCTCATCATCATCGCTCCCATCCTCATCATCGCTATCAGCAAGCAGTGCACGGCCAAGGAACCATATCTTTCGCGTAGCCCTGTCCTGGTATATCGAGAGGATTTTAAGCAAACATTCAGGCTGGGTAGTCTCTGTCGCCCGGTGCGCGACGTAGAGGACATCGTCAGGGTGCACGATCTCCGGGCCGAGGCGGGCGGCCCAGAGGCGTTGGTAAGGTGTTGTTGGGGCGGGATCGTCTTCGACGGAGATTGTGGATGTGACTGAGACGTCGCTGTCGATCGACGCTGGGGGTAGCGATGGAGAGCTGAGCAACCCGTCTTCTTCCAAGAAGCTGAATTTGTCGTCGAAGATTTGTTGGTGGGTGTATCCTTCGTAGGAGGCGGCGATGCCTACGGCTTGGATGACTGCGGCGTAGAGGGCTACGTGGCCTCTACTGTTTTTCAATTCCGGCAGGTCGGGGAAATCTTCAAACGGGTTTCGGGCGAAGAATGGTGCGATAGTGGGTACGGATACAGTTGAAGAGGCGACGCTCCCGCGCCGGTCGCGGCGTTCCTCGGTTTTCTTGATCTGCGCGTACTCGACGTAGGACGGTTCGCGCAGACCGAAGGACGGGATGCTTGATGTATGGATGTTCCCATTCGCGGCCACGTTTCGCGCATCTTGCACGGACGACACAGGGAGCGGAACGACCCACGCCCCCTCGCCACTGTTCGTCCTAACCCGCTTCCCCTGCCGTTTAGCGATGATAGGGAACGCCTGTGCAATGACCCGCTCCGCAACGACAAGACACGGCCAGTAATCCGGCATTTCGGTCCCACGGGGCGGTGGGTTGAGATCGAGCAGATCGGAGAGGCACCAGACCAGCTCGCCGCAGCGCGGTTCGTAGGCGATGCCGGCGTCTTCGTCTTCACTGCTGTCGAGGTCGGGTTCCATGCCGTTGGGATCTGGCTCCATCTTGTAGCTGCAGCATTGGCCGGGATCGTCGTCTTCAATGTCCCAGCCGCCTCGGGTGGGTTTGTCGTCGGTTGTCCAGCCGGCGCCTATCCCGTCGGAAGATCGCCAGGCGGCTTCGGCGCCGTCGTCATCATTCACGTCCACATCATCATTTTCTTCAATGTCTGTTTTCATTTCCATCTCATCGTCGTCTGTAATCCAACCATCATCGTCGTTGTCTGATTGATTCCATCCTGTATCTACTTCGCCATCGCCGTTATCCCTCAGGCCGTCTTCAGACCCATTCACTTCCACGATCTCTGCATCGCTCGCAGATCCAGAATGCGATAGTTTTGAGACTTTTCGAAACGGGAAATCCTCGTCTGAATCTGAATCCGATGCTTTTCGCTTCGCTGATATCGCCCGATCAGGAGATGATAGAGAGTCTGCGTCTTCTTCGATGGTCTGGTACTCGAAAACCTCATCCACAAAACGGCCATTCGATTCCGCGGTGACTTCGACTTTGACGGAAGTGACTGTGGACGAGCGAATGGCACCCTTGCCACCATCCGCTTCATCATCGATCATTGATTGTACACCCTTCCCGACACTGTTTGTCTCCGAAGACTCAGCACTGGGGACTCGAGAGATCTCCTCAGCGGCATTGTGCCCGTTTAATGGAGGCGAGTCGTCACGGGGCTGGAGATAATGCGCGTGAATAGAATCATGATCAAACGATGCACCGAAATTCTTCTCGACAATCGCCACCAGCTCTGCCGCCCGATCTTCCGATAATGGTTGGCCTTTGCAAAACTGGCAAGGACAAGGAACCGTAGGCTTGCCCTCAACCAGCCATCTCAGATGCGGCTCAAATTCGGCCGGTGATCGATACCGTCTCCCGCTAGGGTGTCCATACAAATAAGCGTCCACATGGGTCCCCACATGCCTCCTCGTCTCAAAGAGCTTGTATCCCTTCGGAAACCCAATCTCCAAAAGCCCTAGTTTCGGAAGCCACACAGAGCGCAATTTCCCTTCGGGCCCCTCATCCGCCTCCCTCATCTTATCCGTCAGCTCCGGGTACGTCTGCGGATCCCCATCCGAGAACAGCGGACGCACCGATTCGCCAGAGACCACTCTGCTCCGTCTCCCGCGCCTGTCTCCATGACGCAGACGGAGTAACTCCCGTTGCCGCTCCCGTTCTATGCGTTTCTCCTTTTTGCGTCGGAAATACAGCTTCGTTTTCGGGTGCTCCGCACCCAGACTGCGAAACACCGCCTCCTCGACTTCATCGTCGGTATCGGCTTCGGAAAGCGGGGGTGGGTTGCGGTTTCGGTGTTGTTTTCGGGTTGTTCGGCCGTTTTGGGGTGAGTCGTCTTCGGACACTGTTTCTGTGCCTGAGGACTCGGGGTAGAGGTCGACGATCTTGCAGGTTCCTGCAAACCTATCCGACTCGTCGTCGTCGTGGTCGCCGTTCAGGGTCCACGGCATTTCGGATTGGTTCGAAGGTTGGCACCGAAGCCGATTCCACTTCGTCCGGACTCTGTTGCAGTGTTCCAATTCGACCTCGGCGAGGAGGTTTTCGTGACAAGACTCCCGGCAAAGTTTCTCCTGCAGGATATATGGTACTATTTCGTGCGTACGTGTCCTCTGCCTTGCCTGCCTGTCTCCCTGGGTGCGGGGCAAGTCGGCGATATGAAGGCGATCGGTCCGAACAGGGACGGTTTGTCCAACCAGCAGCGAGTGAAAAAAGACTAGGCCACACGCGCGCGGCATGACGTGGGCACTGGCCTGACGAAATCGACAGCGCGTCGTTTCTTTCCGCCGAGACCACGTTTTCCTGCTGTTCACTCCGTGCCCATCTCATATGAACCATACATAGGCCTCTCTCCTGCTATCCCTCGCTCCCTCCATATCCAACATTGTTTTCTTCGGTACTTGCTCAGTGAAAATGCCGAGCGTGAAGTCGGGAAAAGCGGACTCACGCAATGCCACACATCGTAGACATTAACGCCCAATCGTTAAAGGAGGGGCCCCCTGCCATTTGAGTAACTCTCACCGTTGCAGTAGTGTATCTCACAGGGGATCACCTCAAACGCATTTCCAAGGAGTTGGGTATGCGAGGCTGCCCGATATCCCCTCGGACAATTTCCACTACCCATCCCTCGGAAAGCTATCCTAAGGTACGATGCTCATCAGATCCCAGGCCGGATTGAAGCAATTCCACACCCAGGCCGGATCGACAAGCACCGTATCACATCCAGTGCAAACAACTGGTCCTGGTCCGTACAAAAATGTCTCCGATTCCTAACGAGAGCCAGAAAAAACTTAGGCATCGTACCTGCCTGCGACGATCGGGTAAAGAGACGCTGCATGTACCGTCCAGAAGGTCATCCCATCCCCCTTTTCTCATCGAGATCTGCTAACCGCAACGCAGCTCTCTCCCCACACCGCAAACCACCCACACCAACCAACACAAATCTTTTCAAGTTCACGAATTTGGGGTATAATGTTCCGTACATTACAATTTACAACACACACAAGCAATGCCACACGGAAAAACAGTCGTACATGCAGCTTCAAATGACCCACAACCAATCTCCCAAAACTCGCACATTCCACTTCTTCAACACGCACAAAGCGATTTTGTTCCTTATTCCTTTTTCTTTTCAATGGCGACGGCCACACGTAACAAACTACGGCAAAAAATAGTTGAGGGATACATTCGAACACATCGCACAGACACACACGCGGGGAAGGGGAGTATGGTGTAGGGAGGGAATTTAGGGGGAGGGGAGAGGGACACGACGCGAGGAAACACCGCTGGGACACGAGGGAGGCGTTCTTTCAGATGGCTTCACATACCCGTGTGATGGGAGGGGGACGGGAGTTGGAGTAAGGAGGGGAGATTTTTCACAAAATTCGTTTTTACTTTTTCCGCCTTGGCCGTGTGTTGAGGATTGGGTCGCCGGGAGGGGGTTACGATATATATACGCGGTTGTATAGAGGAGGATTCGAAATCGTGTACGAGGAATGTCGATATGTGGCCGATTTCGAATGTGAATGTGTGATGTCTCCTAGTCCGAATCCGACGAAGACGCATCGTCCGAGTCATCGCCATCGTCGTCGCTTCCCGCGAGGCCCCTGACAGCCGTGTTCGCCGGAGTAGCTGCCGCAGCGCCGCCCGCCGTTTTCATCGTAGCATGTTTAACGAAATCGTACAACGTGCAGAGCGTCCCGTCATCAATCGAGTCGATGTCAAGCTCAATCTCTTCCTCGGTGTCGCGGAGGTGAGGCAGGCCCGAACGGATGATCTCGACGACGTTGGTCATGTCCGAGTAGCCGAGGGATCCAATGAGCACCGAGAGCTCCGATTTCTGTTCGTAAGTGATCGATTTGGATTTCGGCGCGGACGCTGACTGCCTTCGTTTCTTGAGTGTGGACGCGGACGCCTTTGGCGGTCTGCCCGCCCGGGAGGATGTGCTGGCGCGGGGTCTCTTGGCCTTCATTGTTGCTACTGTGGTGGAAGGAGTGGTTGAGGAGGCTTGGCTTTCTTTCTTTGACTTGATAGACCGGAAGGAGGAGAAATGGGAGGGGGGCTTGGGGGTAGTGGAGGAAGTGACGACTGCAGCAGCGAGGGACTCTCCATCCAGGGGCTGCGCCCCGCCATCGAGGTCAGCTTTCACTGAAACCCCTGCATCTGCCCCTGCTGCTGCGACTGCTCCAGCCGGTGTCACTGCCCCCCCACCACCCATGATTTTCCCGTTTCGCCATTTTACGCCGCACTTGTTGCACAATGTCCCGCAGCCAGAGGGGCCACGGCGCCACATGGGGGTTTCACTGGTTCCGCAGTACTCACAGTGCTTATCACCAGTGCTCTTGGTCCTGCTCCTCTTTGACGGTGCTGACGAAGGGGCACCATCAGCGTCGATACCGAGATCGGACGTTGCCATCGATGCGCGTCGTGCGGCGGCCTTGGAGGACGATGGACGGCGTTTCTTGGCGGCGGGAACGGTGGCTGCAGCGGCAATGCTGGCAGCAGAGACGGAGGATCGCTTACGCTTGCCCTTCTTCTTCTCAGTGAGGAGCGCGAGCTGTTGGTTGATGGATTGGAGGCAGGTAGCTAACGTGGTGATCTGGTGGTTGACATCATCATCCTCGTCCTCCTCCTCTTCTTCGCTTGACTCGTATTCTTCTTTCATCTGAGCGATGCTACTGCTGGTCGACAGACGGCGCGTTGCTGGTGAAGACTTTGCCTTCTTCACGGGTATGATTTCCGGCTCGAAGATCTTTGGCGCGCGCACGTGGCGTTTGGAGAGACGACGTTGCTGAGGGGCAGACGCCAACGCCGCTTCGGCAGGATATTCCGCGGAGGATTTGTGGGACAGTGATGTTGTTGTGATGGTAGGGAAGTGCTTGCTGAGTTGAAGAGAGAAGAAGCTGTCGAGCGACTTGCCAAGCTGATGGACGTGGTTGTTATGTGGGTTGTATATGAAGCAATTGTTGAGCATCAGCTGAATGTCATCGGCGAACTGCTGGACGTCGTGATATTGCCGCGTGTTCAGTTTCGAGTTGACCGTCGATAGATCCATGGGCTGCTTGATGACGTCGAAGTAATCCGGTGCGCCCGCCGCTACGGGGTCAACGGGCATCTGGAAAGGCCATGCCGAGCCGTGCTTCATGAGCTCGTTAATCAGTTGAGTGCAGGCTTTGAATTCCGCGGCGGTGAGGATGGGAGGTGATGGGGCGGGCGGTGATTGGGAGAAGACGGACACTCCCGAGAAGGCGTCGACATCCATCTTGGTGTCGATGGCAGGTCGGATGACGCTTGCGACGGGACCTTCAAAGCTTTCTTCAACCACCGTTGCTTGCTTCTCGTCGATTTCCGTCTTCTCCTCTACATCCACAACCTCCATGGCCGCTTGCTCAGCAGACAGAGGCAGCTTGATTTCATCGTCGACAACAACATCCATCTCAGCAGACGCTGACAGTTCTGGGCCGTCAGAAGGAGGTGAGAGAGGGAGCGACGATGGCGACCGCGTGATTGGTATACCATCGAGTTGCTTGTGGCCTGGCTTCCCATCGACGGGGCTCACGGGTGCGACCACCTTGAGTTCCTCGGCCGGTCCCCCAACATTGATGGTCGTTGGTGAGACGTGAGCCGACCCGGCCGTTGCTCTGTGCCCTCCCGACAATACAGATGTATCAAGCGTTGCGAGAGCCATCGTCATAGCGGGCGGTCTAGAGGAAAATGAGGAGGATAGTGAGGACCAGATGAAGTCGAAGTAAAGGCCGAACGTCAACAATGTACCTTCCAAGACCAAATGCACACAAATGTTAATCTACGGCGATGTAGTCACCGTTAGGAGATCGTAGCAGGGTATATTGACGCTGAATCTCGCAAGTTTGATGAGCGACTGTTGTTTTTCTATCGAAGGCTTGGCTTGATCACGAATTCGAAGCAGTCTGTAATAGTTGAAGAAAAGGGAACGGAAAGGTCAGCGACGGCCGTCCATGGTCTCCTTTGCACGGTCTAGATGGCACCATGTCCACGACCAATCCCCACGGCCGCATATCCAACATCCCCAACACCACCCCATCGCCGAGCAATCCTGACAATTCCAACGTGGTCCGCCGTCATGGTTGGACAAGGGTGCCGTAGAACGCGGAGCAGGCGAGAACGCAAGAGAGCAAGCTGGTGGTAGAAAGCACGGCATGAAGGAAGGACGACACGGAGGCGGTTGATCATCCAATGCCTCGATGGGTTGGAAATCTTCCGACGAACGACTCGATCGTGAGCAGCGACGATTTGCATTGCTTGATCCCACGACGTTGAATGAACGAGACGATTGTGCTGGGTACAACGAGTACGCCAATCTCTTGCCACGCCAACTTGCATCATGCGGATCGTCATGCGGATGAAGAGGAGGTATGCGCATGCTTGACGAACAACACGAGGTTCATGATCCGACGTCCGAGCGTATTGAGCCTTGCCCAAATCCATTCCCACAACGGCGAACTCACGCCACTGACCCCAGCAAGTGTAGCTAGCGCCGACAGCATTGAGCAGGAGATTTGCAACGACGGAGGAATCACCCGTTCGCGCCGATGAGTCTGCTCTTGCTTACGATGTGCCGACGATGCCCACGTCCGTGCCCCCAACCAACCAGCACGCTCGCCTGCCCTCATGACGGTCGACTTTGCATGCTTAGCTCAGCCACGCAAGCACCCTTGCCAACGATGTCTGATCTGACGAGCGCCGACGACATCGCCGACGACGACGACGACGACGACGACGACGCAGCGCAGACAACGAGATAGCTCACCGAAAGGGGGGAGTGCAAAAGCCGGGCGTGGGAAAATCGAGGGTTTGGCGACGACGCCGCCACCTGAGAGTCTTGGCGGGATAGCGTTGTTGTTGATGATGATGCTGGGGATGATGGATCTGGAGCGCGCGTTTTGCAGGCCGTGCGTTTTGATGAAATTCCCAGCTGCTGCTGCTTTTTGCTGAGCCTTTGTTTTGTTGTCCCGACGCGCTTGGATGAGAACCGGATGGGCTGTGTGTCGATTTGGCGTCGCGCACACTGAGCGGAACGCGCTTTTCCAACGCAGGGGGGTGCGGGGAAAGGGCCGCGGCTTGATTCAAGGCCATTGGAGCGGAAGAAAATGGGGTGCGGCGCACACGTGACGCAACAACTTGGCTGGTCTCCAAGGCGACCAACGAGTGCCGATGGCGCACCTTCCGAGGGGCCGAATCGGTCGCTTGCTTGATTGCCCGGCGTCGGCAGTCAGAGAAGGCGGAAGAAGTTTTCTTCGAGTTGAAGCTCCGGGCGAAAGTTGAAACAACCCCAACTGAAACCGGTGTTGTTTTCGGGATGTTGTTGCCCTTGCCCAAGCCCACGAACGGCGACGACGACGAAACAAACGAACCAGCGAGCCTCCCTCAGGCTCTCCCTCGCCTCTCTCTCTCATTCCCACGGCTTACCTTGCTATGTTGCGGTTGAATTTTTTTTCTTCCCTTAGAATGTGAGTCACGTGTTGTGAGTCAGAGGGAATAGGCCACTGTCGGAATAGTGCGCAGCAAGCGAGTGGACGAACGATTGGTGGGTGGGAAGCAAAAAGATGCGGGATTTTAAACGCCGAGGGCGCTGCTGCACGCTCTGGCCGTTTTATACTCTGCTAGTGATTTGGCCCTTGGCAGGGGGTCCCGGATTTGCCATTTTGGCCCAGCATCGCAGGGGTTCCCGCTTTGTGCACTCTGGCCCTAACGGTGGAGATGACAAACATGCGCGTCGCGTCGTGATTGGCTGCAAGGGGTGGCGCAGCACGCTCGCACAAAGTGAACCGCACCCAGGAACTCGGCACAAGTGACGAACCCGCTCGTCACATCAGCAAGCAAAAGCCAAACATCAACATCCCTCGCTTCCCCTCCCCCCAATATCACACAGCTCCAATATGTCACATATGATACAACCAAAGGCGCGGGCGGGCCGCGAAAAAAAAATAAATGATGCAGGATCGACATGGCCGTCAGGTTGGTACCACGAATCTATGACTCCAACGATCAATGCGAGATAGAGCCGGCCGCTCGGTATACGCGCAGTCAGTCCCCTGGTTCGAAGCGCTTCTCGAAGCCTGTCGAGAAGATTCTGGTGAGTAGGTTGGTCGACATGCACAGGCAACGAACGGAAATGAAGTCCCACAGCAGCGTAAGAAAGTGGACAGGAATATCGCATACCTTGAGTCGGTAGCACTCAGTCTCCGAATTGGCATTCGCAATCTGACATTCTGTCAAATTCGGGATCAAACCTTATGTCCGTGAATGTGCCCCCGCCGGGTTACCATAGCTTGCTAGTGCCCCTTCAGCAGCAACAGAAAGCTGCTGACGCCCCGCAAATCGAGTAAGTGCACATGTAGAAGTCCGCACGACGTTCGATGTCTCCCATTTGAGAATGCAAGTCGGTGAAAATATGGGAACCGTCCCCAGAGGTTGATGCAGCGGTGCAGTAGAGAACGCAATGATACTCTCCCGCAAACGAGTCCAATGCGTGATCTCGTTTCGCCCTCGTTCCATGAGCGAATCAAACGGAGGCGAATTTTGAGCTGTTCAAAATCGACGGGAAGCATACGGGGCCGGCAGGCTCCGAAGGACGCTTTTGGCAGTAGTTTGAGATCTCCCCGCTTCTTCAGACGTTTGACCAGCTGTACTCGGATCGCTTCGGGGGGGACGTGCCAGAAATGTCGCGAAAAGTTGATTTCCGTAGATGCACCGTTGGTCACGACGGCCGCGATCGGGAACGTTGTGCTGTGCGCGAGAGCGATCGCGCCAATCTGCTGCTTGGCGACTCGGCAAGTAGCGCATTTCGGTGAGGTCAAACCTATCAAGGTAATAGAAGCGTTAGAAAAGCTACGTCAAGTCAAGAAATGACGTGGTATATAGTATAATACCTCCACGTTTTTCCCACGGGCGTTGAACTGTCAAATCTACAGCTAGCCGATGTCCTCCCACGCTCATCTTCCGAGACGGAGAGGGCTTCGGCAATCAATACGGCTGCGGACGCTCGCATTCCGACATTCGAGACAGGTTGGTCAAACAACAATATAGCGTGAGCCTATTCGCCATTCCTGCGTGGGAAAGTCATACTCTACTCGGTCCGGAGCTGCGACGATGGAGATTCTCCATCCTCGTGAAGTCATTAGCGATCGAGCGTGGGATTCGCGTTGAAGAGCTTTCGCCGCCCCGGCGACCAAGGTCGTTGGGCATGGGAAAATACCACCCAGAACTCGCAAACCTGGGCTCCATGCACTAAAACAGTGGAAGAACAAAGAAGATCATGGTCAACAACCACCCTGCGAAGTATAGCGAAAACCCTGTTTCCACAGTCAAAGTCCAAACTTTCTCTCCACATCTGCACCATTTGCGGCCTGGGAGAAAAGAGAGAAAGAAAAGCTTACCCGTTCCGAAATCGTAGACAAATCAGCAAAGCGGCGAATTTCAGTAGCCTAGCCTACACCCCCTGCGTCGGAAGTGCAGCGAGAAACAACAAGCTCTAAACCAGCTGATATCGACTACTTGTTTCCCACTCCGCGATCAACTGACTGTACAGACGAGGCCTCGACCGGCAAGTGTCCTCTGAGCGTCGTTTTACAGCTGGAGAAGTCAACCGTGCGCCTCCTGTGAGAACGCATACTGCCCGTGGCGATTCCTGGTTGGCCTTGGTAGTTTGTTGCGATTGGTGATCTGGTTGCGGCGGTTTGAGTGAGTGGGGCAAGAAAAGAAAGACTTTGCTTGTCATCGGTGGGGAGAATGCTTTGTGAGAAGCGCGCAAACTTCTCCTGATTCGTCATCACTTGACTCACGCTTGTTTTGACACTATCTTGCTGTCACTGTCAACCAGACCAGGGCTTCCCTCTCGATTCAAGCTGGTTGTCTTGCGCCGGGAGACGCCATTGTTATCGTGGAAGTGGTTTCGCTGTTATCCTTTGCTGTGCAGCTTTGATATGCCCCAGCGGAAGAATCTCCTCAACGTGCATGTGCAATACAAGGTAGTTCAGTCTGCGGTAGACAGGCTGGACGGAATTGACAAGCTGAAAACCGCTTAGAACGAGAACCAGCACCACCCGCAGGTCCCCCTTCGCGGATTGCCAACACTCTACAAGAGGGTCACAATGCGCGAACACTCTTCTAGTAACCCGTCCCATCAGTCTGACTCGTCGACCAAAGTGAAATTTTGATTGTGCCAAAAGGGTCGGGCATGCTCAGACGGTATACACGCTTGAACTTGCGCCTTGCTCTTGTCTGCGTTTGGTGCGCCTACAGCCTGTTTGTCAAATAGTGTCGCCGCCTTTGACTTCCAATTATCCATGCGGCATAGAAGCTACCAACTCGGCGGAGGTATCTGACCGAGCTGGGCCGCAGACATTGAAATGTGCGGTGAACAAGCGCACCGGGGGCAGCCAATGGGGTTGTCGATTTGCCGGTATCATTGAGAACGCCTTGCAAAGCGAGTGCTTGATGTAGAGGGTAGTGTGCCAGATAAGATCCATAACGACACGGGCTGGGGACATTTCGATTTGCGAAGGAATCCGCCCTTTGCCAACGCCAGGACGAATGCATGCGTGGAAGCAGCTGGATGTTAGTCCAGCCAAGCTGGATATAAGACTAGTGCAGAAGAACTCTGACGGTCCAGAACGCTGAAGTCACGTACCCACATGTGCAGACTTCCCATGTTGACGTCGAGTATCGAAGGGAAACGGGAATTATAGATAATGGCAAGGTAGATCCGCGTACCTATACGCCATAGGAGCTGGGGCGGGAATGACAACGGTTGATCGCGTAACGAACACGAAACCAAAAGTCGGAAACTACCCGGTGACCAAACATCGCTTCGTTTCATCAATAGGAACCGTTGTAGCATATCAGCTCGGCAACGAAGTCACACCGCGAGCCACTTCAGGTTCTCGATCACTGCATCGCACCACGGCCCCCGATGTGAGGTTTGTGATCAACGTCCCTCTGCCTCAAGACTGGAAACGCATCTATCATTGTATGCAGCTGTTCAAGTATCGGGCATAGATAAAAGGCGATGAAAGGCGAGGTGCTTAATCCGACCGGAGAGTTCCAAGCTTCTCGTTGGATATGAGTGTTCGATGGACCACCGAAAACTTCCAGCAGCCACGCCGCAGACATCCACGAGAAAGCGAACACAGGTCACTGTCGATCAATGTCCTGCGCTGCCTGGGGATATCATCCAGGCGCAGAGGAGCGACGGAAAACGTTCCAACGCGTCGATCCCCTCAGCGATCGCCTGTTGATCAGCGAGTGGCTGGCATCTTCATCACTTCATTAACACTAAATGACTCCCCGTGAATTCAGCAACGCTCACCTCAACTAATGACAGCCGCAAGCCTGAACGCAAGCCGCATATCATGCACCTATTGCTTACGGCCGCATATAAAAAGGTCGCTCTCCCTCGGCTTCCGCTCTTCGTGCCTATTCGTCTTTCGCCCCGCTCAAGTCAGCTTGACCTTAGTCCAAGATGACCCGGCGTAAACCCAAAGGCCCTGCCGCCACCGTCGCCGCTACACCCCCTGCTACCCCGCATACAGGCCGAGTTGCCAGTATGAAGACTCGCACTTCTCTGCTCAAGAACGTCGAAGCGAAAACCAGCGACGGAGATGTCTGGGACCCGCTTCCCGTCGCCACGCCCAATAACGTCCCTCAGAAAGCACAGAGGGCCAAGAAAGTCGTTCAGATCCAGCACAAGGAAATCGCAAATGGAAGCGATGAGGAAGAGGAAATGGATGACGATGTTGTCGCGGAGGACAGCGGGGTAACCGCTTTCAGTAAGAGACATCGCGATCAGTTCCTGACAAGGAACTTCATGCTCATGTGGCTTCATCCCATCCAGCAACGCCGTTGAAGCGTAGCCCGCGTGCCCCTGTGGACGAAGTCATCATTCTCGAATCCCGTCTCCGTCCGCGTCGCAGTTTCCCGCCGTCCGCCAGCAAGCTGGAAGCGAAAGCTACCACTGTTGACCCTGATGCCAACGATGGACAGGACGGTCTTGTTCAAGGTGACGACGATGAAGACGATGAAGACGAGGAAAGTAGCAACAATGATGAAGACAGTGATGAGGGTTCGGATTCTGATGCGGATAGCATCTTTGCTGAGAAAATCGTTTCGAGCAGGACTCGTAATGTAAGTGACTCGCGAGCGCTGGGAGCGACGAACAACAGCGAGCATTCGTGGTTGTGTGGCGAGCGAAGCGAGCGCCAGTCATCATTAGATATCTACTTGTCACGCGCGGAGCTAGCAGGGCATTTTGATCAATCATCGCCTCCCTCCATCCATTGTTATTACTCACTACCACTGGCCAACATCCTTCTGCATTCCTTCTCCTAACGGCAGTCTCCTTCGTTCGTAGGGCACGGTCGAATACCTCATAAAGTGGGAAGGCTTCACCCACGACGCCGACGAATGGGTCGCGGAACCAGAAGTCGAAGCAGAGCTCATCTCAGATTTCAAAGAAAAGAAACGATCCCCGCCCAAATCCCGTGTTGCGCTGAAACGTGATGCGACCTTTCTGGATGTTGACGCTTTTGATGAGATTGGTTTTGGTGATGAGGGGGATGAGATTGAGGTGAAGACGTCGAAGAGACGGAGACAGGGTGGTACGCAGCAGAAACCACGTAAGAAGCGCAGGGCAGCTGATCGATACGATTCCGATGGGGACGACACAAACAACGGCTCCGAAGAAGAAGCCGACTCCACACACAAAACGCCCAAACCCCGCACCAAGAAACCCAAATCAGCAGCCAAATCCAAAGCCAGCAAGCCCGCTGCCGTGCTGGAAGCCCTCACCGCCCGCGCTGCCCTCCGAGCCCAGCACCCTGCCCACACCACCCCTGTGCCAACGTCCACCCTCACCCAAACCCTGACCTGCTGCAAACTCTGCGCCTCCCGCGTCTACACCCCCCCTGTCCTGACTCGCAACCCCACCCTCCTCACATCTTTGATCAAAGACCGCAAAACAGAAATCCCCTCACCCACATATGCATCACCACCTGATTGCCCGCATGAGCTGGCGGTGTGGCATGCGATTGTGGGGAATGAGATGGGGATGGTTGCCGGGCTTTTGTCGAGGGATGCGGTGGGGGCGTGGAATGGGAGGACGGAGGTGGAGAAGAAGTTTTTGGAGGCTGAGGGGGCGGGGACAGGGTATTTGAGGAGGGGGACTTTCAGTCATCAAGTCGCGTATGTATACTTTTCCCTCAACCAATCCCTCATCAGCGATGGCGGGTCCTGTATTTGCACGGGCGTTGCATCGTCAGCCAACGGAAAACTAACAACCTCCCTTCTCACGCCCACGCAGCAAACTAAACCAGTCCCGCGGCAACCGCCAAGGCAACACCGCATTCTACCCCTCGCCTTCCCTCTCCCTCCTCACCCTCCTGCACCCGCTCGACTCGCGCAAAAAACCCTCCGACAAACCGCTCCCCTGGCACCTCGCCCTCCTTCCCCACATCCTGTCCGACCCGCGCGTGAACACCGAGACGATGGATTTGGTGATGATGGAGAGTGAGGAGATGAAGGGGGGTGTTGTGGCCTGGGGCGTTTATGAAGCTGCTGCTGCGGGGAATTGTGGGATGGCGAGATATCTTGTGGGGGTGCTGGAGAATGGGTGGGGGTTTAATGGGATGCATTTGGAAGTTTTGAATGTAGGTTTGGGGAGTGGAGAAAGTGTGGGTCATTGTTTCATGGGGGAGTTCCGCGGCTGACCGGGGGTCTTTGATTCAGAACTAATGATTGTTTTCCGTTGCTTTTTGGTTAGACTGAACCGGATGCGGTTCTCTTCCCTTACCGCAAGAACCAGATTCTTAAGAAAGCGACAGGGAACGGGTCCATCACTCCTCTCCAGTAAGTCCCTCCCACTCCTCATTCCCCTTTCCCCTACTAAACCCCCTCCCTCCCATAGACTCGCAGCCTCCAACCCCAACCCACACTTCCTCCGCCTCCTCTACGCCGACCTCACACCCATGGACGCTTCGGAACCAGACGACCGCGGCCGCACGGCCCTACATTTCGCGGCGGGGAATAGGGATCCGGGGTGTTTGCGGTTTTTGTTGGAGGAGGGGATGGAGCCGGCGAAGGGGGATTTGCTGGGGGTTACGCCGTTGATGTTGGCGGCGAGGTATGGACGGGATGAGAATGTGAGGATTTTGGTCGAGGCATTGGGTGCGGATCATACCGCGATGAAAGAAGGATTCACACCCCTTCACATAGCCGCCCACTTCGGCCACGCCTCCACCCTCTCCCTCCTCCTACTCCTCGGCGCCTCACCCACGACCCAGTCCCGCAAAACCAAAGCCACCGCCCTCCACCACATCTGCTCCCAAGGCCACACCGCCCTCCTCGCCACTCTCCTCCCAGCCCACCTCCCCCTCCTCACCACCCCCGACAAACTAGGCCGCACCCCCCTCCACCTCGCCTGCAAGAACGGACACACCGCCATCGTCAAACAGCTCCTCCGTCACGGCGCGGACCCAGACGCGTGCGACACATCCGATAACACGCCTTTACATTACGCGTGCGGGTTTGGGTATCAGGATGTGGTGGAGCTGCTTGTGGGGTATGGCGGGGCGGACCCGAATCGCGGGAACTGTTGGAAGTTTACCGGGTTGATGGTGGCGGATATGAAGGGGCATATGGGGGTTGTTAGGGTGTTGTTGGGGATGCAGGGGGTGAGGGTGGATGGGAGGGATAAGGACGGTATGTACTGGTTTTGTTTTTTTCCATGTTTTGGTTGATTCATCATCTGCCCGAGCTAACCATTACCTTTACTGTGTTTTTCTTTCAGGATACACGATGCTCCACCGCACGGTGATGACACCCATCAGCTCCGCGTACGAATCGGAACGGATGCTGGAGAAGACGCGGGCGTTGCTGGAGAAAGGGGCTGATCCCAATGTGGAGGATTTGGAGGGGGCGACGGTGATGCATATGCTGGCGGGGTGTGTGTGTCCTGATGCATTGGTGGCGAGGCCTGCGCCTGAAGATACGGAGGTCGATGAAGCGGATACGGGTGCTGATGAGACTTCCGTGGGAGGTCCTGTGGCGGGTGGGGATGGAGGCGTGGATGACAGTGCGATGGAGATCGATGCGGCGACGGACGGCCAAGCGGGTGATGGTGATGCTCCTCTCACGGATCCTGAGGTGGAAGCGACCATGGTGAGCGACAAACGCGTGGACAACGATGCAATGGAGGATGATGAAACCGAAGGGAAGGAGACAGAAGAGACCGCTCCCGACCCATTCTACATTGAAGACCATACTGCCCTTCGCGAGAAGCAAGCCGATCTTTTCCTCCAATATGGTAACATGCCAAACTTCCACACCCAACGCCTCCGCAATGGGTACCAACTTTCTTCCTTCGTTTCATTTTCCGACAGGTGCCAACATCGACCACCGCTCCAAAGCGAACGAAACCCCTCTGTCCGTAGCCCTCAGCGTCCCCAACCTCGACTCCATCCTGTTCCTGCTCGCGCGCAAAGCCGACCCACGGGCCGCGACCAACAGCGCCGGCGACAACTTCATGCACTGTTTGTTGAACGAGGCGGCTAAGGCCGATGCGCTCTACCTGCGCTGCGGCTCCGCTTATCCTTGGCAGGAATGGGACGAGGCTGTGGACAAGATGGAGCAGGCGTTGGTTTTTATGAGGCGCTTTTGGGACGGCTTTCTGAAGGCGGGACATGGGGGCCTTGTTGAGGAGTTGGTGAGTTATGCGGGGAAAAGTCTTCCGGTTTTTGTTCCTTTGGGAAATGCCGAGGATGGTGGCACCTAACCGGGAATGCGGCACAGATGTCGACGCCCAACAATCTAGGGCAATGCCCATTGTTTAGTGCGGTGCAGACGGGAGTGGAAAAGCAACATGAAGGGCGTAACGCGGTCTTGAACAACTTGCGGCAATATTCCTGGTCGGAAAGGGATTTCGAGAGAAATGTGGACTACACGTGGGACAGATTGGTATGTCAGCCCGTGTTACGCCCCCTTTGTGGGGAGATATGTTGGCTGACACGGTCCTATAGCTTACCGTGCTGGAAGACATAAAAGACACCGGGGCGCAGATCCCGGATCCCCCCGTGCAAGTGCCGAAGGACCACAAAGCTGGGGATGTTGCACCGGAGGTGACGGGGAAGACCGCAGTTTATTTAGGTAAGACTGTCAGTTGGTCGATCAGTTTTTCGTGGAGGGAAAACTCAATTCTTGCAAATGTAGCTGCCAAAAGTCTCCAACCCGTTCTTCTCGGCGACCTCGCGCACCTCGGATGTGCTGTCGACCACGCCTCCAGTTCCATCCCGACAGCCCTGTTGGAAGCATTTTCGCCAGACCCGGCCAGCAGTCAAGACCCATCTACAGCTGGGATTTCAGATCACCACAAGGTGACGTTCGATCCTGCCGCCCAGAGATGGAGGGAGACTCTTTCCATCCTGCTGGAATATGAAGCCAACCCCGCTATCGTGTGCGAGAAGGAGAAGACGACGGCGCTGCTGGAGCTCGCAAAAAGACCCCTGGACTGCTTGACCCAAACGCCCGTTGTGGAAGATGCATCTGCAGCGCCCGTCGTCCGCCCACTGACGGTTCTAGATTTCATTATGCGATGCAGTGGCGACGGCATCAACTACGCGCGGAAAGAAGACGGCATGACGGCTCTCATGCACTTTGTTCTCGCCAAAAACGGGGCGGCGGTCAAGGCGCTCGTTGACCGTGGGGCTGACGTGAATGCCGAGAATCTCGCGGGCGAGACGGTGCTGGGCATGGCGGCCAAGTCCGGTGCTGTCTCCGTCCTCACGCCTCTCGTCGAATCCGGAAGGGTGAACCTTTCTCATCAGGATAAGAATGGGGACACCGCGTTAATGCATACGGTGCGTTTAAGGGAGCCGTCGGCGGCGCTATGTCTACTGGATGCGTGTGCCGATAAAGCGGATCTGGCGGTTGCTGCGACGAATAAGGAGGGTTGGACGGCTTTGCACCTTGCTTGCCGAGCTGGAGTCGTGCGTGTCGTGGAGGCGCTGCTGGAAGCCGGCGGCGACCGGAATGCCGTAGGGCCAAACGGAACTTTCGCGCTGATTGAAGCCGTCAAAGGCGACCATCTCTCCTGTGTGGTGTTACTGCTCGACGGGGACAGACCTGCGAAGGCGGACGTCTCGGATGACTTGGGGACCTGGGCATTGCATTATGCGGTGCAGGCGAAGAGCTGGAAGATGGTCAAAATGCTACTGGACGCCGGTGCATCGGTCACGCGGGTCAACAAGAACCTCCAAACACCCCTCCATCTCGCCATCCAGCAATCCAAATCCGCGATCAACACCTCCTTGAAGATCGAGCGGTTGCTCATCGAGAAAGGCGCCTCCACGAACGCGCAAGATTGCCAGGGCCGCACACCGTTGCATATTGCGTTTGTAGACGTCGACCGCATCCCGTTCATGCAATACACGAGGGATCAGAAGAAGAAGCATGATGCGTATCGCGCAGCGCAAGCCGCGAGGCAGGAGGACACAGAGCGGAGAAAGCAGATCGTGAAACAGTATGCGTTTGGTGATGTGGAAGCTGATATGTGGATCGCCGCACCCGCGCTGGAAGTCTATCGGTTGGAGAAGCTGAAGGAGAAATCGCAAGGCGATGCAATGGATGCTGACGATCGAGACCCTGGGAAGGAATGGTATACAGGGGTTTGGGAAGGTGACCAGACGTCGGCGGCCAATAAAAGCGATCCGATTGAGATCGTCAGTTACTTGCTTGGTGTCGAGGGCATCAAGCTGGACACGGTCGATAAGTGAGTGTTCGACGGTGCGTTTGGGGACATCTCAACGACGCCTGCTTATTTTTTTTCCCTTCAAATCTGCAGATTCGGCAGGACTCCTTTACACTACGCAGCTAGCGTCGGTGCCTTTACTAGCTCATCCTACCTCCTCGAACGTGGCGCGTTGCTAGATTCGGAGGATCTGGACACGAATACACCTCTTCAAATTGCGCTCTTGTACGAACACATCGATTATGCGGTCATGCTCGCCAATAAGGATGCCCAAGTTTTGCGCCATATGACTATTCCGAACCGTTCTGGGCATACTGCGGACAAGGGAACGCTGTCGACGTTCAAATATTCCTTGCGCAAGGGCTACATGGCCCTTGCGTATCTCATCATGGCCAAAGGCCAAGATTTGCTACAGGCTGTCCATGATGCCGTGAGTACCGGCAGGTACCATATCGCAGTGCTATTGCTATCCGAGACGCCAGCAGCCAAATTGCGTGAAATGCGCAATGGGAAGGGCCAGACTGTGTTCCACGTCTGCTTCGATTTCGCTCCTCTCCAGGCAACTGTCGCTGATTGGGACGAGTATGGGCGTGAACTTGTCGACATGTTCTTGGACATGAAACTTGATTGGACTACGAAGGACTTGGAAGGCAGGACTGCCCTCCATTATGCGGCCGCAAATGGACATACCACTTTGGTGGCCAAGCTGCTGGAATCAGGGGCTGCTGATGTGGCTGCCGTGTTAGACACGCATGGCAGGTCTGCACTTGGCTACGCATTGGAAAACAGGCACCAGTCAACTGTGGAGTTGCTGTTGAAAGCTTGTACAAGAATCACCGAGGATGACAAGAGCACGAAGCCGTCGTTGATGAATCTAGCAATCGGGCTTCGGTCCAAGGACATCTTGAAGGTATCTTTACGACGTTCGCGACGAACATGCACATCTTTGGAGGGGACCTCTTGCTGATTTTTATCATCTGGATCTCGATAGGCCCTCGTTGATCTAGGTGCTTCCGTCAATGATGACGGAGTCGCAAATAATCACCCCACAGCCTTGGTGCTCGCCGTCCAGGCGGACAAGCCAGATTTCGTTCAGATGCTGATCGAGGCGAAAGGGGACGTTAATCAAATCTGCCCTATCAAGAAAGTCGGGAAAGCTCTTACCACCTGCGCATTGCTGGAAGCCCTCGACATTGCACTGCAAAAGGAAGCGACGGATACCTCGACAAAAGCCGGTGGATCCGTCTTGGATATGCTGCTTGACGCTGGAGTCAACACCAATATCACGGAGGACGAGTCTCTCCGCTCGCCGTTGCATTTGGCACTAGCTGCAAAACATTGGCGGATTGTCGAGGCCTTGATTCGCCATGGCGCTGACGTCAACGCGGTGGATCCCAAGACAAACCGAACTGCGGCCCAAATGCTGGTGTTGGATAACCTTGTAACAAAACTACCAGGCGGTCTGGTAAGTGCATTTGTCGAAATTCGGAATCCCATATATTTTCGAGTTCCAAGCTGACAAGCTTTATACTACTTTGTAGGATACGCTCTTGTTTGCAAAGGCGAACATGAACTTGATTGACAATGCCACCGGACACTCCATCATCGACTTCTTGCTACTCCAGAAAGGCCTCTCCGAGAGTGAGAACGTTAAGCAGCAGCCCGCATTCTCGCAGATTGAAATGGCTCTCAAACTTGGTGCCGATGTGAATGTCCGCTCTCTGACGGCCGTCAATCCAGACGACTTGACCACGATGATGAAATGTGCTGCTGGCAATTATATCGAGTCGTTCAAGCTTGTGGTTACATCTTCTCAGACTTCTGTGGACTGGAGCGCGAAGGACAAGCATGGTCGTACTATCTTGCATCTCTTGGTGCGCCCTAGACCGATGGTGGCGTACGAAAACGCTGAGCTAGTGAGGTTGGCGGTTGAGAAAGGTGCAGATTTGGAGGCGGCGGACAACGATGGTATGTGAAGCGGCGAACTACCCATCCGGGTCACATCTGATGACAAAGAACTCAACTCTGGTTGATCTCGATAGGATTGACGGCTGTGCAGTATGCAATGGACAACGCCAACAAGGACATATACGAGCTGCTCAAGGAATTGGGAGCCAAAGATAGCGCGTCAACAAGGACTGAATCAGACGACGCCCCGACAGCTATGGAGATAGACTTGGCGCCGCAAATCCAGATAGACATCGAATCGGACGCCGAGCGCGGCCGGCACGATGTACGGGAGGCGGACCGCATCGCCAAAGCGAAAGCCCGAGTCAAGCTGGCCAAAGAACGCAAGGTCACTATCGAACAGCTAGACGCCGAAGACCGGCAGAAGTCACTACTCCCTGATCCATTGCTGGAGCTTGCCGAAGTGGCTCACATCGTTACTGACGCCAACGACGACCCATACGACATTCTCATGACCAAGACCGACGTCGACAAGGGCCATTACGGCTTGAATGTTTTCTACAAGATGCAGGTGGTTTACAATCGTGTTCAGGACATCCATATTTTATGGACCCGGTGGGGCGGAATAGGCGAGGACGGGATGTATCAGCGCACGCCCATGAGCACCAAAGAAGCCTGCGTGGAAGAGTTCTGCAAAATCTTCAAAGCAAAGAGCGGGAATAGTTGGGAGGATCGCGGACCAGAGGCCTTCGTGCCCAAGCAAGGAAAGTACATTCCAGTCAGACCCAGAAAGGAGCCGGACGTGGAGATCCATTCGTTGGACGTTTCCGACTCTCCTGCATCAAAGCTGAGCGACGAACTGCAAGATGTGATGCGCATAATCACTGACGTCAAGGGTCTGAAGCGCGAGATGGCGGAAGACAAGGTCGCACTCCCGCTCGGCAACATCGAACGCACCACCGTTTTGCAAGCGTACAGAACTCTCTGCGAGATCCGCGATAAAGTCAAAGCGCTGGACACGCTTCGCACAGCGTCGGCAATCCCCGATGTAAAAGCCATGAAGTCCGCCCGCCGCGATATAGCTGATCTGAGCAACACGTACTTCACTCTCCTCCCATCGACGCATGACGGACGCAGTGGAGGCACCACCGCCCTACTCTCCATGTACGAGGTCAACGCCCAAATGGAGAAGATGGCCGATTTGCTGTACCTCGGAACCGCCTGCGACACGCTTCTCGCCGCGCATGGACGTCGGAAGGAAGTCAACCCATGGGACTACGTGGCGGCTGCTTTGAAGTGCAAGCTCAAACCAGTACTGGATAGGGAGAGCGACGAGTTTAGGATGGTGCGCGAGTATATGGAAGATACAAGCGCGGGGTATGACATCGTCTCGCTGATCGACGTGGAAAGGGGTGGAGAAAAGGAGAGGTTTGCGCCGCATGCGAACAATGAAAACCGGAAGCTGTTGTGGCATGGTTCCAAGTGAGTTTTCACAGATTGCAATATCCCATGACCACCTCTCTGACAGTGGAAGTTGATGTTGTTGCAGCACTGGTAACTTCATGGGCATCCTATCCGAGGGGCTGAAGGTTGCGCCCGTCGAGGCAGCGTCCACCGGATACATGTTTGGCAAAGGGTAAGGCCCACCACGTTCCCGATCCGGTTGACTGACGAATACTAACTGTGAATGCGCGGTCCATAGCATCTACTTCGCCGACACCTTCTGCAAGAGTGTCAACTACAGTAGCGTCGGCAGCGGCGTCTCATGTCTCCTTCTCTGCGAAGTAGCTCTGGGCAAACCAAAGGAACTCGAGAACCAAGAATACATGGAGCACCCAGCGGAAGGCACGCAAAGCACACTGGGTCTAGGACAAGAAGGTCCAAGTGGACAATGTTTCATCGCGAAAGACGGCACACGTGTCCCCCGGGGTCCGATTATCAAGTACCCACTTCGTACGAAGGCTGATGGCACCCCCATACCCCGCTATCTTGCGCGGAACGAGTACATTGTGTACGATCCTGCGCAAGTCAGGATCCGGTATATGCTGATCGTGCGGCCGAAGGAACAGTGCGTGTTGTGCGAAGAGAACGATGCGGGAGTCGAGCCGATTGGAAAGCATGCCGATTCGTACAAGGATGTCGTCAAGAACTATGATCTCCCTAGCGGAACGTTTGCGAACAATAAGTACGAGCGCGCGATCGTGCGAGGGCTGTTGTATGCGAAAAAGACGGATGTGAAACAAGTCTGGACGGATAGACTGCCCACCGTTCTCCGTCAGAAGACTTACGGTAAGTAGGCCTTCATCCTGCGATGTGCATGGTGGTTTGATTTCCGCTCCAAAACCTGCGGGAAGCAGAGCACAACCAGCTCATCAACGTGTCTTTCCTCCGTACGTGAACTCCATAGCAAAACGCTGGCAACCCGTTACAAGCCTCAAACCGCACAGCGTGATCTGCAACAGCTGCAACACCACCATCCTGTCCGACATGCTGATCGACGTGATGCGAGACTCGCAAGACCAAATTCCAGGTATGATTTGCGCTTTGAGCTGGGTTTCAAGGGATGTTCGTCCACCATCGTGAACTCACTAACGATTCTGCCTTACTCGTCCGTTCAAATTGCTCAGCCGTCCTCCGCCGACCCAACTGTTGGTACGGTACCCAGTGCCGCACGCAAAGCAAGGATTCTGGTCATGCGAAGAGATTCAATCACTGGTGTGACCCACTTCAATTACTTGTGTGAAACCCACAACTGCCGTCGAAGTTGCTTGACGTAGCTCAGTCATAGTTTGTTGGTTAAATAGCTTTGTGATATTTTGTCTTAGGCTAGATTGGACTTTTGCATTAGGAGTCTAGGACTCATCGGCGTATGTTGCGTTTAGATAGGGACATTTTTTCTTCATACGTTGTCGAACAGACACTTTCGGCCATCCGCTCATATACTCAAGACTTTGGCGGCTCATTCCGCTGAGGGTGTTTTGCTTCTGAAACTCCCTTTTGGTGCTCGCTCACCAGCTCTACGCTATGTTTTCGTCCCTAATTCCTAACTGAGTACAGTTCACCGGTCTGAGCTTGGGTTCTGCCCATCGAACGCGCTGTCGAAATACTGACAAAACCGAGTAATCCGTCGCGTCTCCTCTGCTTTTCCCATCTACTTTTCCCCCGCGTTCCCAATCTTTCTTCGGCAACCACGAAATGAATCGCGCGCCGCAGTGCGCGAATACCATCATGACTTCTCAGAGGAATTGAGCCACTTGTGCTTTCCACTCGGGTACTCTGAAATTCCCAAATGCCGCACAAATCGCGTATGCAAAAAAAAAACCATATGCCAGACGAAATCCATATAATTAAACCCCCTCCGCAAATCCCCCATTCGCAAAACGAAAAAGATCATACACGCCACAGCCCCCCCAAAAACGGAAAAGGCCACCCATAGGAAAAGGTATACACACTATGTACGTTGAGAAACAATCGACCCGCCTCGGCCGCACAAGGGGATGGGGGAGGGAATTCGCTACGAATCCTTTGGTGGGGTGATGGTGGGGTAAGGGATAGGGTGTGCAGTCGACGTCTGTGGAGGAGAGACGTGGCGGCGGTGGGACGGATGTGGATGAGCATTAGATCGGCTCCGTGAGATGTCACTTGGAACCGGTGAGCTGGTCATCGGCCGCACCCGCGGTGTGGGAGGGGTTGGAGTCGGACTCCCTGGACACCAGGTGGGCCATGGGGTACAAAGACTCGACTCCGAGTCCGACACCGCCGACACCCGCGTGGATCTCCCGACCTTATCGTGAGCCATCCCCCCCTCATACGCACGCCCATCCACAGCACCGATCCGACGATCGCCTACGCCGTTGCAAAGATCCATGCATTGACGACGACGATGATGATGATGATGGCGACGGTGACGAGGACATCGATCGTCGACGGTGAGTAGTTCCTCAAGTGTGTGAGGACGACGACGATGATGTACTGAGCCCCACCCAGCGATGTCCCGCTCTCTAAACATGCGCGTTCCTATTCTCATTGCCATTCCCCCCGTTGCCGTTGCCGCCGTTTCCATTACTGCCGCCGCCGTTGAGCATGGTCGCAAACTGTGATGATGAGAGCAGAGAGAGAGAAGGAAGGAGTTAGCATACGTGTAAAAGAGAGAGAGGGTATCATAGTACCGGAGAGTGGGAGACACCCAGTGGGGGACATTTTGTCGCCAGAAAGGGTCGCCCAAATTTCGGCTGGTCTAGACCCAATACGTCTCCTCCGGTTTTCATCCCAGCTCGCCCAAGCGCAAATGGCATCAAAGCGCCGCTCCTTCCCGACATGATATGCAAAACAATATGATGTGATTTGTTTTTCTACCTCTCCATTCTCCGTGATACAAAGAAAAGATGTGGGGGATATGTCCCCAGGATGCAAAACCTCTCCTCCTTCTCATTCCCAGTTTCCAACACAAACTCCAATCACCTCCTCCAACTTTTTGATCCAACCTCAACATACCTGCGAGCTGGTCTGAATGTACTGCTGTATGACATTACAGTCACACGCGCGATGCAACAGCAGCTGGCTCTTCAACAGCAACACCTCCTCCTTCAGATCCTTCACGCAGCTAACCAGCCGCTCATTCTCCTTGCTCAGCGTCGCGCTCTTCGTCTCCAGTTCCTTCAACCACTCCTTCTTCTTCATGCGGCATTTCGACGCGGCGACGCGGTTGCGTTCGAGGAACCGTTTGCGTTTCGCGGCGCGCTCGGCTTCGGTGGGCGGGTGCTTGCGTTTGCCGCTCGTGGGGGATTTGCTGCCCCCTTCGCCGTCGGATTCGGAGTCGGAGGAGTGATAGTCGCCCATGTCGTCGCCCGCGACGCTGTTGGGGGCTGTGGGATTCTTCTCCGCCTCCACTTTTGCCGTTTCGGCTGCGGCTGAGGAATCGTCCTTTTTGCCAGCAACCTTTTTGCCTACCGAAGTGGGAGCTTTTTTCTTTTTTCCACTGCTGACGTTCGCATCGTCCTCCGCATTCTGGGATTCTCCTCCCACCTTGCTTGCAGCAATACCGTCTTTCTCGCCCGCATTTGGAGCGACGGCACCAGACGCCGTTCGCTTCCTCTTTTTCGCCGGGCCAGACGCAGGTGTTCCCGCACCCGGTTTCGCCACCAAAGTATCCTCGCTCAACGCCCCAGACGCGGGTTGCAGCTGTGACGTGCCTGAATCGCGTCGACTCTTTCCGGTCTGTTTGCTTCCGGTCGTGGGTTTGACTGCTTTCGGCGGCGACTGCGTGCGCGGTTCGGCGGCTGTTGCGGCGGACTTGCTGATGCTGGTGCGACGCGATTTCGACGGTTGATGCAGTTTCGGTGGTTGATATTGCTGCTGCTGAGGTGAAGGTCCCTGCATCTGCTGTGGCGGCTGCTGATGGTACCCTTGCCCATCTTGGGGGTAATTGGGACTGGTGTACAGTTGTGATGGGTGAACCGTCGGCGCGCCCGAATGCTGCATCTGCTGCTGCGGTGGCTGCGACATCATCTGCATTTGCTGCTGGTGGTGGTAGAATTCTTCCTGTGATGCCGGCATTCCCATATTGGGCTGCTGCGGGTGTTGCTGCTGCATCTGGTAAGACATGTCGTTGGGGTCTTGCATCTGCGGCGCCATGACGGGGATGGCGAGAGGTTGCTGCATGTGAGGTTGCATGGGCGGGCCCATCGGTACCGACATGCCCATCGGGATGGGCATAGCGATCGGTTGTCCGTGCATGTCGACGGCCATGGAGTATGCGGGTTGCTGCTGTTGCGGATGTGATGGGTGCGGTTGAGTGGGATTGGAGGTATACATCTGTTGAAGATATTGCTGGGCTTGTTGTTGTGATGGTTGTGGAGGTGATTGTTGCTGATGAGGTGGTAATGGTTGTTGTGGGTAGCGGTACCCGTCCATACCGTAGCCGGGGATGGCTCCATTTGACGGGTCAATGGGGACTTGCGTCGGTACTGCACCACCTTGCTGGGCGTAATGAGGTTGGTGTGCGTCCGAATACCGTCTTCGTTGGTTCCTGTCGGCAGGTATATGAAGTTGAAACGCATGTTGTCCACTGGATTGCTGCACCGGTGCTCCATTATCTACAATGCCGCTCGAAACGGGAACAGCACCGAATGATGCACGACGACTTCCGGGGCCCTCGTGATGTTGTGGTGGGGGTGGTTGCAAGTTTTGCGAAACAACGGGTAAAGACGGCATCGAGACATCGCCCACGTCCTGCAACAGAGCTTGAATCGAGGCCGTGAATGGGGTCATGACGGGCTGTTCAGGTGCGAGACCGCTCCATGCAGGACCGGCGTTCGCCGTCGGTGCTGCATTCGGACCCTGTGTCGTACTCGATACATTGTGCGTGAGCTGTTGTTGTGGCGATGCTTCAGTGCCCTGTTTTGGAGGGTTCGCCGCACCCTTGCCGTCAGCGGAGGGCTCGGTGGCATTGCCGAAGCTCTCCTCGAACAGGTTGACGTCGCCGGCGGAGGATGCACGAGTGATGATGCCCGGGGTGAATTTGTAATTGAGCGACTCTTCGAGGAACCTTGTTGGTGTCATGAGGTTCGATTCTGTTGGTGAGGGAAAGTCAAAAGCGATGAAGCGTTGTTTCCGTCATCATTGGGTGTGCGATTTGATGAACGAGGGCGAAAGAGAACGGGAAGGGGTTGGGAAGAAAGGGTATAAATTGGTCAGTCACTGAAGAAATTCCCTGCGGCTTTTCCCACGCCGTGCATCGTGCATAATGGGAATAACCTTGAGAAAGGTAATTTCCTCGGAACGGAAAAATATTTTCCATGGCCGAGGAAGCGATTGGGGCAACTTACCGAAGAGCGAGGAGAACTCGCCGTGCGACTGCATGAGTAGATTGGGTGTTCCCAGCAGCCCATCCGAAAGGAATCCGCCTGCAGCCGCCGACACTCCGCCGCTGCCGCCGTAGCTGCCGTATACACTTGACGTTGAAGCCATATTATTATTCGGTTTCTCCTACGCAATCGATTGCTGTCGAAAGTTCTTTCCCCCTGTGGGGCGTGCGTAGGAGGGGGCCTGGTGACGCTCGCTTATGGAATCTCTGACCGTATCTCTCTCAACTGTGGAGAGACTGAGAGACCCGTGGTGACGCCAAGAAAACGCGTTTTCGGGGAAGCCGGGGGGGATATCCGCTGTGAATGAATTTTCCCACGCCCCTTTATTATGGTGCTTGGTCGACGGTAGCAGTGTTGCGAACAAGGTTGGGAAAAAGTACCGGGAAGAAAAACCCAGGGTGAAGGCAAGAAGGGGGTCTAAGCCTTCTGGGCGACGAAATAGTGGTTGGTGTGGGAGACGAAAAGGAATAATATGCGGGCTGAGTATCGGGTTGCAGCCCTCAACGGATATTCGAACGAGGGAGGGGTATTGTCTTGTCGCGGGTAGGGGACGGAGGTATGACGGATGGCGTGAAAGCGTCGATATGCGGCGCGGGGGGGGGGGGGGGGGAAGGTTAAACGGTGACGACAGGAGAGCGAGGCCGAGTGGGTGGGTGGGTGGAGTGAGGAGGGTAATAATGACGGCCGGGGGGGGGCAATAGCAGCACTTTGGCTTGGGGGCAGCAAGGTGCTGCGGGGGCGGGGGGGGCCGACGTCACCCGTGCTTCCCTTTTGTTTGTCTCTGGTTTGAAAGGTCGCTTGTTGTGTGGGGAGCGGGCTTTCGGCTTGGGCTTGGGCTTTCTGTGAGGGGGGAATGGGTTTCAAGTGCCTTTTAAAAGATGACGTATGGCAGCCGTCAGAGGGGGGGGGGGGGGGGGGGACGCGACTCTGCTCCCGTATATCTAGTATCTATACCCCCAATCACATATGTGGTGCTGCCCCCAACTTTTCGCCATGGATATGCCCAGCAACCACAAAAGCTGTCCAAAAGTGCCTCCTGCAACCTTCGCACAAAGGCCCGGAACGCTCTATTCGCTTGATATATCCCGAGTGGGATACTCTCCACCCTCCCCCATCTACGACCATGCGATATACTATCCCTAGCATTTTCTTTCTCACAGAGAGTTAAAGAACATCTTGGAAAGTGTAGCCCGCACACACACCCCAAATCATCTCCCAACAGAGCCGTCGAGACCCTCGAAAATCGAGCACTGCAGCCAGGGATCGATCCAAACAGCGATTGCTCTCCCATCCATGATAGATTCCTTGGCTTAGAGTTACTACATACCGTCACATGGGTGCCCGGTACCGAGTTGAGAAGGGGCCAAGTGCTTGGATTGTGGCGCTGCTTTCCTTTTTTCTGACGATAAAGCCACAACTTAGGGATGACGTCAGGTGGTGTTACGGAGTGAATCATGCCTTCTATGAATCATGAGACGCGCCAACGTGGCTTCTCGTTCTTCGCAACCGCGCTTCAATGGCTTTCACTCAGGAGTGTGTATTAAAATAAATTAAGGACCTCCCCTCCACATCAAAGGAGCGACAAGCGCCATATATAGTAGGGATAAGGGATAGGGATAAGGGATAGGGTTATGGATAGGGATATAGGGATAGGGTTTACACTTCCAATAAGATGATGCCGTCGAAATAGCGATTCCCTTTAAATAATACGGAACACTCGGACAAAAAGTGTCAATGGGGCTGGGCCCGAGGTTTCCACCCGTCTTCCCACAGCATCAACGGCTGAGAAAAGCCGCTTTCCTTGCGTGAAGTGTATGTATGTCCAGCCCTAGAACACATCTACCGTACACGCTGGAACTCATTCCGAGCTCAGATGAGCGACCTGCTTTCCCGGTGGCTCTTCCAGTTGCTTGTGCAGCCACGATCTCTTCGATACGCGCATGGGAGCAGCAGTCTCCCATTGGCTTTGACTTCGCCATGCCTCACTATTGGCTATCCAGGCCGAGGTTCTCTGATAATTCATAGAGCGTGGGCATCGTATGACTCGACGAAGACATCCCCCGCAGATTGTGGCTCCGCGCACGCCTGGGCCCCGACCAGCGGGGCTTGGGTAAGGTGGACGAGGGAGTTGCGGGACAGGTAGTCGAAAAATATCGTGGGATTGGAACAGCTGGAGAAGTTCTCAAGTCGGCCCCTCCTAATCAACCACCGGTCGATGACCTCTGAAAGCGTCCTCCATATCTGGCCGATCGGGTGTCCGGTAGACGCATGCTTTGGTCTCGGGAGAGCGCGGTGGTTGCGGAAGGCCACAGAAGCGGAGAGATTCCGACACGGGAGAAAAGCGAGAGGGTTGGAGGAGGCAAACCTTATCATCTCCTGGGGACGAAGCTTGTGTCAAGGACCATGGAGAACGGATGCTGGTCTCACACGCCAGCAGTGTACACTGCGAGATCAACACGGCCCAGTACAATCCGTAGTATATTCCGTAGAAGGGCAGCAATACATGTTGGGAACAGTTGAAGGTATAAGCGATTGATTTTCCCGCACCGGGACTGCACATATGCATGCATCATGCGTGAAGAGACGTATTATACTTGACGGTAACCGCCGCCGCCTTCGCCGCCGTACATGTTGTTTCGGTGGTCGTGAAAACGAGGTTTGTATACGTGCGCAATCTCGCAAGGACGAATCGTACGTAGTTTATGGCTTCGGCTGGGGAATCTCCAACTCGAAGGCAAGGCAGTTTGTAAAAGCGGTGGACAAGAGGGGTAGCATTTAATCGCGTTTAGTCGGGCACGTGATCAATCCACACCAGTCAACTTTTAGCGTTGAACCTTCAACTTCGTTGCCTTTCCGAGATCACGCTCCAGGAAACCCATCCGCCAGCGGGCAACACTCCCCCAAAACGACAAGCCATCCGACAGCCATGTTCGCCCTCCGTCGAGCATGCGTCCGGTGTACGAACATCACAGCCCTTCCTCGACCGACGTATGCGAGATTTCCTCGGGCCATGTCGACCGGCGGGCCAGAGGACCCTCTAAAGTTTCCCGCAGCGATTACCGTCAGCAAGCCGGAAGTGCCTAAGGAGGTCGAGTCTCCAGCAGCGGTTGTGAAGGAAGAAACTGCTTCTGTGTCGGCACCGGACGTTTCGGCAGCGTCAGAGAAGGTTCAGGAGCCTAAAAGGATTGAATCCTCGACGGCGGTCCCGAAGAGCGCTTCAGTCGTGTCCGATTTCAATGACTCGGCAACGCCGGAAAAAGTGGAACAGCCTAAACTGAGCGAATCCCCGACACTCGAGAGCCCTTCCTTGGTGGCCACTTTGAAAGACCTGGTACCCCGGGAGAAGATTGAAGCGCCGGAAGTGAGCAAATCTTCTACACCCGAGAGCACCTCCTTTGTGTCCGCTCTCAAGGACTTGGTAACGCCGGAGAAGGTTGAAGAGCCCAAGGGGAAGGAATCCTTGACACCGGTTACGGAAAGTGCGTCATTCGTATCCACTCTGAAAGATTTGGTAACGCCGGAGAAAGTCGAGGAGCCCAAAGTGAACCAGGCCTCGACGCAGGTCCAGGAGACCCCTTCCCTCGTGTCCGCTCTCAAAGATTTGGTTACGCCAGAGAAGGTTGAGCAGCCAAAAGCGAATGGAACTGCAGCACAGGTCCCGGAGAATAGCTCTACTGTGCCCGCTCTCAAAAACCTAGGCACACCGGAGAAAGCCGAGGAGCCCAAAGTGATCGAATCCGCGACGACACACTTTCCACAGAGTGCTTCCTTCGCGTCTGCCCTCAAGTCCGCCATAACCGCCAGCAAACCGGGCGAGCAGCCGAAGGAGACCCAGCCCGCAAAAGCCCAACCAGCCCCCCTCACAAAATCTCCAGGGGCGGAATTCGTAGAAGAGTTCGGCGTAGACCTCTCAAAAGGCCACGCCGCCCGCATCGCCAAAATTCTGCGCAACGACACCCCACTCTCCCTCTCCCCGCGCGGCACCCCCGCTCCCGCCGAGCCCTCAGTCTATGAGGAATACAAAGCGGCTCTGTCCTCCAAGCCCGCCACCACCACCCCCGCGACACCCACCGCCACCACCGCATCACAAAAACCAATAGAAAAGCACGCCCACCGCCCTAAAACGGAACTCACACTCACAGAAGCCTTCGTGAACAATATCATGAAGGACGGCAAAAAGGCCCGTGCCCGCAGAATCATCCGCGACGCTCTGGCCTACATCCAGCGCGAGGCACCCGCCGGGTCGGACCCACACGTCGTCCTCGAATCCGCCGTCAACAAAGTCGCCCCCCTCGTGAAGCTCGTAACCCAAAAACGGGGCTCGAAAGGCTTGCAAACACCCACACCCTTAGCGGAACGCCAACGACGGCGGTTCGGAATCCTGTGGATCGTGGATGCGGCCAGCGGTGGGAAATCGACGATGGGGTTGGGCGAGAAAATTGGGAAGGAGGTTTTGGCGGTTGTTGAGGGGACGAGTTCGGCGTTGCAGAAGCGGATGAATATTCATAAGCAGGCGTTGATGAATAGGAGTAATGTGTTGATGGTGGATCGGAAGGTGCGGAAGATGTGATGGGTAGCGCGGGAAGGCGATAGATAGATTGTGGAGGTGGATTCGCGCTGTTTGCGTTTCGGTTCTCTTCCGCCGTTGTGTACGGAGCAACATCTGTATTTAACACACCAACGTGGCATGTTACACTGTACAAAACATGGACGCAGCGACTTCGGTTTCATGTGATATTTCGTACTATACATCAACGCTCAAAGCCAAAAGAGTTAACAAACCGCCGTCGGAAAAGCAAAGTCGTCCACCCAGTCTTCCACCCAACATACTAAGCCCGTGGTTTGACAACAATCGGCATGGCGAGTAACCCAAGTCGTGTATATGTACACGCTCCTAACACTTTCTTTTGCCGCCAAGATAACCCTTATACATGTTTCTTGTTGCTTAGATTCCATTGTGACTGCAGTGCGGTCATTGATTGTGCGGATTCTGTAGCACTATCAGAATATACTCTTTATCTGCGAATCGGAGTAAGGGTGGGTGAGATGGGGGTTGGGATGAAAATGGAAGGGAAGGGTCGCGGGAACATACCTGGCGCAACCATAATCTCATGTTTCTTTGATCGTATCCTCAAAAAGCTCAGATCATTCTACAAATCATCAACAGTGAATCAGCCAAAAGCAACATATCAATGTACCTCCCAATCCATCAACCTCCCACCTGCGGATCCAAATCCCTAACCACACTCCTTGCCTTTGCCGCCAGCTGGGTGATCAAAGCGGCATACTGCACCGTCTTGTCGTTGTCCAGCGTCGTGCGGATGGGGATTCCTTCCATGTTGACGATTACGACGCCTTCGACGCCTTTGTGGGAGGAGAGGCGTTTGATTGTTTCTTCGACTTCGGACTGTGGATTTGGACGGAGATTTAGAATTTTGCGCGAACGCGGGGAAATCGATTGTGGGTGACTCAGCAAGAAGGATGTTCGCTGCTGATATGAGAGATATGCCATCCTCCTTCTGAGCGTTAAACTCACCATGTTGAAGTGTAAATGTTCTGTTCCTTCTGTACTCTCGAGTTACGCGATGGGAAGACTTGGACGCGCTTTGTAGCCAGCAGCCGTTTCGCTTGATAGGCCGATCTGTCCGTGGGCTGTGAGGTCTGAGGTGCTGTGAGGGTCCTGGGTGGTTACGGTGGAGTGGGAACACAGCGGCGGACGTGGATGAGGGGGTGGGAATTGCGACTGGGTGAGAGAGAACGCGACGGGAAGACCGAAAGCCGCCTTTGCTTACGTGATCGCCTTCAGGCTTTCGCCTTTTTGCGGCACTGAAGTTCGCCTGGTACCCTACCCTCAGCCCATGTCTCGCGGCGACAAGTCTGCGTTACAACGTCCGCGCAAGGGAACGGTGTCATATTACCACTCAACGGTGAAGTGCAAGCAACGGGTTTAGGGTTCTGTCCCATCCTGTCTGGACAGTTCTGGTAAGAAAATCCGGACGTGAGCCTCGTGCAGGCACCTTCCCACGGGTTATAAGCAAGGTCTTAATCTCTCTCATGAGTTGGTACAGCCGTCGATCTCACAAGTTCACTTGAACCTCCAAGCACGTCGCTGGCATCTACGGCATCGCAGCGGCTTCCCTTATTCCATCCGTCGCAGTGATGCCCGACGTCATCACCGAGGCAACGTTGAAGGCACACACCAAGCTGTGTCCCAAGCTTCCTTTGGAGCTCATACCCCACGTATTCAGCTTCGTCGATTCCTGCACGGGCTACAATATGGTTTCGGTCAGCCGATCCTGGCACGGAATTCTAGCCAAACTTCTCTACTCTAAGGTCTCAATCGTGGGTGAGCACCGCTTTAACTTACTTTTCGCAACGCTCAACGACAATTTGGAGCGCTTTCGCTGGATTAAAGACATCCAGATGGAAGCGTATTGCCGTAATTCTGTGAATGGTGAGACGGCTTACGCCGAACAGTGGAGCCCTGTCGCCTTTTCAAGACTGAGCGCTCTTCTTGCCATGTCGCGCCCCGGTCGAGCGTCCTTCACCATCTATTGCTTGAACGCCGGCGGCGACCTCGATATGTTCTTCTGTCGATGGGATAGGAGAGAGCTCACATTTGAGATGCAGGCGTTCGTTCCTGAGGACTTTCAAGAGGAGGTAATAGCTTTCGCACAAACGCTTGCATGGACCTACGCCGACGAAACCCGCAGTCTTCAGAGCCTCGGCGGCAGCTTTCATAAACTACCGTATTTCAAGGCGTTGCGGACGGTCACTCTGAGATCTGACCTCCTGGTTGGCGATCCCGGACAAGGCTGGTCTCCGTCGAGAAGCCTCGACCAAGTCCGCTTGACGGCCTATGAGGAAGACGACTGGCTGCGCATCGTCCCCCGGCTTCCACAATGGACCCGCTCCCTTGATGTCTGCTTCATGGATGACCGGATGAAACTACCCCCATGGCCCTCGAGTTCCCGGATTCAATCAGGAGTGCTCAGATATAGTCCGTCCTTATTCCTGCACAGCTTTGACCCGGATGACTGGCGTGCTGAACTATCCAGTTACGACGGAGGAGGCACACTGGAGATCATGTATCGCGCTGATGTGATGACGACCGACTATTATCGCGTTGTTATGAGGCCCAACGACTATTATAAGATTATTGATGCTTACGTCGAGCTAGCAGTCGAAAGCAAGAAGTTCGACGAGGTGCGACGCGTTTGCCTTCCGGCCGGGAAATTCCACGTGCTAGACCTGGACGCCCTGCCGCTGCTTGACCTTCCGAACGCTAGGTCTTAGCCAGCCCGGAAACTGGCCCCGTCCATATCATCGAAAGCACCATTTCACGGGTTGGGTAACGTGGTTCTGGAAGATCATGGCAAAGCGCCAGCCCGTAGTATCTGCTCTCCATAGGCGTAAATAAGTGATAGAGAGGTCATTACTGTATGTACATAGCCATCATCAATACATCGCACATTCTGTTGTGCCGTACATGTCGTCCGGTTTTCTTAACCAACAGGGATGAATAAGCGCGTTATAATTCGAACGACTGCGAACCGGGTTTCGCAGGGCCAGCCTTGCCCACATCATTTTCCAACGGAACGCAGCCTGAAACAGCCTTTCCCTACGTACCCATTTAAGCCTTACCGTTCCTACGTAGCTCAAACGACGCCAACTAGCCTGCGAACTATCCAACCTCCCACCAGCACCTACGCACCGGCAATCGCCATAACGCCAAAATTGCCACACACCGCCCAATTCATCCCGTCCTAGACTTTTTGCTCAACAAGAACGGCTGCTGGAACGCCTCATGTATACGCCGCACTTTCTGCTCCCCGAATCCGGGACATTGCGCGAGCTCGTCTGGTTTTGCGGAGATGATGCCGCGGAGTGACTGCCGGTTGGTGAGGTGGGTGAGATGGCGGGTCTCGGCTGAAGTGTTCGTGGAGCACTGGCACTTACCCCGAATGCGGATGCTAAGGTCAGCACATCAGTTTTGTTAACAGTTTTGATTTGCGTCAATGCATCCGTGAGCTGTTCCGATCCAAAAGAAAGGCTCGCATTACACTCGGAAGGCCACATTCGGAATAAATGTCGCCATGCCGAACCTTCGCCAAGTAATCGGAATCAACGCGCTCCTTCAACAGATCTGGCGGTTTGAACTCATATGCTTTGAAGGTTTCCAGATACCGGCCGACCTCTTCTTGACTGTTGAGAGAGCATTAAAGTGAGTGGGTTGCTCAGGCTTCCAATCGTAAGCAACGGCGTACCTCCATGCCAACATAAGCGTCATGTTGTTGTATATGCATATCCGAGTCAGATCTCGGATGCTTGGTTGATGATCATCCTAAGGGCAAGGGGTCTGCCATGAGCGTTTTCACAAGTAGAAGATGGCGATGGTATAGCATCTGGAACGTACGATGTCGACTAGCACCATAAGCACTCTAAGCAGGTAGTTGTGCCCCATCTGCTTTATCCGGGTATAAACATATTCAGGATGCAATCGATGATACTTCAAGCTAGTGAATGCATGGATCCGAGTCAGACACGATTCACTCCTGACGGATGTAGAGTGCGGCAAACGGTACCTGAGAAAGAGAGCACAGCTCGTCTGCCCGACCTGGTAATCCGGCACAATGTCTCCATACTCCCACGGCACGTTCTTGATGAAGTTCAATACGCCGTTTCCCCTCTATACCGCCAAATCGTCAGCTCTCCCTCTCCACCATCGCTAACATTCGGTCATCCAATGTAGGTCGCACCTGGCAACTGTTAACTACAACGGCATTTGGTCCTTTCGTTCGCTTCGTCGGATTCGAGCCAGTACGGTTCAATGCCGCCGGTGCCGGGTTTCCCCCTCCCGGTGGTCCCGCGGGCTGCCCCTGCGGTGGCTGTAACTGTGCTGGCGGTCTTGGCGGCCGTTGCAGATGTTGTTGCTGCCCTTCTGACGGACGTGCTGCACCTGCCCTAGTTACTTCCCCTGTTCTCGATGGAGCTATTGGTCTTCCCCCGAGATGGCTGGGTCCTGGTGGTCTCGCGGCAGCATGGGTGGTCCCTGCTGGCGGTCTCGTAGTAGGATGGCTGGGTCCTGCTGGTGCATTCGTTACGGGATGGGATGGTCCAGCTGCGATAGTCTTTGAACTGCTCCTCGGGTTCGCACCGCTCGCACCGGCATTGAACCTGAGCTCCGGGACCTATACAATACACATGCACCCTCAGCAACCTGTTTCATTCTCTCTTCAGTGCAATCTGTGAGCGACTGACCTTCTCGCGTAAACCTCGCTGCCTCTTTTCTATTTCACTTTGTGAAGGTAATTGGAATAGGGGTTTCTTGGGTGGTGGCTCCGCCATCTTGACTGGCTGTCTGTTCCTATCCGAATCCAGTTCCGGCCGAAAAGGGAGCAGGACGCGCAGACAGAGAGTAGTGACGACGAAATACGACACCGCGCACTCCCGCTCGCTCGACAGATCAACTGCATATCCATTAGACGAACACTGCTCGGTAACTCCCCCCTAGTGCGGTGCACACCTTCTTCTCCTCTGTCCTCTCGGTTGAGGAAAGTGAAATTATCATCATGAAGAAATATGGAAGCGCCTCGCGCCTGGGCGACACTGGATCTAGCGACGCCCTCGCCAGGCATGGCTTGCTCAAAAGAAATGGTACGGCATGAGTCGAAGTTCTCCCATTCAGGTTTCGGAAAATCTTGAAGATTAGGGTCCATTTCCAGAGAATATGGTGGTATATGAGATACATCCGTCGTCCAAAGGTATGAAGCCTTCTCATCTGTGAAATACAATACTTACTGGCTCATCAAGGCGTTGAACCTATTCAGCGGATGCCAATTTGAAGAAGTTGATTCAGGTATGCGTTGATCGACAGCTTTACATGCCCGTGGTCCATCTGATAGCCTTCACTCAGGCACTGACGACATGGGTCAACTCATATGTGATACACGAAACGATGACCGTCCGCGACCTGGTTTCAGATCTGGACGACGGCCAACTGTTGGCGGCCTTCCTGGGTATGCCGGCACGTCCACCACCACAGTAGACAAGGGTAAAAGAGAATCCTCTTTCTCACCATCCCACAGGTCAAATAACAGGCGACGTAATAGCCGACCCCAACCAACTCGCCGCCAAATCCGAGCGGACAAAAGTCGCTATCCTCCAATCCGTAGTGCGGTACATGGAGGAAAGTCTCAAGATCCCGCCGGACCCGTCGCGGTGGACGATCGAGGGGATCATGAACAAGGATGTGGCGTCAGCGCTTTGTATATTGGTTGATCTGGCGCAGGTGCTCGGGTGTCCGTACGATATACCTCCGAAGTTGTCTGTTGCTATCATTAGGAAGGAGGTTCGTTTGCTTGCTGGGCTGTTGGATGGGTCTCATCGTCCTTGGGCTACTTGGTCAACCCTTTGGCATCGCAGGAACTCCCCAGTGGCATCAAACAAAAGACATCGGTGATCAAGATCACCGGCGAGGAGCCCAAAGCGGGCAAAGGCGGGCTTACGGATGCTGAAGTGTCGCTGCAGCCGCGCGATGATGGTATGGAGAATGGAATCAATCTTCTCACACCTCACGATTGTTGGTTTACGACAATGAACACCAACTCCTAGGAGCAGATTCAGGTTATGAGCCTGACGCCTTCGACAAACTGTTCGCCATGCCCGAAAAGATGCCCGAAGTCACAAAGGTAACCCTCCCTTCACCAGCTACTTTTCCTGCAACGCATGCTCACACCGCCCCACCCATCCCGCAGCTGCTCCTCGAATTCCTCAACTCCCAGCTCGAAGGCCTCAACATCCGGTTAAACACACTAGCAAAACTCGAGTGCGTGTACCTGATATTGCTGATCGGGACGATGGGCAACTTTTTTGTGCCGTTGCATCATTATGCGTTGACGCCGACGACTTTGGCTGCTAAGGTGCGGCTTGTGGAAGTGAATGCCGGGGGAATAGTGGGTAGGGCTCTAGGATTCTGAATCAATTGCCAACAGATCGACAACGCTAAGTTCGCAATATCGATGATGAGCGATCTCGAAATCGACGTTACGAGGATAAGCCCGACAGGTGAAGTTCATATCATCCTCCATGCGAACTCCCGTTCACTCACATCTTCCTTGCTAGATCTCGTCCGCAAAGACGTAAAGTCTATATCGCGCTGTGTGTAAGTTCGGAATTGCTCTCCTGGTCTAGTCTCGACCACTTTTTGTAAAGGACTCATGGATATATGTTTGTTTCCAGGTTTGCGCTGTTCCAGGCATTCAACAACCGGGTGTCTACGTGATATGATCTGTCATCATGGCTTGTCGGTCGATGAGGGCTGCAACGGTAACGGTGGTACGTGCCACTGCGATATGGAAGGGACCTGGATTTGGCACTTGCGTTTGATCCACCCATCTTTTGGAAGGCTTCAGCTATGGACTCCATTCGAGCACAATCGCCGCATTCGTGGAGGGATTCCCGTCAGCCCACCCACTTCCATCGCCCGTTCGGGAGATATGCAATGATGTATTATCTTAGCGGCGAAATGATTAACTATGTATAACTTATGACAAAAATGTTCAGGTGGGTTCCTAAGACGAACCCACCCAGGTGTTTGATTTATATACAAGCCCAATGGGGTGAGATGGAAAATGAACGGTTTCCTTCAAAATGCAATGCGACGAGCGGGACTCGGCGACCGGCGTTCTAGAAGAGAGAAGTATGTTGGAACTTCCAGTCATCTCACTACGCCGCGCGTGGAGCAGAGCACTAACCAGCAGCAGGAGCATAAACAAACGCGCTCGGCCGCGCCTCCCACGCCTTCGACGGCGGCGTTGCCAGGGGCGGAATATATGGGTACGGGTGATGTTGCACCTGCGAATACGGCTGTGGGTGAGCCGGCATATGTGGCACGGACGAGGCGCGCGATTTGACCAGTGTCAATGCCGACGATGTGAGGAGGAGCGTGCCGAATAGGAGGATGGTGCCGAACACCATTGTTTTGTAGGAGAGCGGTTCTACGAGTTTGTTGAGGATCTCGGCGAGGGTTTCTGCGCCGACTTTTAGTCTGTGTAGGATTGAGCGAGGTAGGTCAGACCGAATCAGGTGCGTGTATCGCTTCACCATCGAGAATGGTGTGGGTTTCATTTCCTCACCTCCCAACCTCCTTCGGATCCCGCTGCATACACTTCTCCCAGTCAGTACATGCCTTTTGCATGTACTGCACTCTAGTCGATGGATCGCATCTGTTTTCCAGATAGTTCTTGGAACATTCCGAGACTTGGTGGATGATGTCTGAACAATAGACAGAGAGTTAGGAATCACGTCCATCCGATACCACCGGGATAAAAAGCAAAGCACCAGTCCCTCCCTACCCAGCGAATATTCCTCTGCCTTCATATCGAGATCATGCTGCACGGTCAGAACGAATTGCACGATGATGTACAGCATGATTCCGATGATAACGGTCGAAAACAGCATCTGGATGTATCTGAAAAAAAAGCCTATTAGTCTTCCCCGGGACGTGATTGTGACTCTCGCGAATCCATTCTGCTTACCCGCTGATCATGTATGGCAGCAACACGGTCCGCGAGCTAAACCCCTCCGATGTCGGCGTATATTGGGGATGCCCAGAATATGAAGATTCGCTCACTTCCGCGTCGTCCTTCTTCAATCGTTTCCGCGAGTTCTATCCATAAAGGGTAGGGGTTGAGCCATGGCCAACTTTCGCAGCCACTATGACCATGCAGCCTACCCAAGCCACAAAAACATCCTCATCCGACCCGCTCTCATCCCTCTGCAGCTCTCGATAGAACGGTCGGCCTTTTGGCGATCGTCTCCGTGGTTGTAGTATGCGCCGTTTTGGCGTTGCGGGTGCCATTCCCGATGAAGAGAACGGCGAGATCGGTCCAAATTGGAAGTCTTCCATTGCTGAAAGGTCGGAGGTCGAACTTTAGCAGTCCATTGTCTGAAGAAACGGGTCATAGATCATCACCAGGGAAGGACGTACGTTTCGACTGCAATTCGGTCCTTTCGTCCAATGGAGGCACTGGCTGTTCCACCACGTCCATAGCCTGCACCGAGTCCTCTTCCTCCTCCTTCTTTGCTGGCTTTCCGCCTGCTATGGACTTTCCTAGGCTGTCGAGCGGGACGCTCCATGGAATGGGCTCGGAGGTTCGCCTGAAGTCCATTGGCCCTGAGGTGCTTCGGTAATACATTCTACGAAGTTTCCCCTCCAGGCTACAATATTCGAAACTGCTGGTAAAGTGTAATATTCGTAAGATATGTGCAGGCTGTGTACATATGTGAACGCCTCAGTTGAGGGGCAGACGTACGCAGCCGAGCGTCAAGTTGAGGACCTGAGGTCTGGCTGAGGTTGGGCTGAGGTCGGAATTCGCAACTTGGACCTGCACACCGCAAAAACCTCTCATCGCCAACGTCACAGCGTCACACCTCTTAAATCCTTGCACATTCCCCAACCGTAAGCCCATCTTCTTCCGCTCTCTCTACCGTTCTGCTCCAGCCCTCACTCATTCTACCCGTCTTTATAGCTCCCGAAGCGCGTCACTCCGTCACATCTTCCGAAAACACAAAACACAAAATTCAAGATGGGCGAACCACAAACCTACACTTTCAAGGTCGGGATGACCTGCTCTGGATGCAGCGGCGCCGTCAATCGGATCTTGTCCAAGGTAGGGGACAGAGGGGGTCCGATGCGTTGAAGGAGTTCCTGGACTCTCTACATAGTAGAGTGGATTGGAGGCCCCTGGGTGTCACCGCTGCTCAGATTCACTTCACTCACCCGCATTTCGAACCATCCACAGACCGCCGGCGTAAACTCGTTCGACATTTCCCTCGAAAACCAAACCGTCATTGTAAAGTCCGACTCGCTAACGCAGCAGGAGGTGTTTGACGCGATAAAGAAGTCGGGAAAGCCTGTTGAGCCTGTTTCTGCGTGAGGCAATACACAAGGGCTGTGTCCATTTGACTGTTCCTTGCTTCTCTTTTATCCTTCTGTCGGTGTGAATATTTTATGCCTGAACAGCTGTGCTTGACATTACCGTTACTTTCGGTTGTGACAACGGAACGGTTTCCGTCGCACTGAGACCATTCAGCATCAGATAATAAGTCAACAGGTTGTTCTCATCTTCGAGACATATTGTGTGCGAAAGTCTTAAGATGCCTGTGTTCTCTGGAAGAGTGGAAACGTTATCGTGCGCAAAGGTGCGACGACACTGGCAATGTCCCAGACGTTCATCCTTCGGGTCCAGCTTCGGGTCCAGCTTCGGGTCCATGCGAAGCGCGTCTTGCCCTTTCCCATCCCCTGCACAGCACAAGCAGCCTGACAAGCAGCACAGCACTGCAGAACATTCGAGCGTGTTTAGCATACACCTCAGCGCAACGTACGGTACGTGTTCAACGTCCTGACGGCCTCAGCCCCTCTTCTAAGCTAGTTCACCTGAAACCGTCACTAACTATTGGGCACGATCAGACCCTGGATCAGACCTGGAGCCAACGACCACGGCTGAACAGGGAAGGACAATAGCTTCCTGATAGCTTCTCGGTCGGGGACAATATGGGGCGCGGACGGCGACAACGAAAGCATGTTGGTCGAGATCTCGACCTGGAACTTGACCTCGATTCGCTGGACGATTTTGAAACGGTCATGGGAGAGCTTCTGGCAGTCAAGGTCGAGACTACGGCCGATGACGCCGACGCCACTATGAGCGACAAGCTTGAGACTGAAGACGAGGACGTTCACCTGGCAGCTAGATTCTGCAGAAAGTGCCAGCGCAGCGGCATTGACCACAAGTCCGTCAAACTTCATCAGTTGTGCACTGCCCGTTGTTGCCGGTTCAACAAGAATCATGGCACGCTGGCAGCCAACTTCTGCAAAACCTGCCGGCGAGACGGCATCGAGCTTACCTCTGTAGAGTATCATCGAACGAGTGTTGCCAATTGCTGTCCGTTCAACAAGAAGCGAATCAAGAATGTAATCGAAACCGAGGACAAGAACATGCAGAAATACCACGAGACCGAGAAACGCAAGCCTAGCTCGGCACAGTTGATGGATCGCCCGGAAGGGAACAAAAAACGCAAGCTGAACTCGACAAAGTCGCCGAAACTCCCGCCCAAAATCAAAAAACACAAGCAGTTCTCCGCAGTCTTGATGGATCTCCCGCCCGAGATCCTGCGCCAGATATGCCTGTGTGTCTCCGATGGAAGCACGATCGTCAACCTGGCTGTTGTTAACCGTATTTTCGCCAATCTGCTCGGAAACAAGGATATGCTGTTTTGGGGCGAGTGGGAGAAGCGAAACAAGGTGATTGCTCCTCGCTGGAAAGCCGATAAATTCGAGATGATGTCAAATGTCGGCTACAGGCGCTCTCTTGCTTTGTTCTCCCGGAAAGGATGTGAATTGTGCCGAAAACCTGGAATCAAACGCGTGTACGAGATGGGTCTGAGGTGCTGTCCGGATTGCTACAGGAACTCCACTATTCCTCGGCAAGCTGTGCCTCTTTGCTTGCAAAAGCGCATTGACATAGATGCTGAACGGAATCCCTCCCTGCGGTTCATTGGACAGTACTACTGGAGGAAAAGCGTGAATAGCTATGTATCGGAAACCTTCGGACTACCCGACTTGCAAGCGTATGTGAAGACACGACGTAGAGAATTGAAGAAGGGCGCTCAAAAGTTCCGGAAACTGATCGCGAAGCACGCATCGCGCACGATGGGAGATCTGACACCCTTTGTTCGATTACAATTTCAAGCATTTGCGACCGAGTCATACTTTCACCGCGACGTTGGAAGGGTTATCCCAACTCCGGCATCGACGGGTCTTCACAAAGTTTTGAAGAAACAACCGCGTCACGCTTTTTTTGAGGACTTACGCGAGCAAGGGGTGGGAGAAGTCCCCAATGAGCAGGAAATTCGTGATTTCGCTGGATCCAGGTTCAAGGAAAAAGTCCTCACTTTGGCCAATCGACTCCTCCACTGGAATACACGTCGAGTGCACGAGCCTTTCATTCAATACATGGGAGTTGTGCAGCTGAAGGGCGACCCGGACCGATCGGAACGTCATGACTTCACATCGTACAAGCGTGCTCTGCGATACTTGAACGAGCAGCTAATCGGTTAGTCATCGGGGATCCCGATCGGGGTGACGTACAATTGAGGATACATGTCTTGGCGAAAATGAGAACTTCCATGGCGAAATATTGAGAACTTGAGCAACAACGATTGGAGAGGCGCAAGAGGCATATCACTGAAAGGGCAAACGAACTAAAATACCCTCCCAAACGATACCCTCGCGCGAGCTTCCTATAAGACGGATGCCGCGCAACTGTCGAATAGTAGTATAGGTCCCCATCCCATTTCCCTACCTCAAAGAAACCTATTTTGAGAAACCGGCTGCCGGGATGTGCTTATTGATGATGTACGGCGTAAGGTGCGGGAATCAAAAAAACAGTAGTTGGAATGATGCCAGAAGTGATGCAGTCTCAAGCTTCTCCTTTGACGGGAACATCCATCTGATATTGAATGGGTGAACTTCTCGTTCAGGAACAGAAAATGAAAATAGTCTTCCGTAGTAGAAACGTGAAATGACGACTGATTCAAGTTTATACGCGTGCTGTCATCGCTCACTGTGAGTTCAGGCATTTCGCACTTTTGGCATAAAGCAAGGACAGTCCCATCCCAACACCAACTACCACCAGGCCGAACCACCGCTAGTACTCTAGCACCGCCTTCTGAGGACGGCATACCGGCTCTGCACGCCATGAGCCTAGATCGTGACGACCCCTGTGAGTGACAAGCTCTTCATTCCAACGCAATTCGAATACGAGGGAGGGAAACGAGGCTTGGAATTTCAAACTCAACACTTGGCTTTTCGAGCCAATACAGACATGGATTTTATATATCCCGAGGAATATATTGAGAGTGCTCTGTGTGAAGACGTCCTCGTAGAGGTTACCGCGGAGGATGTTCGGGCAGGGAGAGGTGGGTGACATGGCAATTGCGCTTTTGCGGAAGCAAGTCATTCGACAGTTCGGCCTGGCCTGACATTGAGTGTCTGTTTGCCAAAGTCGATATGCAAGGCATCGACTGGTCGAAGCTTCCAATAGCGCGGGAGAGGTTTCGCGATTCCCGGGTGAAGAACTACGGGAATTTCAAGAATATCCCGACTGTATCTCCCGACATCTTGAAGCGAGAAATCTTGAAGGTTCGGCAGGATGCACAACTGTACCAGTTCCGCCACGCATCCCTGCAGAACAAGTGCATGTATCTGCATTTTCAACTGAGGAACTTGTTGTGGGCGACTAGCAAGAATGATGTGTATTACACAAGTGAGTGGCTGGCTTCTTTGACCAATAGCTGGTCTGCAGTGATCTAATCATTACTCATACATTGTCGGTATCGATTGATTTGTGAACGAAGACAATCTGGGAGTGTGTCACTGGTGCCCGATCTCCAAAACCTCGCGGATGGCCCTCGATCTCAGCAAGCAGGACTTTGTGGGAATGAAAATCAGCTCGATCGTCGCCAAGAAGGGCTACCTGATGGTGGGAGGATTCAGCGGGGAGTACATGCTGCGGAGACTGACGGACGAGTCACCGCCGACGAAAGGATCGTTGACGACGGATTCGAATGGGTTTACCAATCATCTGGACATAGAGGAGGCGCGGAGTGGTGGTATGTCGCGATCGAGACAGTTGGATGATGTGATTGACTTCGGAAGCTGATACACGGCGCTCGATTTAGCTTTGAGCGCCATTGCGTCGAGCAATGACCAACGGATGCGTATGATGGACTTGGCATCAGCGCAGATCGCGAAGTCCTTCTACTTCGATACCCCAGTGAATGTATGTCATGGAGCAGTTCATTGTCAGAATGAGTGGGCGGCCGGAAGATTAACCATTCTCTTCGGTTGTCAGTGTGCAGCGCTGAGCCCGGATAAGCGGATGCTTTGCGTGGTGGGTGACGACCCAGAAACGATCATAGTGGACTCCGAACGGGGACGACGTACGTGCGAACGTCATGCTCACGGACATTCCTGACATCGCAAGCTGACAGTACACTCTCACAGATCTGGCGACCCTGACCGGCCACCTCGACTACTCGTTTGCCTGCGCATGGTCCCCATGCGGACGCGTATTAGCGACCGGCAACCAAGACATGACAACTCGAATCTACGACACGCGAAACATGTCGCAAACATTATCCGTCTTATCTGGTCGGATGGGGGCAATCCGATCCATCCGATTCTCTGACGATGCCCGATTCATGGCGTTTGCAGAACCTGCGGACTTCGTTCACATTGTGGACATGACACGTCTGCCGGAGGGACCTATTGAGAGTTGGCAGCCGGTTTCGGACGCTGCACCGCTTCCTCGATCAGCAAGCTCACATAGGCTACGGACGCCAGGTTCGACTGACCTGCACGACACCGAGGACGAAGACGGCGACGCAGAGGAGAAAGAGCCCACCGCAGTGGGCTTCATGCAACGACCGCCCGGGGAAATATATCGGAGTCAGGTGGTCGACTTTTTTGGAGAGATAGCGGGGATAAGCTTCAATCCAGGCGGAAATGGTGACGGAGCGGACGAGCTGTTCATTGGGATTGCCGACTCGAAATATGGGTATGTTGAATGGCCATTTGACCCAGATGTGTTGGTAAGGCGACTATGTATTCAACCGACTGTTGCACTTCAAAAAGGTCTATTCTGGAATTGCAACGCGATCGGGATACTTTCTACCGATGGACAGCTGTCAGCAACTCCCAACCCTCATACGACTCGTATGATCCTGAAGTCCTTCTATGAAAGGCTGAATGCCGTCGTTTCTTCGACTTCCCAAGCATCGTCGCTCCTCTCGGAAGCAACGTGGCACATCGGCACAGACCCTCCGTTCTGCCATTGTTGATATCTTCTTCTTCAGCGTGAGCTATCCTTAGAGTCCGGATGCATTCGACGTTGCGGATCTTTCGAGCTCTCGGCACGCGAACGCCGAACGGCACTATCCTCCCAAGCCATGCAGTAAGCATTTACGTCTCCCCATAGGCAAAAACATCATCGGATGGAGGACGACTTGAGATCGGCACGAACCGTCGCTTGCACCCAGATGCATATACCCAAATCACACCACCTTTCTACCGACCACGCAAGTCCCCATCCCCAAGTCCTCGCTTTTTGGATCGTTTTGGCTCCACCGAAGCTATGCAAAGGTCAACGCATCGATGGACCTGTTGGAAGCACCCTTCCCTCTCTCTCTGACATTTTTGGCATATATCCTTCTCCGGTCTTCCTGCGGCTGCCCCGTGGTGGAGCTGTCTTCATTCCGCCTGCCGCACGACCGCTATTTCCCGCATCTGCAATAGTTCCTTTTTGCCATCTTGCGTATTATCCCGCACGTGTATTACACCATCCCCACTTTTTTGGCACTCAAAATGTACATATGTATACCCCCGTGCTGGTTGCGCACTTGGACGTACTGTACGCTTCATGCTTTCATGTTTTCGAACGCGTTGGGAGAGGTGGTCTTTGCGTCCCCATGTGCAGGATGGGCAACAGGTCAGCGATCACGGTCGCAAAGCCCCAGTTCCACACAGCTTCCTTCAGATCCCACTACCGCCCTCCAGCTTAATTCAGCCTTCCATGGCGGACCCCACAGCACTAGCAGCAGAAGTCGCCCGTCTCCAGAAAGAAAACGACGAGCTCAGGCGTCAACTTGGTGCCGCCGCAACTCCGCCAACACATTCACAGCCGTCAGCGCACACCCCTCCCAACCTTCCGCCACATCCGCAACGAGACCGGCTGAACAATGCCGAAATTGCCCGGTTTAGTCGGCAGCTGCTTATGCCGGAGATTGGGGTGAAGGGTACGTGCGCATCTGTGCGTGGCTTCTGTGATCTTGCAACCCACGCGTGAATCACGACGATACCAGGACAACTCGGTATTCGCAATGCTTCTGTACTAGTGGTAGGCGCGGGTGGTCTCGGGGCGCCTGCGGCGATGTATCTGGCGGCTGCGGGGATAGGTAGGTGAGCCCTGGGCATGCTCATTATCTGGAAAGCCTTACGGTGCTAGGTCTCCTGCGTCCGTTGCTGGCAGTTGACAGAGGTTCCATATTTAAGGGCGACTGGGGATAGTAGATTACGACGACGTGGAAGCGAGTAATCTGCAGCGCCAGATCATACATGATGAGACGAAGGTTGGGGTGCTGAAGGCGGAGAGCGCGAGGGAGACCATCCAGAGGTGAAGATCAGACGAGGTTTATGCGTCTCGACGCCTTTCAGGACTGACGCTGATAGACGGGTCTCCTTTTCACAGGCTGTCTTCTCTATGCGATTGCGTGCCATACAACGTGCTGCTGGAAAGCTCCAACGCACTGGATATCATCAAACCGTGAGGATCCCACCCATTCGCATACATGAACCCGCTCCGTCCGCACATCACTCAAACCTCGCTACTCCCAAAGCTACGACTACGTCCTGGACGCAACGGACAACGTGGCGACACGATATCTTCTCAATGATGCCTGCGTCCTGCTCGGCAAACCGCTCATATCAGGCAGCGCCTTGAAGATGGACGGCCAGCTGACGGTGTATAACCTCGATGGCGGGCCGTGCTATCGTTGCTTGTTTCCGAAACCGCCGCCGGCTGAGACGGTCACTAATTGTAGTGATGGCGGCGTCTTGGGTGTAGGTGGGTGTGGGTGGCGTTAGGTTGCTGGGGTGTCACAGCGGTTGTCGTGATGGAGATGGGACTAGGTGGACTGATCTGGATCCTTTGCGCTTTGAGAACAGTACCGGGAATAATCGGTTGTTTGCAAGCGCTTGAAGTGATCAAGATCGCTAGCGGGATAGGAGGTGAGTTCCACCCCCACCCCACCCTCCGCTAAGGTCCTCTATCCCGAAATTCACACAAACTTTCTCAGCAACATACTCTCAAAGGCTCCTCATCCTCGACGCCGTCCTCGGCACCTTTCGCACCATCCGCCTGCGTGGAAGGTCGCCCACTTGCGCTGCTTGCGGCGAGAACCCGAGCATAACGGAGCTGATAGACTACGTCCAGTTCTGCGGGGCTGGCCCGCATGATAAGGTACGTGTGTGTTGCAATGTCAACCCATCATCTCTTGTGCATATAAGTCAACCCTTGTACCCTATTCATCTCGTCTCATTCGCTGTTCGGTATACAGGCGCCAAACCATCAGATCATCGCTGCAGCAGAACGTGTATCCTGCCAGGCCTACGCATCGGTGATGCAACAGGCGACGCCGCACGTGTTACTGGACACGCGGCCGCCTGGCGAGTTTGAAATTTGCGCATTGCCAAATTCGATGAGTATGTGATATTCTGTCAGGCGTTCCCTTCTCCACGACCTTCCGGCTTGGTCGGTTGTTCGCTCGTTATGTATTGACTGGACACTTGCCCAACCAACATAGATATACCTTTCACAGACCTCGCGAAACGCATACCAGATATTCAGCAGGCAGCAAACAGGCCAGAGAACGCGGCATTCGCCCTTCCTAGTAAGTCAAATCCAATTCCAGAGCAAAGGTTACCCTATCCCTCCTCCCTGACATGGCACATCTCTACAAAAACAGTCTACATAATCTGCCGCCGCGGCAACGACTCGCAACTCGCCGTGCAGAAGCTCAAACAGGAAGGGTTTCAGGATGTCAAGGATATCGTTGGCGGGTTAACTGCGTGGACGAGGGAGGTTGATGGGGCCTTTCCTGTTTATTAGGGTTTACTGGAAGTGGGTCCGAGATAGAATATTAGGATAGGTAGGATAGGGCATTAGGGTGTCTTGAAAGGGATAGAGGCCCGGGTGAGAGATGGGGGTTGGGGCTCTTTATGCATATGATGCTTAACTACATATACAGACTACGGTCCGCCGAGACGTTGCCTTTTACTGCCGTTGATTCGCGAATCCATCAGATTTCGAGTGACTAGGGCGGAAGGTTCCCCTGGAAGTGCTAGACTGACGTTGTACTCAGAGCAGCTTCATAAAAATCCTTCAGTCAATCGTGAACGCAGCACGCAGCCGGTCCATCTTGGCGCTCATCCGCTCTTTTTGACGGTCCAGCTCGCCAAGAAGCATCCGCATTTCTTCCTCATGAGTCTTTCGCTGTGGTTAGACAAGGAGCCGACGAACGTTGGTAAGGCCATGAATTGTTCGAGGTGCTCACTGGGATGGGGAACTGGGGAACGCGGGGACCTTACCTGCTTTGCTGCAGCCTCGACTTCCTTCTGCAGGCCTTGCATACTCTGCAGCATCACCTCGCGCTCTCGCTCCAGCGCCGCTAATCGTGACGTCTGTGCCTGCATCAAATCCCATTCTCAGCACTTTGACCTTCCAGGGACAGCTAGGCAGGGGCCTAGTAAAAATGTACCTCATGATTCAACCTCATCTCCAAATACCCATGCTCCATCTGCTTCAATGCATCCTCCTTCTCCTGCTTCCAATTCTCCTCCTTGGTCTTTAACACTTTCCGTATCCGCGCAACCTCCTCCTCGATCATGTGGATGCTCTCGTTCCGCTCCTCGAGCCGTTTGGTGGCTTCGGCGAGATCTTTGCGGAGCGCGTTGCGTTCGCCTTTGTAGTCGTCCACGAGGGTTTGGAGGTGGTCGATGAGTTGGTTTTGGGATTCGATCTACGTCGATGGGTGGTCAGGATCGGTGGTCTATGTCGGAACCTAGCACAATTACTCACTTCTTGTTGCATATCCTTCCTAATCGCCTTCTCAGCCTCAAGCCGATCCTCCAGTTCGTCGGTCCGTTTCTCTGTATCGGCTAGAAGCTGCTGGTGTTCGCGGCACTTGTTGTCCAGATTTTGCTTTAAGGATTTGATGGTTTCCATCTGATCATCGAGCATCTTGTTCTTCACGCGCAATGCCTAGATGAATCTTTGTGAGCCATGAAGTGGCTGATATGCAATGCTGTGATGCATACCTGTTCGTGGGATGCGCTGGCTGCCACGGCTGTTTCGGACTGGGATGTGATGCGTTCGATTTGCTGTTGGAGATTCGTGATCTGAGAGAGAATGCGTCAGACGACTGGTTCTCCACGTCCAAAATGGCGTGCGTAACACAAGACAAACCTCACGGTTCTGTTTTGCAATATTCTCTTCGAATGCACTCCTTTGTGCAATCCATTCGCTCTGGGCTTTGGTCAGGTCGTCCCGCGATTGCTGTGCAGATTTCAATTGACTTTCGAGTGACCGTACTTTTTCCTAAGGCGCAATCCTGGTCAAATGTCTCATGCCGACCGCCTGATTCCTCCGCCTAGCGAACGGACCTCAAACACATCAAACGACAATGTCTCCTGCTTTTCGAGCTCAGCGAGTTTCGCTTTCTGCTCTTTGACGACCAGTGTGAGCTCTTGAATGATGCATGACATTTCCTTTTCTTTGTCAGTGGCCAAGTCCAAAGCCTGCCGTTTCACGTGCCTTAGTCGATCAGATTACGCAGGCCTCTCGTCTGTTCGATCGTACCTTTTCCGTCTTGGCCAACCGCTCAGATGCCTCATTGTACGCAGCCTGAAGACGAGATTGGCGGGATTGCTCCTCTGCAAACAACGGCGGTCTGTTAGCACTCCTTCGGGTGGTCGAGCAAAATCGGTTTGCCTACCTCGCATCCTCTTTCGATACTCCTCTTCCAGGACGCCGTACGCATGCTTGGTGCTTGCCAGCTGCTTCGAAACGGCATCAAACTCGTCGCGGTGCTTGGTGATCAAGCTCTTCGTCGTGTCACTAATGGCCGTCTTCAGTTCGTTGTTGAGTGTGCTGGCGAGAGACCGAGCAGTGAGAATCCAAAGGACTCTAACACAGTATGATTTCAATCATACTGCGCACTCACGAAGACAACTCTCTGATCCGCTGCCCGCTCTCAGACTCTTTATTGGCCAGCTGCTGTTGAACGCTCTGGAGGTGTTTCTGCAATTGTTTGACGGTAGATTTGTACACGTCCAACTCGGCGTTCGACTGTATGGGAACCGGCGTGAGCAGAATTTTCGAAGTCATATGAAATATGTGAGCAGCCATACCTCAGCGACTCTGATTTTAGACTCCTCTCGCTCTTTGATCAAACGCATGGATAGTCGAGACTTGGACTCCTCAGCCGCCTGCAGCTGGTGTTCCAAGTTGAGCAACGCGCTCTGAAAGGTTCAATCGATTAGTCTCCGCTTAGGCATTCCAGAACGGTATCTTGCCAGTATGGTATTTACCTTATCGTCATTCACGACGTCCTTTGCAAGGTCTAGCTTCTTCTTATGGCTCGCTAGTTGCGATTCGAGGGATGTCTTGTCTGCTTTGAGGATCTTAACGTCGTTCGTCATGGTTGCTATTTGGACCTGCATTACAACCAAATTTAGCATCTGCGTCCCGTAAGCCAGACCACGCTGACAGTACGACATTTACCTTCTGAGACTTGACGACATTCTCAAGTGACTCCATCTTCTGATCTGATTCCTTCGCTTTCGCTTTAAGTTTCGCGTTTTCTTCTTGTAAGATTCCCATCTGATTCTGAGCATCTTTCTTGGGTTCGAGCTGCACGGCCGGCATATCAGTACACTTGTGAAGCCGCAAAAGGTCACATCTCCAGGATCACATACTTCCTTCTTCAACTCGCCGCACTCCGCCTCCGCTTTACTCCGCAACTCGCGCTCGGTCTTCACCTCCTCCATCAGCGCTTTGATCTGTTCCGCGTACTTGACTTCATTGGCTCGCAAGCGTTTTTCTTCCTCTTCCAATGCGCTGATGAGTTTTGTGTTTGCTGGGAGAGTGATGGCGGCTTTCTTCTTAGTCGTGGCGTCGGACACCGTGCTCGCTTTTTGGCTATAGAAGCCGAATAGATGCTCAGTCCCTATTGAACCGTATAAGAGTGCCCTAAAAGAGTCAGACCAGCGTACCCATGGGAAACTCGACTTTTAGGAATGAGAGAGTCTGATTTCTCGGTTCTCGCACTTGGCCACACTCCCCGCCCTTTTGTTGATGTGGTGCAATCTGAGCCGTCACTGGTCACCATAAAGATTATGAGCGCATGGCTTTGTAACATGTATTGTTTACGGGAATACACCTGTACCTTGACTGCTCGTCGGGATCTTCATTCTCGACATTGGCATTCCGGTGGGTTGCCTATGAGGATCTGATTTTCAACTTTGCTACGCCAGGGCCATGTAAAGGGAAATACGCTTAGGCACCTACCATCGTTGCGTTCTTTCGACTCTGGACTGCAACCGGAGGACTTTTCTCCCGGGTTCTGGTGACCTTCGGACCTGAGCGAGCTTTGCCGCCACCCACAGGTGACTGCCTCCCACTCCTCCGTTCCTCATCCCCATTCGTCCTCGATTTCTTCTCAGCAACTATCTGCGATAGCGCAGCCAGCTGTTTCTCCATCCTAGCCAAGGCGTCCACGTTTGCGTTCGACACCGGTTTGGCGCCGTTGTGCTCGCGAAGCTGGGCACCCTTTTTTGGCGGATCGTCTCGTCTCAGGAAGGCGCGCATCTCTTCGTAGGCGGACCGCAGGTGGGCGATGTCGGAGGACAGTTTGGTTTCGAGATGGGTTGGCCGCCGGTCGAGGGAGGCCATCAAGGCTTCTACTTGGTTTTGGAGGTGTAGGACCTGCTTGTCGCGATATTGGGTTCGATCGTCTTCGGCGGGGAACCCACGAGGGGCATCCCAGATGTTCCCCGAAGCAAACCTGTATTGAGGACCTGATATGAGAGCAGCGCTGTGAGAACGAGTGAATTAGACACCGACATGTACCCTTCAGGGGTTGCCGCTGATGCATGCTCTTGATACTCTGACGTCCCGTCTAGCAGCGGTTCCACTATAAAGACGAGCGTCAAGTCAGATGCAAAGACTCGACATCTTAAAGGCATCTGTGACTTCTTACCCGTGACAGGCAATCCACTTGGCGAATATCCATCCACGGATTCGAGAAGCGGAAAGACATCGAACACCATCCGCGGCGAATACCGAGCAGACGCACATATTGGATTGACCCTCGAAATCACACTTTCGCTATGCAACACCAAATGCCGTAACGACTACATAACGCCACAATGCGTGAGCTCAGCCTCGATGACGCCCAAAGCGCTTTTCCAGCGGCGCTCTGACTCACCGTACAACCCCTCAGGTCGTCAAGCGTGTTGATATCATCAATGCGATTGCCCTTCACATCCAAGATCTCCAAGGAATAGCGGTTTCCACGAATCACCTGAAAGCCGTCCAAGTTTTTGATTTGGTTGAAGGAGAGATTGAGTGATCGAAGAGCATACAACGACTTCAAGCCCTCCACCCGTCGAATCTGGCATCAAAACAGCTGGTCAAAACCTTCCCGCTCTCTTGCTCAAGGAAAGACATGATTTGTGTATAGATGATATTTACTTTGTTATTTGACAAGTTCAGCTCTACCAGGCCAGGGGTCGCCTCCAGTCCCTTCATGCATTCTATCTACAATCAGCAATAAACAGACGTATCAGTCTTCTCTCTGCTGCTATCCCACGGGCCACTATAATATGCAACGCGTATCCCAACGCCAGAACCGGCGTACCAGGTTGCTCGAAAGATCAAGAGAAGTTAGGGAAGTAAAGAGCCCCAAGACATCGGCCTCGATCGTTCTTAGAAGGTTGGAATGCAGATACAGGCCGTGAACAAGGTGTGGGTTGAAAGTGCGGTTGTTTCCGCTGGACGATCTTGCGCGATCTTGCAGGCGGGCGTAGAGGTCATTGAGGGACTTCAAAGAGCCGTTGAGGTCTGAGACGTAAGACATTGGGTGGCCAAGGTCCTTCTTTCCGTCCGTGAGAGCTGAAAGTCTACTCGAGCATGCGCCAAATGGCCAAAAGGCAGTCCCCAAGTCCGAAACGGAGGCCAAAGGCCTGTCAAAGGCGAACGCGAAACTTGGGCAAAAAGGGCAAAAGGGGCAAAACCATTTGGTCATTTTCCCACAGCGCACATCCCGACCAGCATCCCGACGGCCGACGCAAACGAACGAAGTCACTCCCGTTTACTTTGTACTCATAGCCAATAAACATGGGCAAACGAACCCACGACCAAGTAACCGTCTCCGTCAACGGCGAGGACGGCCCATCCAGCAAGAAAATAAAAGCAACAGACTCTGCACCGGTCACCAAACCCACAAACGGCTCGGCGCCTGCGACAATAACGAAAGATGAGGCGGACCTGTATGATAGGCAAATTCGACTATGGGGACTCGAGGCTCAACAGCGGTTAGTGCAACTTTCCGTGGCATGTCGGTGAATTTTGGTATGGTGCTAAGCCGACATCACCCCGTTTAGGATGCGGCAGTCGAGGATCTTGGTGGCAGGCGTGACCGGGACAAGTAACGAGATATTGAAGAACCTTGTTCTCTCTGGAGTTGGAGCGTTGACGATTCAGGAGAGCGAGAGTGTGGAGGAAGAGGATTTGGGTGCTCAGTTTTTCTTAAGGGAGGAGGATGTTGGCGAAAACGTAAGCCATTGGCTGCATGTTTGCGAAAGGCGATGTTTCGGGGTGGGCTTGGGACTTCAAATCTAAGGGCGATCTTTAGCGTGCAGAGGCCGTCGCACCACGGGCTCAGGCGCTCAATCCCCGCGTGCATGTGAAAGCCATCACCACTCCGCTGGCGAACGTTCCAGATTCCTTCTTCACCGAGTTCGATATCGTGTGCCTGTGCAATGCTACCCTGAGCCAGCTGGTATGAAGGAGATGTCGAGCGATACCTTGACAACGAAAAGAGGTCCTGACGTGCTTCGAATTGCAGAAACGAGCAGACAAGATATGTCGCAAGAATGGCGTCAAGTTCTACGCCGCAGATACCAACGGCATCACCGGGTTTATCTTCTGCGACTTGCGAGAACACAACTACGTCGAGTACGTCTCCACTATATTCTCCTCTACCTGTGGAACATTCCTCTCATCTGTCAAATCTCACTGCTAGAGAACGCAAGACAACACAAAAAGACGAAACCACAATAACCCGCCTAGAAAAATCCATCACGTTCCCGAGCCTAGAGGAGGCGTTATCCATTGACTGGGCTACCTCCGATCTTCAAAAGCTGAAGAAGAAAGAACTCAAACACTTCCGTGCCCGAGCAGACCCTGTGTTTTTCGCCTTCAATGGTCAGCTCCTTGCTAAACTCTGTTGTTTCGTGACGCACGCTGATGCATAACATCTGTTCGCAAACAGCGTTATGGCAGTTCCGCGAACGGTTTCAAAGGCCACCACGCGCGGACGACGCCGCTGATGTCAAGGGTTTCATAACGGTAGCGCGTGAGGGCATGGAGCGGGTACATTGTGATCCCGCTTTCCTTGAGGAGGACTTCTTAAAGTACATTGAAGCTCCCTACATTTTCCTCCTCCTTGCCAAACCATCATGAACCTAACCGCTCTCACCACCCCCGCAGATCATTCATCGCCCAAACCGGCTCCGAAATCTCCCCCGTCTGCGCCATCATCGGCGGCTTCGCCGCACAAGACATCCTCAAAGTCCTCTCGGGCAAAGACGCCCCCATCGACAACTTCTTCTGCTTTGATGGGGAGCTGTTTAAGGGGAAGATGATACGTGTTGCGGCTTCTGCTGCGGAGGTGCCTGTGGGGAAGGCGGCTGGGGAAAGTGCGACGACGGGTGGTGAGGAGGTTTTTGAGTTGTTGGATTGAGGGGGTCTTGATTGGTGGCTTCAATGTAGCATCGCAGGTCTAGGAGAGCATTGTTTGAGGAGTGTCGTGGGCATGAAGCCCTGGTACTCGGGTTAGGAAAATGAATAGGGAGTTATTCATGCGGAATCTCGGGCTATCCTCAGGCGTCTTCCCGTTGATAAGACGACTGCCGCGTAAGGCGATGAAATCCATTCAGTTGCGTGAAGAATGCAGTCCAGACATCTATTCTTGCTGATAATGCATGTATTTGCCCCTCCATTCTATGCTACCGCACATGACCACGCTGTCCGAGATATACGCGCAACATTCTAAGCAGTCTGGGCGGTAGCCAACGCCGCCTCCACCTCTGGCGCCAGCGGCAACCCCAACGATACCTGCTCCTTCGACGTAATCTCCGACCGCCGCCGTCCCTCTCCCACCCCGCTCTCAAACCCAGCCATGATCAGATCCGTATACATCTCCTTCGTCGGCGCGATATGCGTGTATAGCGCCACCGCAAACGCCTTATACACCTTATCCAAAACCTCCACGATCTCCTTCTCCTCCGCTTTCCCGGACTGTGCGGCTTCCACCACCTGCGCCCTGAAAGCGCGGAACAGCCGCTCCACATGCACCGTATCGGGGAACACCCTGTAACTCGGCCGATCGCACAGGATCTGCAGCACGACATCGAACGCGCGCACGGCGAACAGGCGTTCGAGGACAAGCAGGTTGTCGGTGCCGTCCTGGGGCCGTCCCGCCGCGCGCCATCGTTTGAGCGCCGCGCGGAGGAGCTCGCCGTCTTCGGCGGTGGAGACTTTGTATATTAGGCGTCGGAGGCTGTCTTCGGTCGTCCGGGATTGGGTGACAGCTTCGTTGAAGGATTGGAACTCGCTGAAGCAGGCTTTTGTTGTGCCCAGGGGTTGGACTTCGGTGGCGTCGGATTCGGGGGTGGGGGTGGAAGCGGTGCTGTACCGGAAAGAGGTGGTGAGGCGGGTGGGTGCTGTGGTTGGGAGTGCGGACGACCTGCATCTCGTCGTCAGGCTGCGGCAGTTGATGGGTGTTAGGGAGTGTTGTTGGCAATCCCGAACTGTTTTCGTTTGGCAAGTTGGTCGCACTACGCCAAATTCTTCTATTCTTCTCGCACCACGGCGGATGATGCGGAAAGTGGAGGCGGACATAATGCGTTCGCCTTGGCCTTTCTGTGGTTCGTTGAAGTAGGGTATCTTGCGCTGATGCGAGAAGCTGGTTGCTGCACAGATCACCGAAATCCCAGAACGTTTAGAAGCATGGAAAAAAATTGAGTTTTCCCAGATGAGAAGAAGCGTGAGGTCACATGATTCTGGTTGATTTATATAGGGAACGCGTGCCAAAGTATGTACAGTCAGTGGACATAAAGCTGTGTGCATGCCAGATTAAGTCAGTGTCTGAGGCGCGTTGCGCGACATCAACTCATCATCCTTAATCTTGGGGCATTGCGAAACCTGACCTAAATGAATGGATCTAGATCTGAATTTCGCTAATACCTAGTTGTCCCCCCATTGGCTGCGATTACGGCTGCCATTCTTGATGGCATTGACCGTGTCAATGCATCAAGATGCGGCTGCATTGTGGGCCATATAGTTTGCACAACGTTGTCCAACATTCCAGGGGTAGGGTTCGCTTTCGATACCTTCCGTTTGAGCATTGCCCACAGATTCGCAATCGGATTGAGATCTGGACTCTGCGCTGGCCAGGGAAGAAGCTCAATGCCGTGTTCATCAAAGAACTGTCAAGTTTCAGCCGATGTATGAATAGGGGCGTTGTCCTGCATGAAGAGAGGATTGGGAAGAAAAATCTCTAGATTCCGCCACATCGGCAACATGTTAGCAGTAAGATGTTGCACATAGGCAGTAGAGTTAATCCCTCCACGGTTTTGACCCTCTCGCTGAACACGCTGCATCTCTTTCATTGGACCTACTGCATTTCCAATGAATGCTCCCCAGTACATGAATGTTTTTCGTCCACTCTTCCTGGTGCCCTGGATGCAATCGGGATGAAAACGTTCAGTTCGTAAGCGCCAGCACCGCATTTTAGGTACCCAGCCAATTTCAAAGGACGTCTCATCAGTCCAGAAAACACGAGACCAGTCCGCTTCCGTCCAGTCTTGGTGCTGCAGTGCAAATGCAAGGCGTGCTGCTTTATGGTCCTCTGTCAATAGTGGCTTTGGGACCTTGAAACGCGAGGTGAGATAGAGCAGGTCCCGTAGGTAGCGACGCACTGTTTTTGCAGACACCTGGAGTCCGGTGAGCTGCGTGAATTCAAAAGTGATCTGTTTTAGTGTTTTCTCCCGAGTGCTACTGTCAGCAACGACAATACTGCGGAAGGCAGCCAAATCATTGTCAGAAGGCTGGTACTTAGCTGGTCTTCCTGTTGGCTTCTTCGATTGATAGGCGGTTGGTGCAGTGGCACTCTCGTTCGCAAACCTCTTAATAGTGTTCCTCACAGTATTCCTGTGAACGTGCTCCTGCCTTGCAATTTCAGATGTCGTCTTGCCTGCTATATGGAGGGCAACTATGGCTGCCCTTTTTTGTGGTGTGAGAGGTTTCCCCATAGCTGAGGTGGTGAAGATGTTGGCGTGCATTTCGCCATCACGGCTTCGTCGCTGGCTTCAATACTCAAGCTTGCGGCTCCAAAACGCGCGGTGCGCTTTGTGAAACGGTCATTGAAATCCATATGGGGTGCACACAGCTTTTTGTCCACTGACTGTACGCGTTGCGGTGCCTTGGCAGAACGGCGAAGTGCTACTTTGCCAGGTCTCCAATACTCTCCAGGGAGCAGAGCTCAATGATATAAAAAGGACGCCACTCGAACGTCCTCGCCACTCATCTCAACTCCAATTCCAACCGCTGCCAAACCGCCAACCACAAACAAGAAAGGGGAAACGAAGAAAATCAACCGAACGATGAGGGTCAGCATGGACGCTAACGTACAGTTGCCCGCATACGAACCCGCCCGTTCCGAGCCGCTACTAACCAACATAAGTCAAGAGGACCATCAACCGCCGCCACCAAAAGATGCCCTTGATTTTTCGGACACCCTCCCACCGCCGCCAGCCTACGCCCCACCCATCACGCGCTCCATCGCAACTCCCATCCGCGCCCACGACGTCAAACCCCAGCCGGGCTCCCGCAGATTGATGTTGGGCCATCCGACGCCGTCACCCTCCACCTGCCCCTCCTGCTCGTCCTCCTCCTCACCTCCCGGCGGCGGCTACAGAGTCCGCGTGGTAGAAGTCACAGACTTCCCTGCAGAGAAACGAGATAACTACGCTTTCGTCCGCCTGTCACGGCACGGTCACCAGTTTCGCACCTCCGCCCGCACACCCGAATGGGCGAGACGTTCCCGTATTCCCTTTGGCGAGACGTTCACCTTCCATAACCCGCCGCCTGCGGGTGATTCGGCAGGGGTTCGGCACGCTTCCATCGATTTCGACGAAGAGTCCAAACGAGGGTGTTCGAAGATTCCGGCGTCGTGGCTGCTTGTGGAGATCTTGGAGATTAGCGGTGTGGCGGATGACGGGAGGATTGGGAGTGCGAGTGTCAAGTATGTGGGGCATGCGACACTCAAAATGAATTCCATAGTATCCTCGAAGGGGACAACGAGAACGGTTCATGTGAATCTTGTTGGGGGGTCGGGATCGCCTCGTGTGTCGTTGGATATATGTCGGTTATGAGGAATCACATCGAGCGTGTTGTTGCATCGATTAGCGTAGATCCCCATCCCGGAGCCCAGTTGATCTTTGATACCCTGAAACCCTTTTCAGCAGCAATAGACATTCTTGTTGATTGGAAACCGGTCCGCGCATCTTCCCGCGTATGCGTTGTTGCTTGTCCCAATGTGGTTCTTATGCGTGGGGACCCAGCCAAAGGCCCATGCACATCTCTCTCTCCATATTCAGAATGTCCATATTCAGAATGCATGCAGGATAATTCCAGAATGCCGTGAGTCCGCGTCGAAAAAGACGTTTCCGCTAAGGGTTAAACGAATACGGGAACGAGAACGGTACGCTACCTGTGCCCGCTGTGTTCAGAAATCGATGCTCAAAAAATGGGAATGCGGCACGGCCATATTGGTGCGTCTCGGCCTGACAGCCCCATCGCGGCCACATCTCCTAGCTCCCCGAGTTTCCCAGCGTGATGCACACCGCCCGGGTGGGAAATTGCGACACGGTGGGCGGACCAGAAGTGGGAGAAATTGGGCGACGGCGCTCGGTCTTCAACCGCGCGCCATGTCGATGGCAGCACGGCACGCACCCAAGGCACATTCGGACGCATCACTCCCCAACGCCGTACATAAGGGGCGATGCGATTGTGTCACAGCTAGATAAAGGTCCGCGAGGAAGAAATGTTCAACGTCACCTTGCTTTGGATGGAGAAGCCGTAAGACATGTTCCTGGAGGGGAAGAACGAGAGGACGGGACCCATGGTGCGGGAGTCTTTATAAGGGAGCGGGAGGCAGAAAACACATGAGCAAAAAGTAGTGCGAAAGGGGAAATGCCCCGTACGCGTTATGGCCTTCCGTAAGCGAGAGCCGAGACCAGCAAGGCGGGGATTCCCGGGCTGTCACGTGACGTCCAGAATCCACCGACCGCCTCATCGCTCACTCTCAACAAGCACCGACAACAGCTCGGAGGAAGCAACCCAACCTGCAACAACAGCGTCAAAACAAACAGCCACAATGTCCGACGTCGAATACCCAGCAGAAGACCCTAAGCCCGCAATTGACGAAGGTTCGTTTTCTCCCCCACATCTTTTCAAAATCGTGTGCGTTGTGCACGAAATTGTTTAGTCGGCGTGGGCGGAAAATACAAGGCTGGCGATTTCGATTCCACAGTGGACCAGGGCGGAAATAGCTGGGATACTTACGAGAAGGATGTGGGCTCGGCTATGCATCGAGAGGGGTTCGTCGACGGCGTGGGGTCCCGAACTTGCAAGTGGGACGGGAACGCATCAGCAACCAGCTGCCTAGGGGATGATTGATTTCCCACACACCGTGGAGTCCAGCCCCAAAATCCCGCAATCCCGCAAATGACTAAACCCAACTCAACGTACTTTTCCCCACCAGCATGCGCGCAAAGCCATCACTGCCACGGCCTCAAAGCGCGGTTCGATGCCTGCACGGCGAAGCTGGAGGCCGGTAACGGCGCCCAGGACGAGACGTGCGTCGAGGAGTTTTTCGATCTTATGGAGTGTGTTGATCATTGTGTGAGTATTTGGATCTGGATGAGGAAGGAGAGGGTGGAGTTTTAGGGGCGTGGGATCTCCAAAGTGGTGGCGGGAGGGGGATTGGATCGCTCTGGGAGCGATAGCGAAGGCGAATTCGACCCGGGCGAAGGCCGACTGCGGCGAGCGACGTGATGAGGCAGGGCAAGCCCTAGGCGAGCCATTTTTGCGATGGAAGCCCCAGCGCTAGCGAGGTCGACCATCGGAATCGCCTTCGCGAGCGAAAGCGAGGGTGAGCGCAGCGACTTTCGCGCTACAGGCGTAACCCTAGCGAGCAAAGCGAGCAGTAAATGAAGGCGGCAGCCAACATTCTCTGTTTGTAAGCGACAGCAAACAGTCTTTCTATTCGTGAGCCACAAAGAATGCATCGCATTTCCTACACATCTTCACCTGCCTCACACCCCTAACGACCACCTTCCCGCTATCTCTGTTCCAGGCCGCCGACAAGATCTTTGCCAAGCTGAAGTAGAGGACACCCACGCACCCACCCATCCAACACAACACCGCGCCATCCGTCTGTCTTCCAATTCCCGCTTTGTAGAATCTTGCCGAACACAAAAAAACGAAATCAGAATCAAAAAACTTATACCTATGACGTTTACGGTTGAGGGGATTGAATGAGCGGAAACATATTGGAAAGGTGTATCCGAGTGTTCTATGGGACCATGGGGCGACTGCCGATTTGGATAACCGAAGGCATTTACTTGCTGGACGAGCTGGCCGAAATTGAGGATTTACTGAAAATCTTTTCTGCTCCTTGAGGGTATTGCCGAAAAGGTAGCGGAAGAGGGATGATCTGTCATTCGAGGAAAGGCCTTCTTGTAGAACTGGAGTTTGAGGACCACACGACCTCATGCGCCAGAGATGATTGAATTCCCTGGTCTTTTCCTCGATCCATAACGAGGATACAAATCCGCTCGCATATTTATGTCTCCCAACCGTCCTTGTCCCACAAAACAGCTTCATTTTCGATGAACCAACCCATACATTTCAACGACAATGATAACGGGCGCACCACGTTTATAACCCACTTCCAACCCCTCTATTCCACATCTTCAAGGAAACCGCTTACAAGCATAACATTCCGCCCATCACCGCAACACCGTTCCCTTGACTTCCCTTTTCTTAACCCACCTCTCCTCTTCCCTTTCCCCCTTCTACAAACACACAAACACACACACATCAACCCCTCTCACAACTCCTCCAACCCCCTCAACGTCTTCTCCAACTCCTCCCTGACGCCCTCATACTTCTTGCTCATTTCCTCCAGCTGCCTCTCGAGCTCGGTTTTCTCGGACTCGAGCTGTTTGGCGCGCCGCTCGGCTTGTTCGGTTGAGAGTTCGAGGGCGCGGTTTCTGGTGAAAATGGAAGGAGGGGTGAGTAAAGTCGTTACATGTACAGAGGAGGCGTAGGGGGATGGGAGGGTGGGGACGTACTTTTCGGTGAGCTGGAACCAACGAAGCAACGGAAGACGGAATCAAGTTAGGCACCGTCCCAGCGCGCAATCCCCTGATCCCCTCCTATATCTCCCGAACGCACCTCATTAACCCTCCCCCCCGTCCTCTCACCCTCCTCCTGTAACAGCGTAACCTTATTGTTCAACCCTTGCACCTCCTGCTCGCGCCGCGCGAGCTCGTCTTTCAGCTGCTTGATCTCTTCCTCGGCTTTGGTTGCCCGTGCGTAAGAGTTGTCGGCTTCTATGCGGAGTTTTTCGAGTTTCTGCGTGGGGGAATTTTGTGTGAGTCTTGAGGCAGGGTCTTGAGGCAGGGTCTCCGTGCCCAGTTCTTTCCCCTCAACGGCTATGTATAGACCCCCGACTCGCAACGGGACGTAATCGTCATCACCGCCCGCGATTGCACCCTGCTCAGCTCGCTTTGGCACCTCCCCCCGCCTTCCCACCTTACCCTTCCCACCTTACCCGGCCCCTCATCTAAAACCGCAGACAGGCCCTAACCGCTCTTGTCCAACCAGCAACCCATCTCCGTGGAATACGTCCAAGCGGAACGGACTTGCGCTTTTCTGTAACTTACCTCCTTTATCTTGTCCATGTTGGTCGAAGGTTGTTCAGGGCGTTGTGAGAGATGAGCAAGGCGTGGCTAGCCGTTGTGGGTGTGTGCAGCGATCTTGCTGTTTGTCGAAGCGACGGGATGAGGACGAACTTCGCAATCGGTGTGATGAGAGCAACGGCAACTAACGCGTCGCTGTGACTTTTTTACGTAAGAGGTTTCCTCGAGTCTTTCCCCTCGTTTTTCGCGTGTTAACGGTACACGTTCTGTTGCCATGATCACACTGGGCCCTGGAGTGAGAAGCTGGGTCGCATCAGCCGTTGTATATAAGAGCGCTCTACGAACTATAATCTAGTCACAAAGAGCTGTCTATCTCAAAGCAGGGTGTTCTACGAAGTACGCCTCATAGGAAGGGGGTAAGGAAATCTGTCTAACACGCAACACATCGAATAATAGGCCACGAACGAACCCACTCTACTCTATCTACCTAGCGGATACGCCAGTCGGGGTGATATGCCCTCACTCTCTCGATCTCGTCTAGAAAACAGCCTGTCCCGCATCAATGCTGGCCGAAAGGGTGGCATTCGCCTTGATATTCGCATTCGAAATCCTCCTTGTGATCAAATCCCCCATCACGCGGCTGAATATAATGCTGCCATTCACGTTCAAATGCGTCGTATCCGTCGCATTCGCCGCAAAGGTATCTCCGGCCGTATTGCCCGTCGCCGCGTTCAACCGCCATGCCGCGTCCTTTCCGATCGCCGAGATGTACGCCATGCTCTTCCCGTGCAGATCGACGCTCGGCACCGACGAGTTGGTTGCTTGTTGCGCGGCGGCGTCGGCCCATGGTTGCAACACGTCCGTGAGATTGCCCTTGGAGTTGAAAGTCCGACGGCAGAGGGAGGTGACAACAATCGGCAACCCGCCCGCCCCTTTGATGTCCTTTATCAACCCCTTCAGATTGTCCATGAACACGGAGGTATTCATCACTTTCTGGTCGTTATGCCCGAACTGGATGGTGACCCTTGGCGCGAAGCCAAGTGAGATGTCGGATTTGACTTGGGTGAGGGCTTTGGCGAGGAAGCCGTCGGAGCGGTAGGTGGCGGTTGTGCGGCCCGAGACGGCGAGGTTGGTGCATTGCGCGGTGAGTTTGCAGAATTCGTCGCCCCACCCGATTTTGGGCGCGGTTGTGGAGTCGCCGGTTAGGATGTAGGAGTAGGGTTTGGCGGTGGGAGTGATGGTGGCGGCGGCCGACGTGGTGGATGTCGTAGGAGTAGCAACCGCCTTGGATGTAGTAGCAGCAGCGGACGTGGACGTCTTGACCGTGGTGGCGGACGTCTTGACCGTGGTGGTGGACGTCTTACTCGTAGTAGTAGCAACCGGCTTGGACGTAGTAGCCGCTTTGGACGTCGTAGTAACAGCCGCCTTGGACGACGTAGTCGCAGCCGACGCAGCCGACGCGGCCACCGCCAACCCAACGATGAAAAAGTCGAAACGCATCTCTAGCTTGTATATATCTCTACAACGTTCTATGCACTTGATCTCGTGGATGACGGCGGAATGTGGAGCAGTTGGTTCGCATCTTTATATACCATTTTCTGGAAGTGTAGTGTTCCTTTCCTTTCTCTGAGAAGCTACGTAGAACAGCGCTCATGTCGGAGCACGCTTTGACATCAGTCGGAGCACGCTCTCTTCCTCTCTTCCTTTCCTAGGAGCTCCTGTCTGTTGCCTGATTCTGAGAGGTGCTACGGCGAACACCCATTTATGGGAAGCGGATGCGCGTTTTTACCAGTCAAGTTTCAGTCCGAAAATAAGATAGCTCGAGACCTCGCTAGTCGAATCACCCGCAACTAGATAGGGGTAGCCAAATCTGTACCTCAATATAGCAGCAGTTCGGACAATTTTGATTATGAGATTCCGACATCCCTCTTGCATCTTCTGCGCTTCATACTACCAACAACTCTCATGGGGAAAAAAGTTTATATGCAACCAGGCTGAACCAGGCTTCAGATTCACGCGTTAACGCGCGCCACCCCGCCGCCCTCATCCGCCGCACTCACAGGCCGGGTATAAGATCACGCACCCACCAGAAAAATCGCAGATTGCCCTAGAGCTTCCTCCATCCAAGGTAAACGGACGTCAAATGTTCCCCGGCTTACCGGCTGTTAAGATATAAGTCCCATCCTCCTGCCCTCATTTCCAATTCGCACGTACGGGTGCGGTGATGGCGTGGGTCATGGCGATGCCCGCCATTTGGCAGATGATGTGTCTTGAAGACGCTGCGTGATGGATGTTTTGGTTGTTGCGGTGCTTACTGGTATGCTTGCGTGCCAAGCGTGCCGTTACCGTTTGGGACACTGTTCTGTTGTTCAGAAGCCGCTCTGCAGAGTGGTCAACTTGAGGCTGAGCACTTTTCGCACAAGGGCCTTGGCGGGGCTTGAGTTCATCGCAAAAACCCCCAGAAAAAAGACATCTGCAGCCCCAGAAAGTACAGTATGTACTGTACACACAGACTGCCCAGTCCCCCGCCCTGTATATGTACAAACAGCGTGCCGATGCCACAGGAATCTAGAAGGCGGGGAAGGAGAGTTTGCGAGGGAAACCGCTAATGATAGTAGCTCCAACGCGTTGGGGCTTTTTGACAGGTTGTTTGTGCGACGCGTGAGGTGTGCAGGAAACGAGGCGTTCCGCTTGGCATCCTGGGCGAGGACGAAGCAGGTCGAGCCTCCACACAACCTCAGAGGCTTGACGGTTATAAAAAGGAGCGCTTGGTTACTCGCATCCTTAGTCTGTCCGTTCAATCGAACTCCATCTTGGAACCCATCTCGTCACCCATCGCAACTCCAATTGACCCCTCAACCCCAAAACAAACTCAACGATGGCTCACCAACAACAACCCCCATACCCGCCCCAAGGCTACCCCCAACAACAACAACAACAACAATACCCTCCTCCTCAGGGCTACTCGCAACAGCAGCCCTACGGTGCCCCCTACGGCGCTCCACCCCCGCAACCGGGTGGCTATCCCCAACAACAGTACCCGCCGCCCCAAGGCTACCCGCAACCCGGCTTCCCTCCCCCGCAACAGGGTTTCCCTCCCCAACAGCCCTACGGTGCCCCGCAGGGATACCCGCAACAGTATCCACCCCAGCAGGCATACCCTCAGCAGCAGCCGGGATATGGAGCCCCGCCGCCTCAGCAGGGATATGGAGCCCCGCCACCTCAGCAGGGATACCCTCAGCAACAGCCGTATGGAGCCCCACCGCCTCAGCAGGGTTACGCAGCTCCCGTGCAGTCGTTTTACGCGACGGGCTCGCCTGCGTTGTCGGCGCAGGAATTGGAGAGGGATGCACAGGGGTTGAGAAAGGCTATGAAGGGGTTTGGGACTGGTGGGTGACATAAATACATCCCAGCCCTCCACTCATACATCACAAAACCCGATGTTAACGAATTTACATGTCTCCTTTATAGACGAAAAAGCCCTGACAGAGATCCTCTGCAAACGCACCCCCGACCAAGCGCCCGCGATCGTGCAAGCGTACCGCGCCCATTTCGGCCGGGAGCTCGTGAAAGATCTCGAATCGGAGTGCGGCGGCAATTTCAAGAAATTGATGGTGTTCCTCACCATGGCGTTGCCCGAACTCGACGCGACGTGCTTGAAGGAGGCTATGGTTGGTGAAGGGGAGGCTGAGGTTTGTCCTCATCTATTCGTTCCGTGGATCTTATCGATGCTGAACAGTTCTTTTCTTTCTTTCTCTTTTTTTTTTGTTTTTTGTTTTTTTGTTTTGCAGGCTGGAATTGGGACAGACGAAGACGCCCTCATTGAGATCCTCGTGGGCCGCACCAATGTCGAGCTGGCCGCTATCAAGCAGGCGTACCAAGCTAAATACAAGAAAGACCTCATTACCGTTGTTCAGTCAGAGACGTCGGGGCATTTCAAGAAGTTGCTTACGGCGGTGCTGCAGGCTAGTCGGGATGAGAGTGGGCAGTCTAGGTATGAAGTTGCAGCATTTACGACGCCCGGGGTTTGAAGACATGCATACTGAATTTGGACGCGTAGGTGGGACGTCAACGCCGACGTGGAAGCCTTCTACAAAGCCGGCACAGGCAAAGTCGGTACGGACGAGAGCGCCTTCATCAGCCTGCTCGTCAACCGTCCCGAAGCGCATCTCCGCGCCGTCTTTGCAGCATATAAGGCCAAATATAACTTGACCTTGGAAGCCGTCGTCAAGAGCGAGTTCTCGGGGGATGTCGAGAAGGCGCTTGTTAGCGTTAGTAAGTACTCACATTGACGCCATCTTCCCTGTACACGATCCTTAGCATTAACTCCAATCTGTCTAACCTAAGTCCGCTCGATCGAATCCCGCGCCGCCTACATTGCAACCCTCTTTGAGAAAGCGATGGCGGGCATGGGCACCAAGGACAACAAGCTGATCCGCCTGGCCGTTCGCCACCGCGACCCGCGCGTCATGGCGATGATCAAGCAGGCGTACCAGCAGCAGAATGGGAAGACGCTGTGGGCGAGGGTGGATGGGGAGACGAGTGGGGATTATGGGAAGGCGCTGTTGGCTTGTATTGGGGCTTGATGTAGGGTATAGGGGGAGTGAGGGTGGAAGGGCATTTGAAGGGACGGATGGTCGTGGTATGCAAGATTTTGCAAACGGCAACACTTTTTGGGGTTGACGATATGGTCCGCTTTTTTTCTTTTGAAAACCTAATAGGATGGCATCTTTCTTTTGCGATGTCGATGGGCGTCCCGGTAGCGGAAAATGCTGGGAAACGGAAGAAAACGTTCTGTTTCCTCTTCTGTTTCCTCAGGCGATGGCGTATCGTCGTCAAAGTTAAGCTTAAAAATCTCACACCGTATCCAATTGATCCCTCGGTCCTTTGTGACTTTATGGAGGCCTGGTCTAGCCGTTTCCAGCTTAGGGAGAGACGTGGGAGAGACTGCGCGTGTCATATCTGCTTTGGCAAACACTGGCCTGTCCAGCCACTGCCAATACGCAAATCATATACCACCACCAACTCCCACCAAAGGAACAAACATGGACACAACAATGCAATCACGCCCGGACCCACGGGCAACATCAACATCCCCACGCAACAGCAGCAGCGTACCGGTCGACACCCGGCGAGACCTGAGCGCCGAGGAGTTGCTGGAGTCGGCGCCGGCGGTACCTGATGTGGAGCCTGGCGCGACGCAGGAGGATGCATCTGTGGTGAGGTTCCCCCAAAACTTCCTCGCGTGGGAAAATGTGGCGGGAGAAGGGCCGTTCGCCAGCGGGCTTCGGGCGGGGTTCGCTGAGTCTGTGGAAGGGAAAAAAAAAGAAGGGGTTTGTGACCGGGTTGTCCGGGGAGTGAACGTTCCCAACGCGTATGACAGCTTGCTCCATTTCGCACGACGACGACCCCTGGGGCATTGAGCAGCAACGGAGGACAGAGAACCCCTCAGACAGATTCCTCTCTGACGTCCTTTTCCGTGATCTCATTTAGCAGCAGGCAATCGACGAAGAAGGCGTCGACGCACTTCAGAACCTCAAAGAAGTCTCGCTACAAGCACTCGGCGTCCTGCTTCGCCGTCTCGTCGACGAAAAGGACAGCTCGCCCCAAACCGCCTCGTTGGGGAACACCTCGCACCAGCAGCAGGGGTCTTCGTCTTCACCGTCGTCTACTTTACCGCCGCAGGATAAGGTAACGCTAAGTGAGGAGGAACACCGCGAGCTGAAGGGGCTTGTCGGAAACTTGCCACCGGAGAAAATTAGCAGGGTGAAGAGCATACTGGGACGGAAACGGGCTGGAAGTTCACCTCAGGTGGGTTTTTCTGGTTTGTCTGGTTTTTATTACGGCGGTTGGAAACAAAACGACATCCAAGGAGGATACAGTGTCACTTATGTTGAATCAAATATAGGCACCATCCCCATCCATTCAATCCGACGCAAACTTGGCAATCGTGAGAAAATCAACTTTAAAGGAGCTGTATTCGTTCGTGAAAGGGGAAGACGCAAACGCAAGCGTTAGCAAACTTTCGGCAAAAGACCTTTCGGCACCTCCGAAACACACTGGACAAACCATGCTCTCGGCGCTGAAATCGAAAGTGGGCACTATGAGTCGGTCACAATCCTCTAGTGCTCTCGTACAGGACGCTGCGAGTGCAGATGATGCCTCCTCGAATAAACACGTTACAGATTCCAGCCACACGACCACTCAAAACGATGCGTCAGAATCTTCACCAATAGCTCCGCTGCGAAGCTCTTCCTTTTCATCCGTGGCGGACTCCGACACCACGGATGTCGGCCATGACCTACTCACCGACCACGGCCTCGCGCTCGCCATCGCCGCATTATGCAATGGATTATATCGGATATTAGACGTGAACGAAATCAGGAATTCAGAAGCACCGCAAGGCGGATCTACAGACAAGGACGCAGCAAAGACCGCAGCGGTGACTGACACGATGTTTGCGGCAGTCACGCGGCAGATGAGCGCTATCTGCGAACAGCGAAACATGCTCGATCGTGACAGTCTGCAACCTGAACAGCGCGCGTTGTGGGAGGAATGCGAACGACTTATGTCTCTCGTCCGCACCATTGTCGCTGCACGTCAACGCGTCGGTTCTGCACCCCCAAGCTATGAGGAAGCACTGGTGGGCGGTGCCAAGGGCTCGGCACCCAACTACTCCAAACGTGACGACGAGCTGAGTCGTGTCATCTCTGCGATCGACCGGGTGATGTACGCCGCGCCGCGTCTCGACAATCAGTCCGTGCAACTGAACGCTCGCCAAGAGAAGGTCATGTCCGCCGCTGCGTTGGGCGCGATGATCGAGCGTCTGAACCGCGGAAAGGAGGATTTCGACGCGCAGAGGGCGACGTCTAGCCAGTCTCATCGATACGCGGCGCTGCAGAATTTGGTGGATCAGCTGGCCGCCGCTGGGGAGCGCAGCATGTCTGATCAGCGGGTTACGCTGTCTACGGAACAAAGCAAGCGGATAGAGATGGGCAAATTGAGCGGGATTCTTGATAGGCAGGAGAAGACTCGGTTCAAAAATCAGGTACGTGTTTTGCATTCCTTCGCTCCTCCTTCTTTCCGAAGATGCACACTGTCTGATCCACACGCCCACGTCTCTCAGGACGCAGTAACCCGCGAACAACGCCTCCTAAACGACCTCTCCCACCTCACCAACTCCCTCACAAAGCCCTCCCCCCAATTCGCGGCACAGCGCTACGAAGTCTCCTCGGAGAAGCAACGCGACATGTTTCTCTCCTCCCTCGGCGCGCGCCTGCAACGCACCTCCGAGCGCCGCATGGGCAACCAGGACGCCATGGCGCCCTCCGACCTGCGCGACATACGTATCGCGGAGCTCGAGAAGATCATGGATCGGATCCCGCAGGGCCTCAAGGAGCAGCGCGCGTCGTATGTCAGTGCCAAGGATAGGAGTTTTCATGAGCTGGAATTGGTGTTGGATAGGATACCGGTGGGGCTGAGTGGGCAGCGCGCGTCGACTACCTCCTCTGTTGTTGGCGCGGCGGCGAGGAGTACAACGCCGAGAAGTAGTGAAATGGCTAGTAGTAAGTCGGCGGATTACTTTGCGGCGTCCAAGACTGTTCCGGATTCGAGGTCGACTGATGTGCCGGTTGTTGTTGCGGGGAGTCGTTGAGGGTTGAATCGTCACTTACACCATGTTAATCTTGATCTACTCCTTCCCCTCTTTTTGGTCTTTTTAATCTCCATTGCCCCTTCTTGACTACAAGTTGCCATCATCGGCGACGCCTCAGGCAGAGGTACAATGATGTGGATGGCAGATAACCACCACGGAAAATGGAATGGGGTGAAAATTCTAGACTACTGGTTACGGGAGAATGCGTCTGGTCTGCGGCCATCGCCAAACACCACCGAGCGCACAATCGAGAGGAAATTCTTGGTGCTTTGGACGTCCCGATTGTGCACTTTCATCCGTAGTCGTAGTGGTTGTCTTCTTCCAGGAATCTCAAATGGTGTCCAGTCTTGGTTGATACATTCGGGGTTGGGGCAACCCACCAATCCATGGACGTATTCCATTCTTCCCTTTCGAGCTTGCCATGGCCGAGATGACAGCTGCTGTCGGATGTTTTTCTTCACACGCCCATGGCAGTGTGGGCACACGGACGACGTTCGATACTCATCCAGCAAGTAGCATGGAATGCCGTTTCTCGCAAAGAGTGTGCGGAATCTGTTCCATGATGAGTTAGCATATTATAGTACATAAAAAACAATGATGATGGTCACTCACCCCTTGGTCTTCGATGACTCCTGAAAGCGCATCATTTTCCCAGCATCGCTCCAATCACCCAAGATGACCGAAAAATGCTTTCCATACCGGCGTCGCATGTTCTTAATGAGCTTGCTCTCAGACTTTTGTCGCAGTGAGAATGCCTTGAATCTGCGAGCTACCTGAATCTCATCCTGGTAAAACTCATCCAGGGCGGGATCGAGGATATGGATGTCAGCCCATGTATTACCAGAGTTGAAAATCAAAGTTGAAGTGGAACATCATACCCGCATGTTCGTAATCCACAATGAACGCCGAGAACGCCTCAATGTTCATGCTCTTGTGCGACGGAATACACGATTCCATCTCAGCGACGCCGGCATTGATGTTTTGCTCTTTCATGTCTCTTTGAAAGTACCGAGACTTTGTCTCGACCGCCCTTTGAGTGAATGTGTATCTGATATGGGGTGGTGCATTGTAAGGACGCTCCCACGGAATGTCGCCGCAACGGGGATGGTGGGGATGGTGACAGGGGGGATGGTGACGGGAGGGATGGTGGGGATGGGGGCGGGGACAGGGTTGAGGAGGGCGTTGATGGGGATAGCGGCGACAGCGGCGACAGCGGCGACAGCGGGGACAGCGGGGACAGCGGGGACAGCGGGGACAGCGGCGACAGCGGCAACAGCGGGGATAGCGGCGACAGCGGGGATAGCGGCGACAGCGGGGATAGCGGGGATAGCGGGGATAGCGGCGACAGCGGGGAGAGCGGGGATAGCGGGGACAGCAGGGCAGTAGTAATCAACTGAAACGTATCGAAATGGCCGCTCCTTCTCGTTGTCTCGACAGAACAGGAGGTCACGCTTGCCTGGATCAATGCAGACGATGTTTGGAGCCTCCCTTAGTTCCGCGATGTGGTGCTCAAAACACAGCTGCTTGACTTCTTCCTGCATTTGGGTTTTGCTGCGCTTCCGGGCCCGATGCCCATATTTGAGCCCTGGCTTCCTGAAGTGGATGGTAGCGGAATACCCGTTTGTGCTGATTGACTCATCAAATTTGAGACCAAGCTTGTTTCGATCCTTGAAAACCTTGTCCTGCAATCCGTCATTCAGCGAGGTGAGGTGAGTGAAATAAGCCCAGAGGGATAGAGACTTACATTCACGTTGATAAACTGCCCCCTCAGCTCCTGCTTGCGTGCATCGGTGAATTTCCCCATGCGACTTTGGCCCAAGCCCAGGATATGGATGCCTAGGGTCAGCGTGTCGATCCGAACAGATGATTGGATTCGAGATTTGCGCAGCGGGATAGCGGAAAACAGGCGCATTCCACGGCGCTCATAGAGGCGTGAGAGCTCACAATAGGCGCCTGTGATGAGGCGAGGCAGGTGCGGACCATGATTAGACAAAAGAGGAAGCGGGGGGGGGCCGGAAATATACTAACTCACCTAAATATGGCATTGCGTCCACTGCAAGGCTGTACGCAAGCGGTTCATCCTGGGGAGGAAACAGAGCCCATAACTCGTCGAGGACAGTCCGCTCAAGTTGTGTGAGGCCGGCAAACTCCTCTTCGGTGGGGTGCTCTTCAAACGTCGCGTACTTTGTAAATTGACGGACACGACGATAATAGTGTCGCCGCTGCGCTCTCTGGAGATGCTGTACAACTTGCTTCAAACCAAGCCTTTCATTGACATAGCGCAGAAGCATTTGAATGAAATGCTCTTGTACGTTGACTTTGAGGTTTGTGAAGATGCTCGTAGCCGTGTACGCTGCGGTCTGTTGGCAATGTTGCATGCGGATGGGGGCAAATCCGTGAACACTACAGTAGTCTTGAAGCCATGGACGCAACTCTTGCGCGATGACCCAATTGCCATTGTAGCGTGGATTGTTGAGCAGCTCAAACATCACACTGATGTGCTTGTCTGTGATGTCGGGGAAATTGTGTAGAGGATGATCAGCTGTGGTGGGCAGATGTAGCAGTCAGGACATTGTTTTATGGGAAATATACAGTGTAGTGCACCTCAAAAACTCACCAAGGTAGTACTTGAGAAAGAAGGTGGTGTGGGGCGCAAGGACGTGAACATGGGCAATGAATGCCATCAGGCGCTCCCTTTGAACTTGATTTTGATTATGGATGATTTGGTGAAGGGAAACTTTGGTGCTGGCATGTGTTCGCGGGCGGGGTCGATGAACTGGTGGTGGTGGCGGGGGTTCAAGCACCAGGGATCCACCCGGTGTGCTGGAAAAACGGAAAGGGATGGGCGCGGGGAGGATCAGTGGGCGCTGCAGACCCCTGTCCGCGGGTGAAAGCCTCACGGCGGCTGCTGCTGCTGCCCGCCTTCATCGCCGGAGCTCTCGCCAACCATGTCTGCAATTGCTTGGGGCAAGTGGCGTTGGAGAGAAGGTGGGAGCTTGAATCGCGGGGGTTGCAATGGTGTGGCTGGCAAACGTATGGGCAATCGCGGGGTAACCGGAGCAACCTTCCTCCTCTTCCGCCGTGGTGTGGTTGCTCCAGTAAAGATGCCACACCACAGGTGCCTCTGGAGCGCCTGGTGTGAGGACATGTTGGCTGTGCTGTGCCGAGACAGGTGTTGCAGGTGATTGCCGTGATGGCTGTGTGTCAAAGAACTCGCGTCAGTGCGGAGAGCGGGGAGGATTTGCAGCCTGGCGCAGTCATGGCGCAGTTGTGGTTGACAAGCCGCACCTCCAAGACCACACTCTCCTCCTCTCACACGAAATGTCAAGCGCTTGCAGCTCACGCTTGCAGCTCACGCAACTCACGCAGAGCACACTCTGAGCATGGAAACGTCAAGCGCTCGCGGCGGATGACGGCCCCCTCACCCCCCTGGCCAGCACCCACCTCCTTCCAGCTCAAGCCCGGCAACTCACGCAGAGCTAGCACATTTGAGCATGGAAACGTCAAGCGAGGTGAGTGGCCGCTGGGTGTTGACCGCCTGGGCTCGCGGTCCATGTTGAGCAGTACCGCCGCTTGCGGGAGGTCAACCTGCATGGGCTGTGCTGTCTGAGCGTCTCCGCTGGGTGTTGACCGCCTGGGCTCGCGGTCCATGTTGAGCACAACCGCCGCTTGCGGGAGGTCGACCTGCATGGGCCGTGCTGCCTGGGCGTGTTTGCTATACGCTGATCTCGCGGGCTGAGCCGCTAACACCTTCCCTCCCCCCCTTCCCCTCTACCGCGCCACAGGCCACGCCCCCCGTCGCACCCACCGCGGTCAAGGCTCTTCTGATGGGCATGGGTGAGAGCCGCGCCACAGCTATCTTCGGCGACACGGTGGCCTTTTTGTATCCCCTGCTGGTAGACGCCGGCCTTGCCGCCCGGGACGCCAGCCTAGAAGACAAGGGCAAGGCGATTGGCCTTTTTTCAAAGAAGATCAAGCAAGACAACCCCACCCTTTGGGGTTGGTGGATCAATAGGTTAACGCGGTCCCGTCACCAGAAGAAGCGCGCCAAGCACAACATTGGGCTCCAGTCCGGCATCATCGCCGCGATCAGCGATGGCAGTCTTACCACGGCCGACTTCTTGGTGGACCCCCAGCCCTCCGCTAGCCGCCCGGCTGCTCACATCGTGGTGCCAACGCCCGCCTCGTGCGATGACTGTGTAATGAGGTGCTGCAGGTGTCACCTTAGTGCGGGGAAGCGCGTAGGGCATGAGATCACGTGTAGCATAGATTATATTGGAGTTCTACGCTCTGGGGTGACTCCCGAAGGGGAGAAAAGCCTTCGGGCGGCGCCCCGGGAGGTAGAAACTCCAGAATTCTTTCAATACATCGAGCGGAGACAGAGCTAGCCTCTGGCAACGGACCTAGCATTACTACATGGTAGCACCACCCTTCAAGATCTCTCCGGCAACCTACGATGAGCAACTCTCAGGCAGGTGCTAATACCGCTGTCAGCTATGCGATGGTTAACAATGACCGCTTAGAGCTTGACCCATTTGAACACCCACATCGAAGGGCGCAACGGCTCGACGGCGACCAACGCCAAGGCAACGGCCCCGCAGAGCGTAACCGCCCCTTGCACAGGCGCAGGGGGTCACCCTCGTGGTCGCCACCTGGAAGGAGGCACTCCCGCTCACGCTCACCTCGTCAACGTCGAAGCCCAGACCCCCGACGCTGAAATCGGACGCCAGAGCGATGCAGGCGCAGACGACGAGGTCGCAGGAGCATCTCCCCACCCCGTCGAAGGAGCCGCTCAGTAAGCAGCTACCGCAGCCGCTCCCCGGCGAGGACCCGAAGCCGCTCCCCCATGCTGCGCAGGAGCCGTACCCCAGCCCGACAGGAGAACGGACAGACAACAATCCTCCAAATCCTAGCCCAGCTGGCCAACACCAACGCCCAACTCCAGCAGCAATTCGAGCGCCTGGAGAGGGACCGCCCAGATGACAGCCCCTTTGCTGGAGTACGAGTGAGCCGTGAGGACCATTTGGCGGCTAGCAAAGAGCGTAAGCGCAAGGCGGCCGCCGAGAAGGAGTTCCGAACCACCTTGGCTAAGATGCTGACCAAGTTCAGTGGTAAGGCTAAATGGTAAAGACATGGTCGCCAAACTGGACGAGTTCGGCGACGCCCACCTACGCTATCTGGAAGCCACCGAATTCAGAACGGAGGATGGGGACGTGAAACACTTTGTAGCCCACTTGTCGGGGGACGCCGCTGAGTGATGGAAGCTTGAGGCTTGCTCCGGAGAGCCTCCCGCCACCCGGGAACGGTTCCTGAAGGCACTCAGGCGCAGGTTCTACCCCGTTAACCTCCGTAATTCGGTCGACGCGAAACTGGCCGCCCTGAAGTTCAAAGACAGCATGTCAGACTACGTTTTGGCCTTCAACGCACTGACCACACAGATTGCTATCCTCCCTGAAAAGGAACATCTCACACCGCGACAGGAACGTGAGTACTTCTTGAACGGGCTGACCTTCCACCAGGTCGGACGTCGCATCCGTGAACAGTGTTACCAGTTCATCCTACAACAGGGCAATGAGGACGAAGACATCCCCATCAAGACCCTTCAGGAAGCTGCCCAGAGGGCCTCTCGCATCAGGCGTTATGCCGACGGGACCGCCCGCATTTCGGAAGACGGCAAACGGATCCAACCCGCTACGGCCACTCCGGCCCAGGCTCGCGACAAGCGCGATACGCCCCGCACCTTCAGGTGCCCGCCGAGGCCTTCGATGATGACAACGACGGGTTCCATTCGGCCGCGGAGGAGCCCCCAAGCCCCGCATACTCCGTCGACAGTCAGGATTTTCTCCCCAGGGCCTGACCGCCTGCAGCGCCTCAGCGTCCAGACAACCCAAGGGACCTACCAGACCCTGACTGCATGACACCATTCTGGAATACCGCCCCGGGCCTGTCATCGACAAGCACACGTTCATGGTCCATGGACGTGTCGGCGGCGTCTTCTGCCGCATCCTCATAGACACTGGTTGCAATACCATGCTCATCAGCGACTCATTCGCCCAACGCCATGATCTTAACACGTACAGCTGTCCCACGCCCCTCGAGGTGCGCTGGGGTGACAAAGCCGGATCATACGGCCCCATGTGGATGATTTGTGCCGACCTCTCCGTCTTCACGGAAGAACGAATACCTCATAAGACCCCTCGGGTCCCGTTTGTCGTGGCCCCGATCCGCGCGGATGTTATCCTAGGGCTGCCCTACATCCTGGACCTTGACCTCATACACTTATGGCGCAACAATGGGTTCCCGGCGCTTCAATTCGAGGCTAACGCAACCGTACTAACTTTCCGCACTAAACCTACCGCCCGCCAATGGCAACAACCCAGCGCTTGCGCGGCCCGGTTACTCAAACGTCATACGGGCCCTCGCCCCCGCTGTTTCTACCCAAAGCGCGCGGCCTTAAATGAGGAGGGCTTCCTCACTGCCAAACAATTCAAGCGAGCAATCAAGAGGGATAAGACCACCGAGGTCTATCCCGCATGGGTCTCAAGCACGGACACGGAGGTGGACCTGGCCACAGACGATGCCCTCGCGGACGTCGCCGAAGCCGAGGCTAACTTTGTTCACACGGTCGAGGCGAAGAAACGTGCGATCCTGGCGGACCGAAAGGCAACGGCCACCCCTCCGGATACCACCCCGGACAATCCACTCGCGTCGGTCGCCGCCGACCACCCTCTTCGCCCGACGTTGGAACAGTTTACAGATACCCTCTTCACCGAACAGACCGGCCTCCCGCCGGACCGTGGCGACAACAACTTCAGCATCAATCTGAAGCCTGGCTCCAAGCCTGTCATGCTCCCACTCTGCCACTTGGCCCCCAATGAACTCGACGAGCTACGGCAGCAACTCGAGCGCCTATCATCCCGTGGGATCTCCCACTCTAAGAGCGCCTGGGGGGCACCCGTGCTGTTTGCCCCGAAGAAGCACGGTGGCCTCCGCTGCTGCATCGACTACCGGGCCCACAACAAGATGACCCATAAGGACGCCACGCCCCTCCCGAACCTCAACGAGCTCGTCGGGATGAAGGTCTTCACTGCTATCGACATCCACGATGCCTACCACTGCATCCTCATTCGGGAGGAAGACCGTGAGAAGACTGCCTTCTGGAAGCGCTTTGGCCACTTCCAGTACAACGTATTACCCTTCGGGCTGACGAATGCGCCCGCGACATTCCAACGCCTCACGAACAAACTCCTGGGCGACAAGTACAATTCATTCCTCATCTCTTACCTCGATGACATCCTTATTTTCAGGCCTGACATGGACTCACACATTGGGCATGTCACCGAAGTGCTCAAGACCCTCTCGGCTCACCACCTCCACGTGAAACCGTCCAAATGTCAGTGGGCGGTGGACCAGGTCGAGTTCTGCGGGCACATGGTCGGTAAGGACGGCCTTTCCATCGCCCTGTCCAAGGTCGAGGCTGTCCACGCTCGACCCAAACCCACCAGCGCCCTCGAGCTCCTCTCCTTCATGGGGCTAGTCAACTATGTCAAGGAATACATTCCGCATTATGCTGACACAGCCCTCCCACTGACCAACCTTCAATCCGGCACCCGCCCGTGGCAGTGGGGCGCCGAGGAACAAGCAGCATTTGACACCATCAAGGCGCGCGTCGCCGACGCCCCTTGCCTGGCGTTCTTCGACCCTGATAAGTTCCCCTACGTCTTCTCTGACATCGGGCTTTGCCGTAGGGGGTTGGATCGGTCAGGGCACGGACGGCGACTTTCCCAGGCCAAATCCACTGCCCACCACGAAAAAGGGCCTCAATAACCTTCCGTGCCGGATGGCTCCGGCCGAGACCCGATACCCCGTGCACGAACAGGAGCTCCTCGCATTGGTCAAAGTGATCCGCGCTAACCGCCACTACCTCATCGGTCGCCAATTCCGTGCATTTGTCGACCACGAATCCCTCATATACCTCCAGAATCAGCCTCATCTCTCCCGGCGCCAGGCCGGATGGGTGGAGTTCCTTCAGGACTACGACTTCACTATCGAATACCTCCCCGGCAAGTTCAATCACATCGCCGACATACTCAGCCGCACCCCGCTGTACGCCCCGAAGTGCGCCAGCTGTCAGATGAAGGTCGAAGTGTTCTCCATTGTCACCCCGACACCTCTACCGGACATCACTGGCCGCCTCCCTACCGACGCCGAGTGGCTCACTGCGCTCGACGATGACAAGTTCTGCAAGGACACCCACGCCCACCTGCAGACCACCGAACAAACCCCGACGACCCCTCTACCCTCTTGGGTTTTGCCCGCCGCCTCACACGCGACGACCATGGCTTCCTTTTGTACCATGGCTGCCGCTACGTCCCCGAGGGCTTCGGGGCCCCCTCCTCAGGTTCTATCACGACTCCCTGGCCAACGGCGGCCACTCGGGTGTCCAGCGCACCGTCGCCAAACTCCTCGCGCTCTACTACTGGCCCCGCCTCGAGCGCGAGGTCCACCAGTACGTCTGGACTTGTCCCGACTGCCAACACAACAAGCAGGCTTCCAACTTCGGGCTCCTACGCAGCATTCCGGTCCCCGACGAGCGCTGACGTTGCGTCGGCTTGGACATCTACTTCCCCACAACGAACTCTAAGGGGGGGGAAGCGGGAGACGAGTCCGTCATGGACAAGGGAGCCGTCCTCATCCTGGCGGACTACTTATCCAGCCGCATAATCCTCCTCGAGACCCATGCCAAGGCGACGGCAAAGTTGTTCTTCGACCAGGCCTTCCGCATCACGGGCATGCCCCACACGATCATCAGCGATCGGGACACCAAAGGGACCGGCGCCTTTTGGAAGCACCTCCTGAAGTGCGCCGGCGTAGAGCAGGAACTCTTGTCGGCACGCCAACCAGACCGACGGCAAGACGGAGAACGTCATCAAGACAATCAAGAAGATGATGGTCCCCTACCTGAACTACACCGGCTCGAACTGGCGCGAGATGCTTCCCCTCCTCGAGTACAACTACAACAGGACGCCCCAGACCTCCACGGGCATGTCCCCGTACAAGATCAACATCGGGTACATCCCGAAGGTACCAGACCAATGGGGTACCAGCGACCCAACAGAGCAACTGAAACAGGCCGATCAAAAGTGCATTGAGGAGCGCATGCAGCAACTGACCGAGGTGAGCCGCATCGTCCAGCACAGACTCCGAGAGGCCCAGGACAGGCAGGCAAGATACTACGACAGGAACAAGAATACGGACGCGTTCGTAGTAGGTGACCAGGTCCTGCTGAACCGCGAAGGCATCCATATCAAGAGTATCTCGGCCCGAAACAAGAAGCTGTCCGCGCTATGGATCGGGCCCTTCACCGTCATTGGGAAAGGGCCCCACCCGGACACCTACGAGCTGGAGCTCTCCCACGAGTTCAGTGGACTACACCCGGTGTTCCATGTCAACATCCTACGCAGGTACAACCCTCCGGAGAACGGCTGTCATAGGCCACCCATAGGCTGTACAGCCTATGGGTGGCCTATGACAGTAGCCTATCGGTCTATAGGTCATACTTCTCAACAGCCTACGGGGTCTATAGGTCATACTTCTCAACAGCCTACGGGTCAATGGCCCATAGTCCTCAACAGCCTATTCTCAGCATATGAGTCTATGGGCCACAGATCTCGTCAGCCTATCCTACAGATCTCAGCAGCCTATCGGCACGACTCCAGTCACGTGACCTCGCTGGGCCTTTGTTTATTAAACGACTTCGAGCCAATTCTTGCCAGGACTACACGCAACCCTCTCCGTTGTCTCCGGATTGGTCCTGTTACTTTGCGCGAATAACAACGTTATCGAGTGGTAGCCATTTTTAGCCATTTCATAGCCACTTCGTGGCCGTTTCGTAGCCATTTCCCTCCTCTCCATACTTTCCCTCTTTATCGAGTGAACACGCGTCTTTCACTGATTTTTATCGAGCCGTTTCGTCGAGCGTTTCAAATGGTAGCCAAGTAGCCATTTTCTGCCAGAATTCTCTCCGTATATATAAAACTGTGCTCCTCAAGGTGGTGGTCATATTCACCACCACCACCTTGTTGATCAAAATTTATACTATAACACCTTTCCAAAATAAATGGCTACTTGGCTACTTTCTATTCTCTTCATATTATTCTCTTCATTCTTCTTATCAAATTCAACCTTTCACTCGATCTAAAGTTCCTTGTCGAGTCAGAAAAAATGGCTACCTGAATGACTACGGATTGCTCTTAATGGCTACCTACCCCCGCTTCTACTTTTCCCCTCCCTACTCATACTTATTCAATTTGATTCCTAGATATCCTCGTGACACTTTCTCTACACTTCTTTGACCAAAGTCGCCTACGCTTTTCATGATCTTTAACTTCTAAGTTCCGCATCCTTTCTGCGGGTCGCACACATTTAAGTATTTGAATACTATACATCAGACATTAGCCATGCCAAACGTTCTTGAAATCAATTCGCATATCAAGTGTATCGAGGGAGTTTTTGTCATTCGTTTTGTCGTAGCAGACCTCGATAGTCTGGAACGAATATGTCGGTCTATGTTAAACAAACCCGGTTACATGGCATATATCAAAGTAAATGACGAGAATCGGGGAATTTTTAAGCAGATCTATACCATTTTTAATAAGAAGAATAATCGTCTCCGTAAAGACTTCATTTTCAAGAGCGGGTATCTAGGTATTACTCAAGACTCCGAGCAATTACGGATGCTATGTGGAACAGACACAGACCATCGAGCGTGCGTTCTTGATATTGATACTTAGTAGCACTGTGTCCAAAAGTTGAGATATGAATTGGATAACACTATAGAAGTTGGTATGACAATCCTTGCGCTTAACTGCGTATTCGTCGAAGAGAACAGCAACGGCACTTGGAAACTGAACGGGTAACGAGTCTGATAATTGTTGATATCGCAATAATACGACACTCCTCTACTAGCCACTACAGTAGAAGATTGGTCTAATATTTGAACAGTTATCGTGACTCGACTGTTCATTGCATTCATATATCCCATAAAGGAAACATGCGCGACCACTCCCGACATACCTGCTTTCCAATTTATGGGACCGAAGCCCCCCGTGTAGCCATTTGCGTTTGTCAACAACGCATCAACAACACCGTCTTCTATGCAAACTGCAGATTGAATGATTTGTGAAGCATAGATGTTCGTACTACAAGTCAAATCATTCTTTACCAAGGCTGTTGTATTGCATGTCAAGGAATTCACAGTTGCTGAACCACTTGATGAAACGGTTCCCGTAGTTATCGCACCCGAAACATCTATATTGTTTGCAGAAGCACTGACAAGGGTCGCTTTCGGAACAGCCTGATTGAACTGAATCTGGCGGATAGCGACCCCTCCTGTTGCTGTCTGATTCGCGTACTGCCATGCGATACCCCATACTACATAAGGCGTGGTGTTTGCAAAACTAAACGTATTTCCATCAGTGGTCCAAGTAGAACCAGGTATATTCGAAAACGTTGCGATTGTTACCATAGCCGACTCGGTTGTTCCGGCAATCACGGAGAACGTAGTAGGCATCGCCACGGCGTCCATCAGGTAGGCGGTGAGTTTAAGAGAAGCCATAGCAATGGCCGACGGGAGTCTCAATAACGACCAATGCAAACTCTGTGTTGTTCCATCTAAGCCTAAATTGGCTGTTGAAGTGCTTGCGGTCGCCCATCGTAATCTGGATGCAATACTCGCATTCATGTAAGCGTCGAATGGATGACCAGTGTATCCATCTACACCGTTTCCATTTGCGTAGGTATATTCTGAAGACGCGCTCACAGTGTACCCGTTCCATGAAGAACCTGTTGCGGGCGTTGTGGGGTAAGGGAACAAAGTAGTTTTCGATGTTAAGGCAGGACTGTTCAAATCACCGGTCACATTGAGATTTGACCCGACATATAAAGATTTTGCTACAGATGCGCCTCCACTCACTACAAGGGCGCCTGATGTAGAGGTTGCATCCGCAGTGTTCAAGACAGAGACGTTACCTCCAACATATACGTTCTTTGCAACAGAAGCGCCTCCAGAGACTTGCAACGCACCGGTTCCAACGCCTGTGGAATCCGTCGTTGTCCAAACTTGAATTCCTGCTGCACTTATTGATGCCGCTAATACATTTCCTGTCGCGGGGGAAGACGAACCCGTCCCTGTGGTCGAGTTATTCATGTAAAAATCTAAAGCATTCCCAGAATCCATATTCGAAACAGCGTTGTGTCGTGATTTGATGAAATGTCTGTATCCTGACCCTCCAGCGCTGAACTCGAATGAGATTCCCCCACTACCCGAAGCGCCCAAATTGGTAGCACCGCCTCCAATTGTCAGCCATTTCGCTATTCCAGCCCCTCCTCTTACCTGAAGCGAACCTGATGTTGACGAAGTTGAATCTGCAGTTGATTGTATCTGTACACTTGGGAGATTACTGTTTATCACAAAGTTAGCGCCAGACCCCGAATAGAGGAAAAAGTTTCCAGCGTTTGGGGCACTTGTACCAGTTCCAGCATAACCGAATGCTCCCACCACCGTTCCTGTATTGTTAAGGAAACCGATAGTAGAAAACCCAGATGCCGAAAGACTCTGAAGTTTCAAAACGTCAACGGAAGTTGAGTTTACTTGCAGTGTATGGCTTCCAGTAGCCGATGAACCAGCAAATAGAGATTTTGCGATTCCGACGCCACCAGACACTTGCAAAGCACCTGTTGTTGTAGAAGATGAATCTACTGGAGATTCGGCGATAACTGCTCCATCCCCGCGTACACTCAAACCATATGATTGATTGGCTATCTGCAGTTTGATATAATTGTTTGCAGAGCCAGTACCTGTCAAGACGAAACTCATCTGTCCACAGTTCATGGATGTGTTGCTCTGTCCAAGGGTTATCCAGTTGGAGAATCCAGTAGCCATATTGGGTAGAAGAAACGTGGCAGCGTTTGTATAGCCCGTACCCGCCATAGTTGAGGTGAGAACCCCCCCGATGGAAACGCTTTTCCCCACACCTAACCCTCCTACCACTTGCAATGCCCCAGTTGTTGTAGAAGAGGAGTCGGTTACAGATGAAATAATAACCTCTGAAGTGGGCTTCACTTGTAAAGGCAAGGTTTGGGTCAAACTGTTGTACAGGTAGAACCCCCCTGGCCCGGTATTTACACCGGATGAACCGTTAATGCCAAAATAAAAACCAGAGTTCGTTACACTTGTATTTGTGAATCCGAATTGAACATAATTGCTGCCATTTCCTGTCATATTCAACGCTGTCTGTGATGAGCCTGTGGTGACTGATAGTGTTGCAGTACCACCGACATACAGATTTTTCGCAATTCCAACGCCTCCGGCAACTTGCAAAGCACCTGTTGTTGTAGAAGTTGAATCAATTGTCGAATTCGAAATGAGAGCATTATTGGTATAATTTACAGATAAAGCCAAATTACCTGCGGAGGTGTTCCAAAGACCCAAATTATTGGTTCCTGATGCACTCGTTTGTCCTATATGCCACCAATACCAGCCACCCCCATTGGAGTTTATTATACTCAAACCTGTTCCATTTCCAGCCACAGATTCTTTAACTGTTATTCCGTTGCCAACCCATAACGCTTTAGATATACCGACTCCACCTGCAACTTGGAGAGAACCAGCATTTATAGCGTTGGAGTCAAGAGTAGAAGTAACTACAGTCGATGCAGCGTTATTTATATTCAGAGTCTGTCCTGTTGTGGTATTCAGGTTCGCTGTTGTTCCTCCTAGGAATACGGTGCCGCCAACCACCACACTTTTCCCCACACCAACTCCTCCAACAACTTGGAGCGCACCTGATGTAATCGAGGTAGAATCAGTCGTTCCGGCAATTTGAACATTCGATGCAGCATTCCCCAGAGATGTGATTCCTGATTGACTAGCATTGATGCTGAAAACATTTCCAGTTTTTGTCAATCCGGTCCCAGCAGTTGAAACTAGACCATCAACGTAGGCTTTTGTTGTCGCGTGCATAGCCGATGTTGGTGTAGACACAGTGGCGGTTCCGCTGACATTCAATACACCAGATACATTTGCGTTACCCGTGACATTAAGTCCGCTTAGGCTAGAACTACCAATTACGTTCAAACTAGCATTAACCGTCACATCCTGCAAATCGCTGTTTCCAGAGACAATCAGGTCAGACGCTCGAACTTGAGCAAATTGTGCAATACCATCAACGGAAAGCCCAAACGAGTTCAAATCTGTCGAAGTTAAGTGTAGACTATTTAATGAAACATCTGGTTTTACGGATAGCGCCGTACCTGTTTTTGTAAGATTATTACCAGCATTTGTTGTTTGAGCATCCACATAAGACTTTAATGCAACATTCTGGTCTAGATTCGTGTATGGCAAGATACCTGTCACATCTGTTGTGAGCGTAATGGTGTTCTTTAACGCGATGGAGCCGAGCCCTAATGCCGTTCTAGATGCTGATGGAGTTGTTGAGACAAAATTACTTCCATCTGCAACAAGGAAATTATTGAGAGTTGGGGTGCTCGAAGATATAGCAGTCAATTTGGGATTGAGAGGTTGAGCATTTCCGGATGTTGTAGAAATCAATCCGTCCACATATGATTTTGTTACAGCATGCGAAGGCGTGGTTGGAGTAGGTACGGTTATTGACCCTGTAAATGTGCTAGAACCAGAAACGGTGAGACCCGTTAAAGTACCCACACTTGTGATTTGTGTTTGTACAGGATTCACACTTAGCGTCTGAGCGGTTTTCGAGAGGCCGGTTCCTGCAATAACAATGTTCGGATCAACAGACCCAAAAGGAAGAATTCCGGTGACATCTGTACTTGCGAGATTGATAACGGATTTAGCCGCCAAACTGCCAAGTGTAGGCTTGTTTATCAGTAAAGCCGAAGTGTAATCTATATTACTCAGTGCTGCAAGAGAACCAAGAGTTGGCTTTCCAGTAATGTACGTCGAAGCATAGTCAATACTGCTAAGTGCTGCAAGCGAGCCAAGCGTAGGTTTCCCTGTTATGTATGTACTCGTATAATCAATGCTATTTAGCGCAGCGAGACTGCCAAGGACAGGTTTGTTCACCAACGCCGAACTTGTGTAGTCTAACGTATCGAGTAAACTCAGATTCTTTAAGGACAAGTTCGCACGAACGTCTGCTGGGGAATACTGAATGAAGTTCCCACCCGATGCGATAAGCATAAAAGTATTTGTCGGGGCAATGTTTCCGAAGTTTGTTAGACGAGCATTGAGCGGCTGCAACGTCGCCGCAAGGTTATCTACATATCCTTTGTTTGCAGCATTTCCAGCGGCTATTGGAGTCGGACAAAGTAAAACAGATGAAACGGTGACTGAATTAAAGGTTTGTCCGCTGTTCAACGAAACGGCACCGGTGGTAGGATTTCGAACTAAACCAGTGGTGAATGAAAGTCCACTTACTTGGGAAAAGGGCAGAGTTCCAGTCTTATCAAACTTGGTATCGATGCTACTTTGCAGCAGAGATGTGTTCTGGCTTATAACATTCATATATGCTGGTTGATTCACATCCGTGTCCCACTCTTTTAATATGTCGAGATTCACGGACTGTTGACCATACTCTTTCGCTACACCTCTCCACCAACATGGAGGGGGTTTATCAAACATCAATCGGGTCACATCACAATCCGTGTCGTTGATTTTTGGAAAAGTTGCTATGATAACCTCACTACCGTCTACCAAAACCGGGTTCCCGTCTGCCCCGATAATATTCGTTCCGTCCGAATTCGTCTTGTTTTGCCTGCGTCTGCCTGACTCTTGAAGCAGACCCCCGAGAACCGCCACTCCACCTGCCGCTCCAGCAAGTGCTCCGATAGCACCAAATGCCGAACTGGCAGAAGCCACCGCTCCAGCCGCGGGTGCAGCACCGATAAGAGAACTGGCTGCCCCAAGAGCCGCCCCAAGGGGTCCAACAAGTGATACTGTACTTGGGGCAGATGAAGCAGTCAATGGGTCCGATTCACCAGATGGCTCCGAATCCTCATTTTTCTCTTCCGGGTCATCGTCTTCCTTTTTCTTTTTGTATGGCTGGATAGATGAAATAGTATAACCTGTTAATGGGCTTCCAACACAGATAATGCCTTCACCACCACTGATTTCAGTACCTTGAGCGCTGATTACATAGCCGCTCTTTGAACTTCCAGAAACAGTCACGCCGCTACCAGAAGACACGTTGACATCCGGAATGTTTGCAGAAATCGTATTTCCTGTGATACTGATGTTCTGACCCGCCTGATAATTACCTTTCAGCGTGGAGCCTTGCTTGACAATTGTGGAGCCATCTGCTGTAATTTTAGAAGAGATGGTAGCGGTGGATTGATTCCAAGATAAATCTTCATCCGTTTTGAGATCTAGATTGACCGTCGCCGAACCGATCTGTGAGTCTGTATGAAAACCGTTACCGAAATGGTAATTCGTTCCGGTCAATTTCCCGTTGTTCACAGTAATCGTGTCTCCATCAACCAGAGCGACTTTGTCTATATCCAGTACATTTTCATTCATCAGAAGTCCGGAATCCGCCTTTACTTCGATATTACCTTCAATGCCTCCCGTCTCATTATCGACAAGAATTTGCGCATTCTTACTCGTGATATTCAAATTGACTTTGTTCAGTCCCACCTTTTCCAACCCGGGTCCAACATCGAGTGCAAGTTGTACATCGTTATTTGTTCCTTCCCTCAGTTTCAATCCATTTTGGCTCTGGAAATTCAACCCCGAGGCAATCTTTCCATCAACGACCCTGACTGATGAGCCGTTTACGATAGCGGATGGATTCACTGAAAGATTTTGTGAAGAGTCAATTGCTAAACTTGCATCTGTTCTAACATCGATAGTACGCCGACCATTGGACACTCCGGATATGTCTATACCTGACCCTGCTTGGTACAATTGCTCTACGTACCCGGATGTCACCACTTCATTGTTCGAAGGGTCGAAGTTGCTGGTAACGTATACATGCGGAACATGTAGTTCATTGAGTGTTTCATTATACATAAAACTACTGTCTCCATTTAACCCCGATAATGCAGAATAGAATGGTACTTGCCCCATACCCTTCGAGCGGATAGCCAATTTTCCTCCTGTTTGTTGGAAATCATCAGTCGTCTTCAAACGCACAACAGTTGTATCAACATCCGTATCTGATCCCAGAAAGTCCGCAAGGGAATCAAAACCGGTCTCTAGAAGGTCATCGAGTGCAAGACTTCCTGCTTTATCATTCGAAATAGCCCCTCGTCCAACAATCACTGTATCAACGTCGGTTTCCAAGTTCCCTTCATCATTTACTTTCAGACCTTTTCCATAATCAAGATGAATTACCTTGTCTGCATCTTTCGAGAGCGGTTCTGCTACCTCCAAAGATTAATCAACGATCGCCTGAATGTTCTCTGGAACAACAGACAACTGACCGTTTTCAACTGTCAATGTGGAGTCAATATCCAAAGAGATTCCTTGTACGTTACGCTTCAAAGGACTTATAACGGATTCTTTCACAACTGCTAACTTACCATTACTGACCTCGAATGAATCATCATCAAAGTCCAACTTTATTCCTTCATCATTTCTTGACAACGGCTCTTGAAGATTTTCCAGTTCAGGCGGGGGAAAGTTAACAGTCAACCCTTCTGCACCTACTGAAAGCGATTGGTCGTGGAACAAATTGAGACCGTTTTCATTGACTCCGAGAGGCAGGTTTGTTGAAAGGGAAACAGTTCGGCTTCCGTCATCCCTTTGGAGGGGAAATTCCATATTGTCAGGGATTACTTCAACAGATGCAATTCCGTTGGTTTTGTGAATAATCGCATCTTCGCTGTCAACAAGGTCGTTCAACAAAATTGGTCCATTTTCGTTCGATACCTTTTGAAAGCCTGCTGAATGAAAATTATCAATTGATACGTTCTCTCCATTAGCACGAAGACTATTGGTCACTAAAGGAGAAACGAGATTGGTTCGTTCAAGCACTCTGATTCCACTTGATGTTCGGGAATTTAGACCGCTCATTTACTAATTGCTAAAGAAAAATTATCCGATTGGAGTTTGCTGTAAATGTTCTAAGAATTGATCACCGCCTTTATGGAAATCTTCAACTCTCTTTATTCCCAGATCTGCAAACTGTTGCCCTTTTCGCGCAGTTTCCTTGATTTTATCGTGGAAGACATCATTCTCTTGAATCCCTTTGTTTACATGGCTTGCTATCGCATATCCCTTTCGAGTAACGGAAACCGCTTTGTCTAGAAAATTCCTCGCCTTTCCGATATTTTGTGGCAGTTCGTTGAAAAATGTGCGCGCTTTTCCTCTCGCTTTTTGAAAGAATCCCATTGAATATTCTTTTTCTTAACATGTACTAAAGAATATATATTCCATTCTATGTTGGTTCTTGACGACAAGTTTGCTCGATTGCCAAACAATACTTTTCCCTCCCCTCCAGTGTTGAATATCCATTCAAATCAGTTCGGTTACATACAGGGAAAGCCTGAAGAGACCTTTGACCGTTTATTCAAAACTCCCTTCTACGTTCCAGGCAAAGGGAAAATATCGGATGCATTCTCTATAAAAAAGACTGTATATCAACCACTCAAACTCCGTGAAGGAGAGTACCAGTCTCAGATTGGAAAACAGGCTGTGGAAGCGCTCCATGCTATCGATAAGGAACGTGCAAGACAAGCATACTTTGATGAATTGGATAAAGACAATCTTTTCCCTCGACAAGGTCGAACGGTTTCTTTAACCAAAACCACAGCGTCGAAAGGCGATACAATCTACCATCAACCGAGTTACATTCGCGCTCAACAGAATCAATTCATTGGAGATGCATCATCCAATGTGCAACGAACCGGTGATAATCACCTTCCGGAAAAAGCAAACATGAGTGAAGCAAATACGATACTTGGTAACAACAAGGTGGTAACAAAAATGAACGACCGTGAAACAATGACGGACGAAATTGGTAGAATCGGTTCTGCTGAAAAGATAAGCATGTCAAATAGCCGCACACAGACAGATATTCCTCTCCATCGGGTTCGAGATCTTAGAACAGTTGAAACGCAGAGTACAACACCGGATCTAGACAGCGATACGTTAGATCTTATATTCTCGTCTGGAGGAAAATTTCAACATTTTATGGATGGAGTAACAAACTGCGAATCAAACCTTGCAAACACAACTCCGATCTCAAGAAGAGCAACTTGGAAGAATGACAACAGCCACAATGTCTACGTTCAGAAGAATGTTAGAATCGGTAGGTTTTAAAAATGTTCCTTCGACAATGACTCCGGACGAGATGGAACGACTTCTCAGCCAAGTGCAAAGCGTCACACCTATCGCATTAAGTGAAGTAGGGAGCGATGCAAAGATTGATAGAAACTTTAAGAAAGGAAAAGATTACAGAAAGCAAAGATGTAGGGACACAATATTCTCTTGGAGATGTGCCATGGGTTGCTAGACCACGACCACCACCCATAATTACGAATTTCTCACCAACAATAAGTTATCCATCTGCCAGTTCAGCAGTAACTCAAAGCGACATTTTCCCGAATAGGAGTCCGAAATCTACCCTTTCAACTGGATCGGTAGGATCCCCTATGGATCTCTCCACACCAATTGAACAGTTTGTTACCGCCGAACCGATTACTCAAGTTCTTTCCCCAAATCTGGATTCTGCAACACCAACACAGAGAGATATCTTCACCGATTCCCCAGCAGTGAGGGCTCCAGAAAATACACCCATTGCGCCAATAAGGAAAAAGAACAGTACACGAACATCTTTACCTCCCGAGAGATTATCTTATGAACACGGCTGGGAACAATCTTCAAAACGGGCACGAAAAGTATAAGATAAAAAGATCATAATTGTATAGAAGGTTATAATTGTAATATTTGAGAATCATAGAGGATTCTGAAATGTACAAAAGCGCATAAGTTTTAAACGATCTTCTTCCCGGCTCGTCGAGCAAGGATAAATGGAAGCAATTGTGGAGGGATTACACCTTTTTTCGGTTTTCCAGATTTAGTTCTAGCAGGAATGCGAACTGGTTTCAAAACCTTTTGTTTTCTCGGCATTGGTTTCTACTATATGATTAGAAGATTTTTATACAACATCGACGGTTGCTCCAATCAAGATGGTGCGTTGAGCATAGACGGTTGTTTGCAATGAAACACTGGTACTCGGGGCCGGGAGATTGTGATTTGTGATTAGATGTACGTTTCCGGAGCCTCCGAGTAGGTTCAAAGCGCTACTGGAATCTTCATCTGCGCTTTGCCACGAATAACGCATTACGAACTGTTTGTTGTAAAAGTTATCGAGGTCCAAGTCTTCAGAGGCGTATGATGTATTATCATTCATGGAGAGGTTGCCTATCATAACCGTATCTTCTACCTGGAAATCTTCGGTTAAAGGTAATCTATATTGTCCTATCTGATACCTCCATGACTTCAAGTTGGCTGTATCATAAATCAAACTTTTGTCCCCTGATGTAGTGGCGTATTTATTATCGTCTCTAAACCTATGTGTTAATCCGACAATCCGGCCGTTTGTGAGTGGGAGAATCCAGTTGTTTTGAGACGAACCACTACAGACATTTGAGAGTTGTTGAACACCTACTACATCCATTTCGAGATACTTCCCTGCCCGAATTCCGGACCACAATGCGGACATATAAGCGGCACTCGGGACCACAAGTTGTGCTACATAACGAAGATTTGAAACTTCAAAGTATACTCCGGAACCAACATTGCTAAACGCTTGCTGCGGTGTGTTTAAAGTGAATGTCAATTCCACCAATTGATTCGGCAAAATCGCTAGTGGAATCGGGTTTCCGTTCAAATTTCTCATGGACCCTGCCAACAAATGGTGTTTGAATGTGAAAGTTCCGTTGGGATTTTTGAACGCATCCGGGTTACCTGCTCCTTCGTTATATTTCAAATATTTTCGTTTCTCAGCCTCCACAAACTGGAGAGTGTCCGCAACAAAACTTGGTACATCTTCAATTTCGTCAACAACTTTTCCGCCAAATCGCACGTTCATCGTTCGGAAGCAAGCCATTGCACCGATTTGAGAAATCTGCGCATCCGTGACGGGGCTTCCATCCGCATTTTTCACAGAGATGGTTCCCGATAGATACGAGCGTTGAGGTCTCAAAAAGGAACTATTGGAATCAACTACGATTTTTATAGCATTTCCAGGTGATTTTGAACTAAACGTCTCCTTGATTGGGCGATAAATCGCAATATTTTCGCTGAGAGCGTCTGAATGCATCGAAAATTGTCTGCTACTATAGATCCAGTTTGAAGGAACAACGGGATTTGTTGACATTATTTTTAGTTATAATGGTTTAACATATCTCTAAGAAAAAAATAATCAACGTCCATCAACGTCCGCCAAAGATTCCCATATACGGATCATCATCTGCTTCGGGAGGATCGAATTCTACAAACGTGTTTTCCTCCACAGAGTCGTCTTTGTACGCAGCAGGTTGAAGCGCTTTGGGCATTCGATTGATTTTTGC